TTGTATGCAAGACCGACTCATCCTTCAATGCCAAGGAACACATGTCCCGAATCACCGGGCATGGAGTTACAAAGGCTGGGCCACATAGCCAAACATATCAGAGCCTCACACTTCCCTTGAAGGAGTGAGGTTGCATGCAAGACCGACTCATCGTTCAATGCCAAGGAACACACGTCCCGTATCACCGGGCATGGAGTTACAAGGCTGTCGCACATAGTCAAACATATCAGAGCCTCACACTTCCCTGGAAGGAGTGAGGTTGTATGCAAGACCGAATCATCGTTCAATGCCAACGAACAGACGTCGCGAATCAACGGGCATAGAGTTACAAGGCTGTCCCACATAGTGAACCATATCAGAGCCTCACACTTCCCTTGAAGGAGTGAGGTTGTGTGCAAGACTGACACATCGTTCAATGCTAAGGAACACATGTCCCGAATAACCGGGCATGGAGTTACAAGGCTTCCCTTGAAGGAGTGAGGTTGTATGCAAGACCGACTCATCGTTCAATGCCAAGGAACACACGTCCCGAATCATCGGGCATGGAGTTACAAGGCTGTCCCACATAGTCAAACATATCAGAGCCTCACACTTCCCTTGAAGGAGTGAGGTTGTATGCAAGACCGACTCATCGTTCAATGCCAAGGAGCACACGTCCAGAATCACCGGGCATGGAGTTACAAGTCTGTCCCACATAGTCAAACATATCAGAGCCTCAGACTTCCCTTGAAGGAGTGAGGTTGCATGCAAGACCGACTCATCGTTCATTGCCAAGGAGCGCACGTCCCGAATCACCGGGCATGGAGTTACAAGGCTGTCCCACAGAGTCAAACATATCAGAGCCTCACACTTCTGTTGAAGGAGTGAGGTTGTATGGAAGTCCGACTCACCGTTCAATGCCAAGGAACACATGTCCCGAATCACCGGGCATGGAGTTACAAGGCTTTTCCACATAGTCAAACATATCAGAGCCTCACACTTCCCTTGAAGGAGTGAGGTTGTATGCAAGACCGACTCATCGTTCAATGCCAAAACCACACGTCCCGAATCACCGGGCATGGAGTTCCAAGGCTGTCCCACATAGTCAAACATATCAGAGCCTCACACTTCCTTTGAAGAAGTGAGGTTGTATACAAGACCGACTCATCGTTCAATGCCAAAACCACACGTCCAGAATCACCGGGCATGGAGTCACAAGGCTGCCCCACATCACGTAGTCAAACATATCAGAGCCCCACACTTCCCTTGAAGGAGTAAGGTTGTATGCAAGACCGACTCATCGTTCAATGCCAAGGAACACACGTCCCGAATCACCGGGCGTGGAGTTACAAGGCTGTCTCACATAGTCAAACATATCAGAGCCTCACACTTCCCTTGAAGGAGTGAGGTTGTATACAAGACCGACTCATCGTTCAATGCGAAGGAACACATGTCCCGAATCACCGGGCATGGAGTCACAAGGCTGCCACACATAGTCAAATATAGCAGAGCCTCGCACTTCCCTTGAAGGAGTGAGGTCATACGAAAATTGTATTCATCGCTCAATGCCAAGCAACACTTGTGTCCTTATATGCAAACATATCAGAGCCTCACACTTCCCTTGAAGGAGTGAGGTAGTATTCAAACTGAATCATTGTTCATTGCCAAGCAACATACGTCCCGAATCACTGGGCATGGAGTTACAAGGCTGTCCCGCGTAGTCAAACATATCAGAGCCTCACACTTCCCTTGAAGGAGTGAGGTTGTATCCAAACCGACTCATCGTTCAATCCCAAGCAAAACGCTTCCCTAATTACAAGGCATGGAGATACAAGGCTGCCCTCATATAGTCAAACATATCAGAGCCTCATACCTCCCTTGAAAGAGTGAGGTTGTATGCAGGACCGACTCGTTGTTCAATGCCAAGCAACCCACATCGTGGATGGAGTTACAAAGCTGTCCCCACATAGTCAAACGTATCAGAGCCTCACACTTCCCTTGAAGGAGTGAGGTTGTATGGAGGACTGACTTATCGTCCAATGCCAAGCAACACACGTCCCGAAATACCGGGCGTGGAGATACAAGGATGCTCCCACATAGTCAAACATATCAGAGCCTCACACTTCCCTTGAAGGAGTGAGGTCATACGCAAATATTTGGATTCATCGCTCAATGACAAGCAACACACACACACACCCTAATTCACTGGGAATGGGGTCCCAAAGTTGGCTCCTCAAGGTCAAACATATCAGAGCCTCACACATACTTTGAAGGAGTGAGGTTGTATACAAGACCCACTCATCGTTCAATGCCAAGGAACACACGTCCCGAATCACCGGGCATGGAGTTACAAGGCTGTCCCACATAGTCAAACATATCAGAGCCCCACACTTCCCTTGAAGGAGTGAGGTTGTTTGCAAGACCGACTCATCGTTCAATGCCAAGGAAGACACGTCCCGAATCACCGGGCATGGAGTTACAAGGCTATCCCACATAGTCAAACATATCAGAGCCTCACACTTCCCTTGAAGGAGTAAGGTTGTATGCGAGACCGACTCATCGTTCAATGCCAAGGAAGACACGTCCGGAATGACCGGGCATGGAGTTACAAGGCTATCCCACATAGTCAAACATATCAGAGCCTCACACTTCCCTTGCAGGAGTAAGGTTGTATGCAAGTCCGACTCATTGTTCAATGCCAAGGAACACACATCCCGAATCACCGGGCATGGAGTTACAAGGCTGTCCCACATAGTCAAACATATCAGAGCCTCACGCTTCCCTTGAAGGAGTGAGGTTGAATGCAAGACCGACTCATCGTTCAATGCCAAGGAACACACGTCCCGAATCACCGGGCATGGAGTTACGAGGCTATCCCACATAGTCAAACATATCAGAGCCTCACGCTTCCCTTGAAGGAGTGAGGTTGAATGCAAGACCGACTCATCGTTCAATGCGAAGGAACACACGTCCCGAATCACCGGGCATGGAGTTACAAGGCTATCCCACATAGTCAAACATATCAGAGCCTCACGCTTCCCTTGAAGGAGTGAGGTTGAATGCAAGACCGACTCATCGTTCAATGCCAAGGAACACACGTCCCGAATCAACGGGCATGGAGTTGCAAGGCTGTCCCACATAGTCAAACATATCAGAGCCTCACGCTTCCCTTGAAGGAGTGAGGTTGTATGCAAGACCGTCTCATCGTTCAATGCCAAGGAACACACGTCCCGAATCACCGGGCATGGAGTCACAAGGCTGTCCCACATAGGCAAACATATCAGAGCCTCACACTTCCCTTGAAGGAGTGAGGTTGAATGCAAGACCGACTCATCTTTCAATGCCAAGGAACCCACGTCCCGAATCACCTGGCATGGAGTTACAAGGCTGCCCCACATAGTCAAACATATCAGAGCCTCACACTTCCCTTGAAGGAGTGAGGTTGTATGCAAGACCGACTCAACGTTCAATACCAAGCAACACACATAGAGAATAACCGGGCGCGGAGTCACATGGATGTTCCCACCGTTCACAAAATACGAGTTACAAATGCAGTAGTGTTACGAGTAATAGTATAGACAGTAGATCAACGGATCGGCAAGATTGGCAAGATTACAAAATATTCTTACCTCAAGTTTTCCGGCGAGAATGACCGCTATCCTTCTTTTCTGCTCCTTTTTCGTGCTGTGTAACTAGTCTTTTGAGCCCCCGCACTTGGTGGTGTGATCAATCACTAAGATTTTACTTTTGAACATTCTGCCAAGACTGACTGGGTTTCAAGGCTGGACGTAGCCACTAGCTATTACACTGAGTAGCACTGTGTTGAAGTGCTACTGGGAAAGCGACTGTGGCCGTAATGGCAGAGGCCCACCAAATCAAAAAGGACAAACTTTTCTTGTTTTCGACTCAAGAAGAAGATGGAGCACCCGGAGTCGATATGCTATCCCGCGCATGCGTTCTTTGTTTTGTAGCGGCGTGAAGTCGCCGGCGCGGGAAAGTCTGAACCGGTCTCAACTGGTGTAAACCGGATTATACCGGTCATGGGCGGTCAAAAGCGGTCAAAACTGGATTAAATTTAGAGTGGTTGGACTGAGGTTGACACAGTGACAGGTTGAAACCGCTTTGAACCCAATGCGAATGGCAATGGTGGTGGCATCGATGGTTACATCGATGCCACCACCATTGCCATTTCGCATTGTGGTAAGTGCAGAGCAGGGAGTCGTATCGGGTTACTGGTGTAAGTGCGGTAACATTTCCCTTTACACAGGTTTGGATCACGAATACGAATGTACCCTGTTTCTAGAACTTACGTTACTTTCATCTGCTTGAAACTGCTAGCAGAACGAACAACACTGAACCACGAGTCATCATACCTTTCTAGGGGCTCCCGTAAGAAGACCATAGGTCTGTGGGAAACACCCTAGTAAAATAAATAAAATAATAATAATAATCACGTGACAAATCACGACACAGTGGGTTAGACAACACGTGTGCTTTGATTCCGGACGTTTTCTTCTTATCAGCTGCACTGATTTGCTCGGACCTCCGTGACCTCTCCCTCCATCTCCGTCATCATCGTCACCATCACCATCGCGTCCACAATCATCACTTCTCTTCCTCTCCCGCTAGCTCACCACCGGCCTCATCACCATCAGGGAGTCGTTTTACGACTCCCTGATCACCATCAATGTCCACCTCACCCTGGGCCTGGTCATCTTCTTCTACAACGTTACGTGAACATGGTGAACGTACTTCTAAAGACGTAGATCTACAGTGTGTACATTAATTTTTGTACAATCAATCATGTAGAGATGTACATGTAGATCTACGCGTATACGAGTAGTGCATCTTCTGTGCTAGCATGCTGAATCTGATCCTCCTCGTAGTGTAGATCTACGTCTACTCTATCCCACATCAGGCACATGCACCGCGCAATGCATGCATTATTATGACGTAAAATGTTTTTTTTATGTGCGAGTAGCTCGTACATAAAAATGTATGTTTTTCCAACATCCTGTCATCCTGGTCATGTCATGATGATAATGAAGTGATTTCAAAATTTAATAATTGTTGGTGTTCTTCTTTGAGCTGAGCTACATAGCATGCAGCAGCAGCAGTACAGCCAGTAGACTGTAAAAGTGTAATACAAGGAGTTTGATCGTTCAAGAACTACGACTATGGGGAACAATAGTAGAAGAAAAAGACGAAGCCAGAGTGCTCCGCCACCCCGCCGTACGCAGCGTGCTCGAGGAGCCAAACAGCAACGTCTCCACGATACCTCCAGAAAGGTAAGATTTGTATGGGTACACCATGTAACATTTATAGGTCGTTTGCGAGTCATGAGAATTTAGACACCACATTTTCATATTATCGCGATTGAAAGAATACTCGAACGTCTTAGATCCAAGCTACATCTTCCATCTTTTCTGGCTACATTGTGTTAGTTTGAGATGTCAACAAGGCAAGATAACGAACATCGATTTGTATCAATGGCTAGCTGTGTATGCCCTTGCAGCAATACATGACACGTCTGTAAACAGCTGTCTCTATGCACTAGTCAGGAGCTAGTTACATTATATTCAGATCCTTCTCATCAAGTGTGCTTAGTAGGGTAGCCAGTAGCTAATAGCCTTCTCTGGCTTGGCAAAAGATCAAAGGGTTGATGTAATGTCATGGTAGTTTGTTCAAGTGCAACTTGATGTTGGCTGGGTAATGGGAAAAGCCTATGAGCCCTGATTTACTATCCAACGTAAGATTTTTTTCCACATAGAATGTGCAATGGCCCATGGGTATCATGCGTACGGAGTGCTAAGGTAATGCCATACGTATGCCGCACGTGGCAACGGCATGCTGCTCTTGTAAATGACTGTGCATGATAAGAGACAGGGCACGGTACATAGTATACTTTGCATAGTGGCCAGGATACAACCGTCTTCTCTTACTCTTCTTTCTGTTGAGGGTGAAAATCATTAATGACATCATTAATGACATCATGTACCCGCTTTGTTTCGCTCATTAGAAATGCTGTAAGTCTACAAATGTTCGGCGCGTTTAAATGTCGGCCTGCCAGGGCTAAAACACATTTCGGCCTGCCAGGGCTAAAACACATTTCGGCCGTATATAAGAGGAGAGCTAGGTGAGGGCCCGTCGCTATGCGGCTCGTCATCATCATCATCATGGTCATGTTGCTGACCCAGTTGAGCTGGTAGTCTGGTGCACAGTCACCGTGTCATGGGTGAACACCCGCCATCACATGCGCCTGGCACACCTCCGGTCCTTTGTGCCCTGTCACGTGAAGATACGAAATTAAGCGCTGTGGACCATGGCTAGCGTCTTTCGCATACCAGTAGCTATGGGAATACTATACGGGCCATGTGGCCATGTTACTTGAGATACCTGATAGTATACGGGCCATGTGGCCATGTTACTTGAGATACCTGCTGTTCTTCTAAAAAAACCTCCATCTCAAGCTTCTTCATTGGGATTGATATTAATTTGATTTTGTTTGTTGTGGCAGCAGTCACGTCAGCGACATGACCTGGCCCGGATGGCTAATGATGAGTCATTCGATGCACTACGCCAGCTGGCCAAAGACACGCAGGAGAGAAGTGGAGAACATGGTGGACATACTGAGGTAATAGATCTTTCCCATAGCAATTGTGTACTATGCTGTATTTCTACTAGCTGCTGCAACTAACCGGCAGTTGGTGTTTTTCCTTCTTGGAATAGACTACAGCTACACCTTATCTCTGCCACAGTGGATACACTCTAGTCATACAGTAGTCATACAGTAGTCATGCAGTAGTCATGCATTCACCATACGATTAGGCATGGCAATGAAGTGTGCAGTTGTATCTCGTCTAGACAAGTGCTCATTTCTATGCCCAACTTCAGCCCAAGGTACCTGATGCCTTCAAAGTCAACCTAAATGCTGGGTACATGCTGGATACCTGCTGGGTATATGCTGGATACATGCTGAGTACATGCTGGGTACATGCTGGATACATGCTGGATACATGCTGGATACAGGCTGAGTACAGGCTGGGTACATGCTGGGTACAGGCTGAGTACAGGCTGAGTACATGCTGAGTACAGGCTGAGTACAGGCTGGGTACATGCTGGGTATATGGCTATTCTGTTGTGCGGATTATGGACAGTGAAGGGCTGCCTACTAACTGGCCTGAAAGCAGCGTATTTGGCAGTTTGGGTCGATTAGATACACCTTCAATCATCTATGGCATGGCGGCTTCAAGGGTGGCATGATTTCGTAGCTGACACCTTTTACACAAGTGTGTGCCCCCCCCCCCCCCCTCTCTCTCTTTCTCACATGCACGTGCTCTGCTTCTTGTTGGACTGGAATGAGCACACTGTTGTTTGTTTTCTTTGTCCTGACGATAGCTAAATGAGATCTTAATGTTGTTGGTGTTGTTGTTGTTGCTTCAGAGACGTGGATCATTGACCCGGCTTAATGGCGCAGCGACGGCAGCAGCAGTGGTCACACCGGTCGCCTTGTGCCAAACACCTCATCCGGAGAATCCTTTGTCCAACGCTGAGCTGAGTGCAGTCATTGGTGCTATGGACAGTCTTAGTCCGATCACACAACGGGACAACAGAACTACAGCTACAGCAGCAGCAGGAGCAACAACAAGAGCATTGGGAACGTCTTCAGCATTCTCTACGTCAGCTTCACCGCATGCCACTATTAGTTCGAGTAACAGGAACTTGGGGTATGGTGCTAGCGCCTGTGTCGCCGTCTCTGCCGCTACTGCTAGTCTTGCAGCAGCAGCTGGGGCAAGGACCACTGTTAGTCCGAGTGAACGATCCGTTGTTACGAGATCAGCAGCTTCTTTAGGACCAGTTGACTTAGTGGATTCACTCGAAAAACTTGGCTCTCTGGGCAGCAGCAGGTGAACTGTTGTTCCTAGTTGTTCGTAGTGTGTAGTGGCAATCTCTGCGTGTACTGTGTACTGTGTGTGCCGGTACAACATGTGCACCGCCGCTCAGTCACGGTGTGTCGGTGTGTTGCTTGCCTTTCAAGTTCCCAATCCCATGTGGTGGATTGGCTAAGAACTACAAGTAGATGGCTGTGTGGGTGGTGATACACAGATTGTATTCTGACGGGGCAAGGATTCTATGATAGGTGCTTCCATCAGTGTCGGTGAGGATGATGGCTGCCAGTGTGTGGTTGATGAACATCATGTCTATGTCCACAGCGATCAGCATTCTAATCACTCAGTCTGCAGCTCATAGCCTCAAAGTACGGCAGTACTCGGTGTATCCAGCACATGTTCTACATGTTGTGTACTAACATTACTACATGCTACTAGTTCACCAATACTGACCGGCAGAAGCAGTGGTGGCTAAGTATGTGGCATGACATGTACTCATCGTAGTCTTCTGCAACATCACTATTGCGTTTCGCTTGCAAGTGTTGAGTTGCTCTCACATTCAGCACAGACTTCTAGTCATTTACTCCGCCCCAGGCTGCTGCTGCTGCCGTGTGCTGCTGCTGCTGCTCATGGTGCTGCTGGTACTGCCCACATGCCATGTGACGGTTTAATGTGCAGCCAAGTGCTGCCTACTGCTCGGTGACTGTCTGTTGGCTATCGCGGTGTACTATGGGGTGTGAGCCTGTGTAGTGTGTAGTGTGTAGTGTGTAGTGTGACTGGCGCTAACTACAGTAGTGGTGACTGATGATTGTTTCCAGCCAATAATACATACCGTGGCCACCATACTAGCTATATGTAACACTATGTAACACTATGTATACGACTAATGTCTGTTATAATCCTCTACAATCATGTAGATAGTGACTGAGCCGCAGAGCGCGTGTGTTGTTTATTCTTCTCATGCACGTGTATCTGTACGCTGTCTGCCGCCGTATACACGCACGCACACGCACACTGTATTATCATCATTCATCATTCTGACGGTTGCTGTACTGCTCTGTAGGGATTAGGGCACTGTCATGGCAGCAGCGACTGTTCACTTTACATCTATGTACTAACGTGCCGGTAAATAATTCATTACAACCACACTTCAATTACAGCCACGCACTTCGGTCGTCTTCTGCTCTATGCTATAGCATATCAGATACAGCATTGTAGCTGCTGTCACCGCTGCTGCAGCTGCTGCTGCAGCTGCTGCTGCAGCTGCTGCTTTACTCTATCTCCACTGTAGGTACTCAATCTATTGGTAGGACTGTGTGTTTATCCCAATCCTGCAACATTGTCACTGTACAAGAGTACTTGGATCATTTCAAACATATTATTATCCTCTTCTCCAGGCAAAGTCGTATGAATACACGTGTTACGTGTATGAACACTGCAATGATTGTTCAGCCTGTTCAACAATCAACGTTTCGTCTTTTCTGTATTTGTGAATCAATCTTGAAAGACTATCATTGTGTTTTATAAGCATACGCACCACCGTGTGAAATTATAACTAACAGCAAGAGGACTGTAGTAGGTGTGTGGGAGTCGTAGCCCGCAAGACTGCACTTGGGATTTGCATTCTATGGGCCAGCTTCGTAGTGCACTGGCCTTCATGCAGCTTTAACTGGGCGGTTTTAGGGGGTATCGGCCATTGGGCGGCTCAATAGCCAATAGAGTCATCTTTCCTATATTCCTTTGGAATTTGTCTCAATCAGAGAGTCGTAAAGTGCAGGTATTTTACGACTCCCTGGTCTCAATTGACCATTCTCTGGCAGTTGAGCAAGTGCAAGTGTGTGTATGTCTGGATGGGGCAACACCATGATTATAGCTATTATTATAAGAACAGCTGAACAGCTGGACTGTACAGCTGGACTGTACAGCTGTACAGCTGGACTGTACAGCTGGACTGTACAGCTGGACTGTACAGCTGTACAGCTGGACTGTACAGCTGGACTGTAGACTGTACAGCTGGACTGTACAGCTGTACAGCTGGACTGTACAGCTGTACAGCTGGACTGTACAGGCCGTGGCAACGCAATACAATACAGTGCTGCTATGTGAAATCCAGTCGCGTCGTCGCTCATTATTATTAATGTTGCGCCTTGCACCATTTCACAGCCCACAGGTCTAGGGCTGTGCAACGCCCGACGCGTACTTGAGGGGTGCGACTGGATTTCATTGAGCAGCACTGTGATTGTCAGGTACTAATGGCTAGCAGTGCTATATGCGGGCATGCACCTAGAGACGCGTGGGTTGTCCCTGGATTCCTGGGAACCACCTACTGTCGTGGACATGGAAATTCGGTCGGAGGTCAAGCGGCCCAGGGCGTTGGCCATGCAGCCGTGAGTGCGCATACGATCAACAACTGCATGCAACGTTCTGTACGCGCTGGGGACGCGGGGCCCCGCATCATTCGACCGGATATGCATGTCCACGGCATCTTGCAGACAAGTAACAACAGCGATACTCACGACAATCACAGTAATAGATGGATACACAGTCATAGCAATATCCACCGTCCTTTTCACATGCTCCTACCCTAGCACTATAATTATTTCCTTGAATCACCCAATCAACATTAATCCTTTGTGTAAAAAAATGGGATTTCTGACACAATTTTGGGTCTGACTGTGGGAAGATTCGTGCATTCATTGTGGCTGACCACTGTGTTGGGAAAGTATTTCAGGCGGGCAGCATACACGCCTCCTTTAGTGTTACTATTACTGTCGAGCGCCGGAGACCGGAGCGCCGAAGAACGACCAGGCTAGAATTTCACCAAGCACAGCATACCAATGTATGTCCGGTGACTCAACTGTCCATAGACTGCAATACGTATCTAATATTGACTGAGTACGAGGCCAATATAGGAAATAAAAGCCGAGTAAAAGACCGAGGCGAAGCCGAGGTCTTTTACGAGGTTTTTGTTTCCTATACTGACCAAGTACGAAGTCAATATTAGATTTATCACGACAAACAGTCCGTATTTCAAATTCCAGAACGATAACCTCATGAATCCCGGTTTTATGATTGCACAACCGTTGCACCACCACCTACTCATGCAGTGACAATGCTGCACTAGGCACTGTTCAACTGCGCAACCCCTAAGCAGTCAAATAAGCAGTCAATAGCCCTAAGGAGTGAAATATGCAGGAATATTTGACTGCTTAGGTATGGCAAAAATCTATGTGAGTCAATACTAAGAGAGTGATAAATGAAAATAAGAACGGTCTAGGCTAGGAGGCTGACCCCCCAGTTCTTCGGCGACCGACAGTACTGTACTCCAGAAAATACGGTACCGATAAGTAACGGTGAGCAATTCCGCAGCTGGTTGGATCCACGGCGGAATGTTTTTGGTTGACGTCACATTTCCAGAACCCATGACACGTGTTGTACAAAAAGAACGAGTAATGCATGCAGTGGACGCTGACTTCTGTCGCGGGTACCGGGTTTGTGTTTCTGCCTCTTTCAAAAGATTTTTTTTAAATCTTCTCCCACTGCTGTAGCTGTTTATCCAACTCGTAGTGCAAGTAATTTAGGGAAACCCTGCCGAGTTTACACAGCCACCGACTCATACATACCTCGTACGGTGTGACTCGTGATCTCCAGAAAGAGTGACGTCGACAGAAAATTTCGCTCTGCGCCAGACTAATCATAGTGCTGACACTCTTGTTTATGAACTCTCAGTGGGGTTACCCACTTCAAGTGCAACTGCTAGCCTGCAGTCGCAGCCAAGATAATATTTCAAAGTCATAGATAATTTCAATTATTAATTTGACATTACGTTTCGACCGGAGTCTGGAAAATATCAAAGATTTCAACGAGTACATGTACATGTATAGCAAGTTTGTCAAACGCACTCTGCGCATGCCAATGGCAGTGCATGCCCTGCTAATACAGACACACGCTTCATACAAGTAGACAACACTGCGGCGGCAATGCAGTGTCTCTAAAGTACCAGAGTCAAGTTACCGCCACCGCCGCCGCCGGTGTGGTGCTGTTTGTTCATAGATAGATTTCAAAGCCCCGGCGGATATCATTCACAGCAAGCCATGGATGATTCAAGACACACCAGAACACAGCACGTACCTGATAGCTGCTGATGGACTGGTGGTGGGTGCATGGTCAGTGAGTACAGTGTAGTCGCCATACTCATGTACCCACATACATGCAAACGTCCATGCATAATTCCTTGTCAACATCATCTTCGCTAGCCTTCGCAATCCAGCACTAGCAGTCATTCGGCAGTGTGGTTATAGGCAGCGTCTCTATGGGCAGCGTTGCTATGTACAATGTTGCTATGGCCAGCATCACTGTGGGCAGCGTCGCTATGGGCAGCGTCGCTATGGGCAGCGTCGCTATGGGCAGCGTCGCTATGGGCAGGGTCGCTATGGGCAGCGTCGCTATGGGCAGCGTCGCTATGGGCAGCGTCGCTATGGGCAGCGTCGCTATGGGCAGCACCGTCGTTTTGCAGTCCTGATCAAGCAATATCCTTTACTTCTTCAAAATCTTCTTCTTCACAAAGTTGCGACTACGACCATAGATTCCTTTCTTCTTCTTCTTACTGTCGTCGGCTGTTCCAGAGGTAGCCTCAGCCCCCGCCACCAACTCTTCCTTGCCTTTTACGGCCTTGCCTTTCCGGTGCTGCTGCTGCTGTTGCTTCTGCTGCTTCTGTTGTGCTTTCTGTGGGGCAGGACAAGACAGAGAGCATGCATGCAGTGTGCCGCAGAACCGTTAGATGCGCGCCACTAAGTAGTGTGCACTACCAAGAGTACATGTACATCGCAGAGGTTAGATGTGCGCTGCAGAGGTTAGATGTGCGCTGCAGAGGTTAGATGTGCGCTGCAGAGGTTAGATGTGCGCTGCAGAGGTTAGATGTGCGCTGCAGAGGTTAGATGTGCGCTGCAGAGGTTAGATGTGCGCTGCAGAGGTTAGATGTGCGCTGCAGAGGTTAGATGTGCGCCACTGAGCAGTGTGGACTACCAAGAGTACATGTACAAATGTATATCGGCTACTACAACTGTAGCTGCAACAGTCCATGACCTGAAACAATGCACGAGCAGCACTGCTCCACAATGCTATGGGATCTCTACCCTACACACCCCTGCGCACCTGCCTTCATCACAGCAGTCAGCCACAGGTCCAGCATTTCTCTAGGGGCCGTGGGGGGGGGGGGCATGCTATGGGTGGCCTACGTTGCACACTGCCTTCAACACTTCACCACACGTCACCACACACCACCACACATCACCACACATCACCACACACCACCACACATCACCACACATCACCCTACATCACCCTGCATCACCACACGTCACCACACATCACCACACACCACCACACATCACCACACATCACCACACACCACCACACATCACCACACACCACCACACATCACCACACATCACCACACATCACCACACATCACCACACATCACCACACACCACCACACATCACCACACATCACCACACATCACCCTACATCACCCTACATCACCACACATCACCACACACCACCACACATCACCACACATCACCACACATCACCACACACCACCACACATCACCACACATCACCACACATCACCACACATCACCACACATCACCATACATCACCACACATCACCACACATCACCATACATCACCATACATCACCATACATCACCACACATCACCCTACATCACCACATATCACCCTACATCACCATACATCACCACACATCACCACACATCACCACACATCACCACACACCACAGGGGAGTGCTTGAGGTCTTTTCTAAATTTGAAAGGGAACCGATTCTGCACTTCTACCTACTGTGGTGTGCTCAGTGGCCTGTATCAAGAAGAGCATTGTCGCAGTTTAAAAGTACAGTTTGAAGTAGTGCCGCACTGCTGGTGGCAATGGCAGCAGGGGCGGTGGTGCCGGGTAGAGGCGGCGATGAAGATGTCAGCGACTATGATGGTGGTGTGGTATGGCCTTCAGGTACTACCTCCGTAACAGCACAAGGCTTATCACCATTATATTTTCCTGGCATGTGACAACTGAAAAATCTAAATCCGTCACTATTCTGTCCTGTCTTTGTCAGGTGTCGCCACTCTCTTACCTGAGTGGCTGGTATCTCCTCGTGTGCGCTCTCCTGCTCAAAGCCAACATCGATGGCCCTCTCAGCGGTCATTCCCTCATTACGCACGTATAGCATTCCATCGTCACCTTCAACAATGATGTCATTTGGCAATAATTCAACAAAGTTTGAAGGAACTAGACCAGTTTGACCATTCAGCTCCGCCTGTTATGTACACGCAAACACGCACGCACAGAAACACACACACACACAAATACATGCACACACACACACACATACACACATCATGATGCATACATAGTACTGTAGCGGACATGGAAATCCAATCGATTGACCGGGGCCGGCGCCCTCAGCGCGCGTACAGCACACTGCATGCAGTGCATGTTGATCCGATGCGACCAGCGCGCTGCAGCGCATAAGCAGCATGTGTGTACAGCTTATCCACGGCTGCATGGCCAGCGCCCTGGGGCCGCTAGACGTGCGACCGGATTTCCATGTTCACGACAGTACATTATACACTAACATCAGTATATTATACACTAACATCAGTATATTATACACGTACAAACATTCTATTAAAAATGGCCCGTGTACATCAGATTTCTTTACCAGAAATTCCTATTTCCAGATCCTATATTTTCCCAGATGAATTCTCACTCTCTTATGCAATATTTCCTTTCTTCATTACTTCACTTGTCCACGCAAGAACAAAGTGATACCCGTGGATTCAGGCAAAGAAAATATCATTTTCTTTTTAATTTTGACTTACACTACCCTAGCTAGTGTGTGCAAGCATCCATTGATCACACTGCGGCCATGTTTGTACTCATCCACTGATCACACTTCCATGTTTGTACTCATCACTCACCCCTACTTGAGTGCACTGCGGCACGGCACTCACATTGCCAACGTATAGCTTTGCGCATGCCTATCCTGATGCCAAACGTACATGATTGTATCTTCCATGGCAATGCCAACCAAAAATGGCGACGTTCCTGAATGTGCGTGGCTCCTTACTTTCATCTTCTTTCTTGCTGTTGGCTTCGTTGCAAAGTCAAATTATTTGTTAACTTCTAGCTCGTGCTAGCATCAGGTTTCACCCTCCATCCCTCCCATCATATCCTCTTGCTAATGATACTAGGGAACATTTAGCTTTATTGCTCCTAGCTGGTCATTCGCTTCGCTAGTTGTGGCTCATCACGAGCCAGTTGCAGCTCTTCATGAGCCAGTTGCTTCCAATTGCTTGCCGTTGCTGCAAGTTTGCAACCCTATTGTGGGTCTATACTTTATAGCGGCTCCTCACGGACCAATTACTGCCAGCGGCAGCCTTGCATTGCTTTCCAGCTCTTTGACCCTTTTCATTACAAGACCAGTTACTCAAAGCAGCACACTATCTCCAAAACAATTCCCTGTTGCCTTGGCTGGATATGAGCGTGTAAGGGATAGGGTGCTAAACCAAATTTACCTATGGCAACCAACCAAGCCAACCGGCCAACTGTGCTTGTGTGTGTGTGTGTATTCGTACAGTACCTGGTAGAAGCCATCGGCATCGATATCACCAAATGTTCGCAGAATGTCTCCAGCCGAGAACGTTAGTTCAGTCTATTGTATGACAACAGCAAAACAGAATGCACGCACAATCCGACAGACGGGTTGACGGACATACATACAGACAGGCCGATGGAGATACAGACATATTCACAATGGCCATACACGCAGACAGAGATACATACAGACACAATTTACTCCAACTGGAGGTTCATACCCAGAAACCAGTCATATCAGCTCATTGAAAATCTGAGACTCCCAGCAGCTAAGCTAAGCTAGGTTGCAAGAAGTGTAGATAATATGTATCATATGTAACGAATTCAATTGGACGCATTCTCGAGATTTTGACTTTGACTGACCCAGGTCTGTGGAAACAGGGATGCAGCCAATGGGATTTCGCGAACCGTGAATTATTTTAGGTATGTGGTGTAAGAAAGAGGGAGTTCATGTATTTGGGTAGATCCATATTTGGGTTCTTTTCACTCTCGGCAGAACTATTGGTAGCGACCCAAAAACAAACTAAAACTTGGAATAGAACTATTGGTAGCGACCCAAAAACGAACTAAAACTTGGAACAGAACTTGACATCACCTCTTAACAAATCGGTAGTTAAGGAAACTGAATTGAGCTATCCTGGTCTCTTACCTCTGCATCTGGGTTTGGAGACAGTGTCTGTGGGTCATACGCATAGAGGGCACGTGCAAACTGCCACTCTGCCGCCAGTTGTAGCACAGCATAGCACAGCATAGCACGGCATAGCACAGCATAGCACAGCAGAACAACAATACAAGCAGAGAGTCAGAGGACAGGACAGCTAAACAGTGCTTGACAGTAAGAACGTAAGACAGCAAAGAGAGCAGTGCAACCAGAGATCAGTACAACCAGAGATCAGTACAACCAGAGATCAGTACAACCAGAGATCAGGACAACCAGAGATCAGGACAACCAGAGATCAGGACAACCAGAAGACAGTCAGAAAACATGAGCAGCATGCAACAAGGAGACGCATGCACACATGTCTGAATTGAATTATTCGAGAGATAAGAGATGCAAATTACACACGTCGGGAACACATGTGTGATGCAACCATACAACACACAGTGTGTGATGCAACCATACAACACATATTGCCACATCCTAGCACATTGAACAAACTGACCACACGGGCAAACTGACCACACGGGCAAACTGACCACACGGGCAAACTGACCACACGGGCAAACTGACCACACGGGCAAACTGACCACACGGGCAAACTGACCACACGGGCAAACTGACCACACGGGCAAACTGACCACACGGGCAAACTGACCACACGGGCAAACTGACCACACGGGCAAACTGACCACACGGGCAAACTGACCACACGGGCAAACTGACCACACGGGCAAACTGACCACACGGGCAAACTGACCACACGGGCAAACTGACCACACGGGCAAACTGACCACACGGGCAAACTGACCACACGGGCAAACTGACCACACGGGCAAACTGACCACATGCACTATCATTGGATTTACTCACCACATTCTCTTTCGGTGCTTTCCGGATTTACTTCAGTCACCGTTGCTACTGGTTGTGGCATGTGAGTCTTGCCATCACCCCAAGCTGATGTAGCTACTCCAGCTGCTGCTGTAGCTGTAGGAGTAGTCAATCGATGTGTTGCTGCTGATGGTGCTGCTGCTGCTGCTGTTCTTGCTGCTGTTGTTGGGGGTGTTATGAGCCCAGCTGGCATGCTCAACACTCCTTGTGCATCAAGACTAGATGGTGTTGGTGTGCGAGTCTCTAGCTCAACAATCGGCGTTAGAGATCTGCTATGAGAAAATGCACTGGTTACCTCTCGGCTCTGAACGTGATGATGCGGCTGTAGATGCTGTTGTAGATGTTGTTGGTTTTGAGTATCGTGATGTTCATCTGTACCGTCATCGCTACTATTGCTGCGACGCCTGGCTTTCTTCTTGTTGCTAGTGTCACTGGCTGGCTCATTGTCCTGTTGCTGCTGACTCTGCTGCTGACTCTGGTACTGATTAACAACAGTGAGCAGATGCTGCTTGGTCTCCTCATTGTCACACTCCACTTTCTCCACCATGTTGGAGGGGATGAGACCGCGCTTCCCTAGCCGCTCACCATACAGAAATCCACACGAGTCCACAGATCTCAAGACCTGTGCAGAATAATCCAATCAATCCGGCAAGAGAACACAGCAGCAGCAGCAGCAATAACAACACACATGCATGGATTCACACATGGACACACACACACACACACACACACACACACATGTACACACGCAAGCACGCAGGGAAACACAATAAGTACTCAAATCATTAGAGAGCAGCAGAAGCAAATGAACCCAACTGAAAGTTCACAAATCAGATAACACGGTAGAATATTATGCTGAATGTCATCTATCCTGCATGGTGCCATAGACCACTAGCAACAGCACATACAGCCATAGACCACTAGCAACAGCACACAGACCACTAGCAACAGCACATAGAGGCATAGACCACTAGCAACAGCACATAGAGGCATAGACCACTAGCAACAGCACATAGACCACTAGCAACAGCACATAGAGGCATAGACCACTAGCAACAGCCCATAGAGGCATAGACCACTAGCAACAGCACATAGAGGCATAGACCACTAGCAACAGCACATAGAGGCATAGACCACTAGCAACAGCACATAGACCACTAGCAACAGCCCATAGAGGCATAGACCACTAGCAACAGCACATAGACCACTAGCAACAGCACATAGAGGCATAGACCACTAGCAACAGCACATAGAGGCATAGACCACTAGCAACAGCACATAGACCACTAGCAACAGCACATAGAGGCATAGACCACTAGCAACAGCCCATAGAGGCATAGACCACTAGCAACAGCACATAGAGGCATAGACCACTAGCAACAGCACATAGAGGCATAGACCACTAGCAACAGCACATAGACCACTAGCAACAGCCCATAGAGGCATAGACCACTAGCAACAGCACATAGAGGCATAGACCACTAGCAACAGCACATAGAGGCATAGACCACTAGCAACAGCACATAGACCACTAGCAACAGCCCATAGAGGCATAGACCACTAGCAACAGCCCATAGAGGCATAGACCACTAGCAACAGCACATAGACCACTAGCAACAGCCCATAGAGGCATAGACCACTAGAAGCAGCACATAGACCACTAGCAACAGCCCATAGGGGCATAGACCACTAGCAGCAGCACACAGACCGCTAGCAACAGCACATAGAGGCATAGACCACTAGGTGTAGCATCACGCGTTGGGGCAGGTTGTCACTGTGCACGCCCGGCCGATAGCGGATCATGTATATATAGTACGGGGGCCAGGGCTGAAAAAAGTGCTTCAAAAAAAGTTTCGTTCCGACTTTTAGCGCACAACAATTTGACACCACAGAGTCATAGCGGAGGCAATACAGACATGAAATCTAAAAAAAACCGCTTCGAAAAGTGAATGGAAGGTCCCGAACGAGGTTATTTTGTCTTCCACTCGGCCATTACGTGCGGTATGCCCTGGAAGTCGTAAAATAATGACTTGTCAAGACAGATGAGACTTCCCTACACAACCCTAGTGCAGGCCCGCTGCGCAAAACTAAATTCAGTCCTGGTATTGTTGACACGCAGGTGATGGTTTCGGCACCACGAAGGGCCCGGGCAACAATTTCGAAAGTGGAGTAGGATGTGGTATGTCCTGAATGACTGGGTCAACTCTCTCTCCTCCGATCGACTTCCGAGTCAGTCCTGGTATTGTTGACACGCACGTAGCGGTTTCGGCACCACGAAGGGGCTGCACCTCTAGCACTAACAATGTGAGTTTCACGACGGTAATCTGGCACCATCATGGAGGTGCCGGGATGTCGGAGGGCAAACATACGCCGAGGGCAACTCGGCAAAGCGTCTCGGCTCCCGTCGTCGAGCCAGGACGGAAAGATTGCATTTTCTGTCGAAAGTTGTTGCTCGGAAAGAAGCACAAGTACCAAAAGACATCTCAGTGCCAATCTCTCAACGCAGCCCAGAAAGTGTTCGATGCAGCCGAGGTAAGAGAGGACAACGCAATTCGAGAGGTACATTACCATCGTGACGCGAGTTTTGGAAGACAAAAATGACATCGATTTATCGGACAGTACAGGTGGAGAGGCGCAAGTGTTGGCTAGCTTCCTTGAAGTAGTCCACAAGAAAGACTTGCGGCACAGGAAAAGAAGTTCCTGGATCCCATTCCAAAATTGAAGCTCGATATATTCTCAAACAGAAAGTCACGAACGGCAACCAGCCAGAGCAAAGCAGTATCTGTATTGCATGCCGACTGCGCTCTTTCCAGCAAGATGGCTGTTATCGCCCAGAGTCGCCATATGGATGTTCGTCAAATTCTCTCGTACCCATTGAGATCAGCACCGCTATCTCTCTGTACCTCAGATGGCACAGTAGTGAAGACTAACAAGTCTGCACTGCTCCAGTTATGAAGGTTTCTGATGGTGTAAGTCCACCCGGAAATACTCCATCTGAGTCAAGTGCTCTCATTGTTGATGCTATGGCTATGTTACAAGCCATGAGCTAGAAATCACTACCTGCAACCTTCTCTGACCTTGCATATAACATCTTATCACTCCCTTAGTATTGACTCCCATTCATTTTCGCTATACCTAAGCAGTCAAATATTCCTGCATATTTCAGTCCTTAGGGGCTATATTGACTGCTTATATTCGACTGCTTAGAGGTTGCGCAGTTGAACGGTGCCTAGTGCAGCATTGTCACTGCATGAGTAGGTGGTGGTGCAACGGTTGTGCAATCGTAAAACCGGGATTCATGAGGTTATCGTTCTGGAATTTGAAATACGGACTGTTTGTCGTGATAAATCTAATATTGACTTCGTACTTGGGCTCGCCATCACTTTCTTTGCCTACTAAGTTTCGTTTTGTTAGGTCTATTGTACTCGCGACTGTTTTATACGGATGCCAATCTTGGACATTATCTGCCTCATCAATGAGAAGAATTTCATCCTTCTAGATGAAATGCTTCCGCCGACTCTTAGGAGTAACATACCACGACCGGCGTACCAACCAATCTATCCTGGAAGAAATCAATGACATCATCGGAGCAAGGATGCGGCTAGCCAACGAAGTCAAGAAATTTAAGTTGATGTGGTTTGGCCATGTTACGAGACATGACGTTTTCTCCAAGCCCTTCCTGCAAGGATCAACTCCTGGATCAACTCCTGGATCTCGACCGAGAGGAAGGCCCGCGACATCATGGATTTCTAACATTAAATGTTGGACGGGTCTTCCCTTGCATGCACTCTCTCATGCAGCACACGATAGAGTTGGATTCAGAGACATCATTCACAATTCTCTCGCTGATTAATGCCTCTACGATCACCTTGTGATTATGAGTTATACATACAAACATACATTTTTCGAGCACTCTTGGCGGGGTTTGCAGCTCTTTATAAAAATGCTTTGCTTCACGGAAACTTATTTCATTGCGAAGAGCTGCGCTTCGGTCCTCTGAGCTGTGCTGATGAGCTCTAACAGAGCAAAACAGTTGCTGTCCACAGATTTGAGTACATACATACATACATACTTGGTCAGTATAGGAAATAAAAACCTCGTAAAAGACCTCGGCTTCGCCTCGGTCTTTTACTCGGCTTTTATTTCCTATATTGACCTCGTACTCAGTCAATATTAGATACTTCATTCACTGCTCACCAAGGCTGGAAACTAGTGGACGGCAAGCTCCAGGTTGCAAAGCACAGTCTTTGCATTGCACTGATGTTTGTGGATGCAGCGCTGCAGATAACTGCCAGAACAGGGCCAGTGATCTGGGACCATAAACTGTCACTATAGCATGAGATTGAGTTTCAATTACGTACATCTACATTACATACACATCCATGGACAATGTACACGTAAGAGTAGTATGTTTTTTTACATTCCTTTCTGGCATTCCTGCAGTCTGTATATATCCCAATGGTCTTCATTCCAGATCGTGTTCACTTGATTTGAGTCATTCAATCGTTTTACAACATTACTGTAGGCTAAAAATAAGAATAAAACAGTAGTTGCTATGGTGTTGCTATGCAGTTGCCATGGTTACCATGCACTAAACTTCAACGGCTAATTTCAGCACCTTCCATCACGTTTCGAGGGTCAAAAAATATATCGTTGAGCTCCTTGTGGTCCCCTCTACACGTTGAAACTCTCAAAAAGTTGTGCGCTCTCAACTGCAACGAAAGTAAACATTTTGGGCACCTGGCCCCCGTACTATATAGGGTTCCCTGTAAAAAAGGCGCCGCCGCCTGTTGGGAATTCCCTAGTAAAAGAAGAATACACGTGTTCCCGACATGTGTATGTGTGTGTGTTCTACACAACTCACCATAAGCAGATCTCCTTCTTTGAATCCGAGTTCTTCACTAGTGTCAGGGTTGGGTGAATGCAGTGATGGGTCATAGTCATAGATAGCAGTGTACAGGCATGGTCCACTCAACCAATCGCCACCACTCAGACTAACAACACAACAGCCATCACATGATGGCATGGGGTAGCAGCATCCACGATGATGGTAACGATAACAGTGACAGTGGCAGTGACAGTGGTATTGCACACCGACCACGTCCACACGTCCACATATCACATCATAGAAGACACGGTGATGAGAAGAAAAAGCACACACACAGACAAATACCCGCAAACACACCCATGCATGATGCACCCACGGACGTACATGCATGCAGACATACACATGTACACACACTCACCCGGACACACTCACCCGAACACATACAGACATACACACACCATTCAGTCGTAAAAAAACAAGGTAGGCAGTGTGCAATGTCACCGTGGCAACACTGATGTGCTGCATAACAAATATGCAGGGTTACACGCCACTTGTATTTCTGAACAATCATCAGAATGATATTAGTATTCAGTGCCTTTCGCTTACACCCTATCATACACTTCAGTCCAAACAAGCATGGCCTCGCAGTGACATAATTACTCCCAAGTGTGTTCGTTTGTGTGTGTGTGTTGGGGGGGGGGGGGAAGTGCTCCACTCCGGTGGTTTTGTGTTTTTGGGGGGGGGGGGGAGCACTCCACGTTGGTGGTGATGGGGGGGGGGGGGGACTGTGGCTCAGGGAGCTGTTGCTCAGAGGACTGTGACTCCAAACGAGGAAGCTGCAGTTCCCAATTGAGCACCTGGTCATGAAAACTAATCATGCATGTACATGTGTATGTCGCACAACTTAGAACCACTAACTGTGACTTGGCATACATAACTCAGCACTACAGTGTCTACACTGCATCATGTCTGTACAGTGTACAAAGCACTACACTGCATCATGTCTGTACAGTGTACAAAGCACTACACTGCATCATGTCTGTACAGTGTACAAAGCACTACACTGCATCATGTCTGTACAGTGTACAAAGCACTACACGTAAAGAATATCTCATGAGTACGAGGGTGATACCGGCGAATATCAATCCCGACTGCGAAGCAGAAGGGATTGATATGAGGGTACGGTATCACCCGAGCTACGAGGGTGATATTCTACTTATCACATATGACCCTACACCATGTACACACCATGTGTCTTCTTATCACATATGACCCTACACACCATGTGTCTTATCCCATATGACCCTACACACCATGTGCACCGTACTTCATGCTCTTCCTGCTACACAACTACATTGCCACAGTAGAGTTTAGTTTGAACTTAGGTAAAGCATAGGGTAGGAAGGAAAAGTATAGAGGAGTGGAAATAGAAGAGTTGATTGAAATGGAGTACTAGTATTGTAAATTGTAAATGGAACACTGCATTGCAGAAACGAGCCAACTTCAGCGCAGTTCCTTCACATCGTTCACATGTATGTGAACGGCACCACTGAAGTTGCCAGAGAATATGAATTTTGCGCTATTCTCCGACGTCACCGTTGATGAACTGGTAGTGACAGAAGCTGACGGGGGTGGTGCCTGAGGCTCTTCCAAGGCCTGCAGTTCCTCCGGAGTCGCGCACTGCAGTGCTTCATCAATGGCGTCTACGTCCAACAGGTGAGCAGTTTTCATCTTGTCATGCTCGCTTGGCTGCAAGTACGAGTCTAGGCTTTGGGCATTCCGATGGCCGGAAGTACGCATGATTGTAGTGGCACTCACATTTTGCTTAGCCAAGGTCGTAATGGCGGTGGCGCGCACACTGTGGTTGGTGTAGATCTGGCTTAGTCGCGCTGTTTCGCTCATCTTCTTCATCATGCCATCGATTTTGTTTTTACCAAACACTTGGCCTGTGTACCATTCTGCATCCTCTGGCTGGTAATGTTTGCGTGGTATCTGAAAGAGTCGCTTGGACTTCACAGACAACTTTGAAGTGAGGAGTAGGACGGCTTCCACCTGCCAGTCGGACACTATCATCCCATCAGACACCGTGTCCTTTCCTTTAATGCCGCCTTGCTGGTTCTTCTGGGCGAATGCTGTGGCTAATGTGATGTATCTTTTGCCTTTGTCGTTGGTCTTCACATCCAGGTCGTCGGATGTTAGATACGCCTGAATCTCCGAACCACGCAGACAGAAGTGGTAAGTGATGACGAACCAGACAAGGTAGGTGAGGTGATCCGCATTTGTCTTCCAGTCACCGAGGTGCTTGTAGATCTTTTCTTTGTCGCTATCGGAGATGGGAGGCTTGTGCTGCGTTGGTGCTACCAGGCCGTCTTTCTTTAACTGCTTTAGGTAGCCATCAAGTACTTGGTTAGCCTCGATAAACTCACTATCAGTATAGAGATTGATGGTGCGCTTCCGCTCTTGCAGTTCACGGTGAATGGCACTCCGAAACTGCAGTAAGCTGTTCTTAGAATACGGCTGTTTGTTGACTTGACGGATTTCAACATAGGCATGCTTCAGGATAGATGCTAGATCAGTCGCTTGTATTGTTTTCAAGTCGCACGTTTTCTTGTTCTCCACACACCAAGTGTCAAAAACACGCATCCAGTTCTTAGTAGCTCGTTTGGTGTTTGCGGGAACACGACTTTCACGTATCCTATCCAGATCTGACTCAGACACTTGCACAAATCGCTTAACTCTTTCTTCACTGCTGTGCTGTTCTGACGAAACGCGCTTTTCAGTAGTGGTCTTTTCCACCACCTCACCAGTTGCTAACGTCGCAGTTGCTGTAGATGATAAAGAGAATCCTGACATGTTGGCTATTTCATCTGTAGATAAAAAGTTGAAGTAGTTGGAAGCGGCATCCAAAACTTCTGCATCTTCCAAGTCAATATCACTTGCACCCAAGTCAAAGCTAGCCATCTTACTGGTAAAAATACCGAAAGTGACCAGACCCAGAAGTATTGTCGAGTATTTGTGCTTTCTGTGTACGTGTGCACAAACCATGAGGGTCCTTGGCTCATTGTTCTAGGAACGGAATCAATGACTCCATTCTTGGTAAGTGTTTTCCTTGGTCATGTTGTATTTCCTGCAACTTAGGCGTACTATTCTCGGAATTCTTGTTTACTAACTTTTAGTATAAATTCCAATTCCTCTAAAGTGTACTATATTGCATTCCATATTTAGCATTTTGATTGCTCCTTCTAGCCCTATGTTTCAGGCTCTACTGAGCCTACCTGGTAGACCCCCCCCCCCCCCCCCCACCGCTTTCGCCAGCAAGGCCAAAGGGGCGGGGGGGGGGGGGGGGTAGGCGCGGCAGTAGGGCCTGTAGCGTAGGGCCTAGCAGGAACAATCAAGTGCTAAATATGGAGTGCATTTATAGTACGCTTTCGAGTATATGCGTACGGTGTACGCAGCAGGGGTGATATAGAGCAGCAGGGGTGATATGGGCTAGGCGGGGTGATATCGGCCTATATCACCCGCCTACGAAGGCCTCTGATTGGTTCAATCCATGGAAACCATCACCTGATATGTGATAATGCATCATGTCTGTACAGTGTACAAAGCACTACACTGCATCATGTCTGTACAGTGTACAAAGGACTACACTGCATCATGTCTGTACAGTGTACAAAGGACTACACTGCATCATGTCTGTACAGTGTACAAAGGACTACACTGCATCATCACTGTACAGTGTACAAAGGACTACACTGCATCATGTCTGTACAGTGTACAAAGGACTACACTGCATCATGTCTGTACAGTGTACAAAGGACTACACTGCATCATGTCTGTACAGTGTACAAAGGACTACACTGCATCATGTCTGTACAGTGTACAAAGGACTACACTGCATGTCTGTACAGTGTACAAAGCACTACACTGCATCATGTCTGTACAGTGTACAAAGGACTACACTGCATCATGTCTGTACAGTGTACAAAGGACTACACTGCATCATGTCTGTACAGTGTACAAAGGACTACACTGCATCATGTCTGTACAGTGTACAAAGGACTGCACTGCATCATGTCTGTACAGTGTACAAAGGACTGCACTGCATCATGTCTGTACAGTGTACAAAGGACTACACTGCATGTCTGTACAGTGTACAAAGGACTACACTGCATCATGTATGTACAGTGTACAAAGGACTACACTGCATCATGTCTGTACAGTGTACAAAGGACTACACTGCATCATGTATGTACAGTGTACAAAGCACTACACTGCATCATGTCTGTGCAGTGTACAAAGCACTACACTGCATCATGTATGTACAGTGTACAAAGGACTACACTGCATGCCTGTACAGTGTACAAAGGACTACACTGCATGCACAACACTCGTTTACACCAAACTTGTCTGCTTCGGTGAAAAGTTTGTTATTTTTCTCACAATTAGGGTCCTCTAAATTTGATGATGTGAGCAGGTTGTGAGCAGGTTAAAAATAATACAGTGAACCCTGTCTAAGGCGACCGCTCAAGTGACCTTCAAAATGTGGTCTCTGTTGCCAGGTGGTCTCCTTATCCAGGGTCGTTTGACTGGAAATAGCATGCCTTGGTCCTGTTTACAGTGGTCTTCTGGGACAGGTGGTCGCCGTATCCGAGCGGTCGCCTTGACAGGTCTTCCTGTAATGTGTTGTTCAATAGACTGCATTGCGATAAGCGGCTCGGCCAGTTACTCTGATCTCTGAAGCCCGGCCTGTCACTCTGATCTCTGCTGATGAGACGCTACAAGGACACAACAAGATTTTAACCCTTTAGGGCCCACAATTATTTCAAGAAATGCACTGCATACGCGAGCCCGGGTACTTATCTGGTCGTAACTTTGGTGTCCTTTGGCCGATTTTGGTGATCTTAGGCTTTCTGGAAAGCTCTTGGCCAGAGGAACACAGCGATAGCCAGCAATACATCACTCGATCCACAGAACCAGCGCCGCAGCGCGATACGGCGCTCCAAAGCCAGCATTGCGAGCGCCCAACTCAAATTCTCTGCCATTTCAACAAATTGCATCGCAGATCGCTCAAATTTTTTTACTGGAGAGCTGAGAAACATGCCTTTGCGATGACGTGAACTATCTGTAGCTGCGTGGGCCGCGAGTCAGGGAAAACCCCTAAAAACGAGTTCAAAATGCACAGGCTCGAGTTGACTCTGCTGAGCGAATTTAGTTCGAGTCTCGTATCTTCGCTCTCCGAACTCGGATCGCTTTCGGGTTTTTTCGAGCCGATAGCTGAGACAATTGTAATGTTGATAGCCCTTTCGATTGTCCGATTTGGTCAAGAGACGGCCGAGTTACGCCAGGTTGCGCTTTGAAAAGTATGCACTGTACACTGGTACGGATATATCCGTACTATGGGCCTCAAAGGGTTAAAGAAGCCAGCTGTCTGGATAGTTAGGGGTGCTTACCTCTCAGCAGGGGAGCTACTGAAGTCATCATGATCATTGTGAGCAGCGTTGGCACCTCTAGTGCTGTGGTCCTCGTTCTCTTGTAGCATAGGGTCCAGGATAACAGTGGAGGATTGGAGTTTGGACTTCAGACCTGTGGCAGTTATGCTTTTCGTGTTCTTTTCACCTTGGTTAGGATGAGATGAGATGCTGCTGGTAGGACTGGTTTCACTCAGAAGCTCATCCATGTTTTCAATATCACTGACATTGAACGTCGATCCATCAGCAGACAACACTGACGCTCTCCTCACGGCAGTAGTAGTAGCAGGACCAGCAGCATCTGATGATGATGGTGCTGCAGCTGCAGCTGCCTGGTGTGGAGCAGTATTGTCAGAAGCTACACTGGTAGATGGATGGTGTGCTTGTTCCTCTGTAACAGGTGGCTGTACAAGCTGCAGATTGTCAGCATTGAGCAGGACCTGCGCGGAATAGACTTGCTCCTGTAATGAAGTCGAGAATGTGGAAACCTTAACGGAGTATGTATTCGACTGTGGACCGGCTGTAATGCTCTCAAACACGTCATCGGGCAGCAGGGCTTGAGAACAAGTAACGGGCAGTGTTGACGTCACAGAACGACCATTCACTGACACCTGCATTGCACAGGCAGCATACAGGAGACAGCACAGTACGTCGAGCATCAGCAGCAACGATGGTAGCAGTAGCAGCAACAGCATTAGCATTAGCAGCAGCCGCAACATCAACAACAGCAGCAACAGCATCAACAGCAGCAGCAACAGCAGCAACAGCAGCAACAGCAGTAGCAGCAGCAACGGCAACAGCAGCAACAGCAGCAGCAGCAACGGCAACAGCAGCAGCAGCAACAGCAGCAGCAGCAACAGCAGCAGCAGCAACAGCAGCATCAGCAACAGCAGCAGCAGCGACAGCAGCAGCAGCAACGGCAACAGCAGCAACAGCAGCAGCAGCAGCAGCAACAGCAACAGCAACAGCAGCAGCAGCAGCAACAGCAGCAGCAGCAACAGCAGCAGCAGCAGCAACAGCAGCAGCAGCAGCAACAGCAGCAGCAGCAGCAGCAGCAGCAACAGCAGCAGCAGCAGCAGCAACAGCAGCAGCAGCAACAGCAGCAGCAGCAGCAGCAGCAGCAACAGCAGCAACAGCAGCAGCAGCAACAGCAGCAACAGCAGCAGCAGCAACAGCAGCAGCAGCAGCAACGGCAACAGCAGCAACAGCAGCAGCAGCAACGGCAACAGCAGCAACAGCAGCAGCAGCAACCGCAACAGCAGCAGCAGCAGCAGCAGCAGCAGCAGCAACAGCAGCAGCAGCAGCAACAGCAGCAGCAGCAACAGCAGCAGCAGCAGCAGCAGCAACAGCAGCAACCCTGATCAGCACACTGCAAATGCATTGGTAGCAGCTTACATCATCTGTGAACAGTATCTGAACATCAGGGGAATGTTCATAACAGGGGCATTATCCTGGACTGGCTCAATCTAACCAACTTAACTAAAAGAGTCCTATTAATTTTACTGTTCATTATAGCTTGTACTTGTAGTATCTAGTAATGGTGTCATTCATTATCAGCAATGCTCTCTGCCAGCGGTCTAAAACTTGAAAGAAATGTGGCATATTATCATGTGACTGCTACTGATCGGATGATGTCAGAGATATAGAACGGAGAACATATCATACTAATCTAGCTATGATGTCAGAGATATAGAACAGAGGACATATCATACAAATCTAGCTATGATGTCAGAGATATAGAACAGAGGACATATCATACAACTTGATCTAGTTATCAACACATGTACAGCATTGACCGTGCATGTGCAAGTGCACGTGCCTATGCGTTTGTGGATGCATATGAGAGTGCACGCGGACGGATGCATGTGCGTGTGTGTGTGTGTGTGTGTGTGTGCATGCATGTGTGTGTGTAGTTGTGGGTGTGGGTGGGTGTGCATGCGTGCATGCACGCATGCGTGCGTGGGTGTGTAGGTACAAATACGTATGATAGTATTATCAGATAGAATTAACAGTACCTGATGCCAACCATCATGTTGAGAGACATGGTCAGCCGGTAGAGTCCATGTAACACTGATGTCTCCATTGAAGTTGTTGTGAAATTGAACATTGTCAACTGGACACAGACTAGCTGTACACAACAATAGCAATTGTTATGAAATAGAGAGAGCAGCACAAGTCAACCCAAGTGATTACAATACAGGTGATTACATAGGATGTTGTCAAAGTTTATCAACAATCATGTACGAAAGAGAAAGTACCAAGGAACTACAAGTTACGCTATACTGTCCACTAACACCACCAGTTACTAAACAATCAGCTCATGCGATAACATTGCACGACACTGACCGACGGCACTGACATTCTGATTGTTTAGTAACTGGTGGTGTTAGTGGACAGTAGAGCGTAACTTGTAGTTCCTTGGTCCTTTCTCCTTTGTATAAATTAATTCCTGGCTCTCCATCCGAGTCCAATCATGTACGAACTCGGATGGAGAGCCAAGGATAAATTTTTAGGAAAGAAAAGACCAAGAAACTACAAGTCACGTTATACTGTCCACTAACACCACCATTAGTTACTTGATTATCAGCTCATGCGATAAAATTGCACGACACTGACCAACTGTACTGACATTCTACAACTAACTGCCAATCAACTCTAGCACTTCTTGGATGCGCACTCCAATAGCCTTCCAGCTTGGAAGGTCCAAAGTTACAGGAATAACATAGGAGGGGAAGGTGCGCGCAACCAAGACCAGCACAAGCTGAAAGTCTTAGCTGTGAAGAACGTTGGCGGATGTACATGCATGTCGATGACGATACTGGCAAGACCATAGGACAATAATTATGGTCAAACCACGATTCAAGGACGCAGAGCAACATTCCACACAACTTGTGTGGCTCTAAAGATGCGAAGATCAATTGAAGGGGAAGCTAAGCGAACAAGAATCATTCAAAACCGAACGCCTGAGTAAAACAGCACTCTACTTTGACTACTACAACTTAGATGGACAATAAGCAGCAGTAACAAGCAGCAGTTTCACACGATGACCAACGTTATTATTAGAAGAGCTGCATCCCAGTAGACTGGGACCAAGGCCTTTTGACTGAATGCCAATATTCAATAAGGCTACGAATTCTAAAGGTTTTTTTGGTTTTGAAGCATGACGTCCCTGACCCACACGCTTACCATTCCTCTTTCCAGCAGTGAGGAGGGTGGCTGGATCCGGTGACACACCGTGTGCAGTGACGGTACGTACCGATATACTGTACTGCTCCTGAAACACACACACACACACACACACACACGCACACACGGACACACATACACACGCACACATGCACACCCAGACATACATGCACTTATACACACCATAATTATACTGTCAGGTTTACATGGGTTTACAGACAAAATAATATTATGCATGTGCATGTGCTCAACTGGCACATTATCCACATACGTACTTCACCCACCAATCACGGCTATAGTTCATGACAGTATGCCTAATGTCCAAACCAGTACATTCTATACACGCTATAAACACACCGAGTAGACATGATAGAAACACCTGTCTAAGACGACCACTCAATGGACTGGTAAAACGTGGTCACCTTGGCCAGGTGGTCAGGTGGTCACCTTGGCCAGGTGGACAGGTGGTCCTCTCATGCAGGTGTACTGTAGTAACGTGGGGGTTCATGTGTGCTTGTCACAGTAGCTGGTGCTGAAGGAGACGTGTCAAACAGGATAACCTAACATGAGAGCAGACTGTCTAGTTAAAGATACGCACTGCCAAGATGTCCCCACAACGTGTATTGTACTATTTAGCAATGGTCAGTGCTCACAACTCACAGCTCACTACTCGCCATTACCCAATGCTGTAGATAGCAAGCTGTTTCGGCCATATACTCACCATTATCTACTCACTATTCACCACCATTGCCTACTGTATCCCGTGTTCAATAGTTTGAGGGAAAGGCGTGGACGGGAAAAATCTAAAGAAAAAATTGACTGTCACCACCAGGACTCGAACCGTGGATGGGTCCTTGCTTATTGCTTATGGCCAGCAATGCTCTACCACTAAGCTATGATGTAGTCATCATCCCAGTACTACTTACCTCATCCAAGCATAATCCTTGTATAGTGCTAGTGGTTTGGTTAGCTCTTGTAGTCTCATAGATATGCCCATCCACAAGTACATGATACCCTGTCACAGCAGCTGTAGCGGAGTGCTCTGGTGAGTTCAGAGCCATAGCTGCTGGCGGTGTCCACTGTATAACAACACAGGAATCCTCCGCCATCTGTCTCTGTACAGTCAGACGAGTTGGTGCTTGGATGTTGTAGTCTATGTCACTCGTGTCTTCCTTGTCATCTTCATCATCACTACAATCATTGTCGTCGTCGTCGTCGTTGCTGTCGTCATCCCTACTGATCGTCATGGTTTCACCATCATCTGCCTCACCATCACCAGCTGGAGCATCTTCAGTGATGACTAGCTCCACAAAGTTGCTTGGCACAAGACCACGGCTGCCATCCAGCAATTCACCGTGATAGAAGCCATCCTCATCTACATCACCTCGTACATAAATGTAATCACCTACACAGGACAGAATCAGCAACAAGCACGCAAACACACACACACACACACACACACACACACACACACACGTACACATGTGCACACATACACATACGCATACATACATACATGCATTCGTGTGCACACACACACACACATACCAATAGAGAGCCGGCAGAGAGAGACAACTATCAGCTATATATCTCCTTCAGATACCTATAACCTGGCTCAAAGATATAAAGGCAAATAGGAAACAGGATTCTAGCCAAGAAAAATCGGGTGGGGGGGGGGGGCTTGGGGAAACAAACTGTTCACTTTTTTTCATGTTGCAGCATTGCTTTGTCACACAAAATGCAACGTATGGGTGCTCTGAGCACCCGGCACGATCGATTTGTGGCTGCATTTTCATTGTATGAACTGAAAAACACAAAAATAAAAAAACGAGTAGGGCGGTGAGGTATCAGAGTAGTAGTAGTAGAAATAGTAGTAGTACAATATTTATTATTTTACTTAGTGGGTATACCCAACAGGCCTGTGGCCTTCTTACAGGGTGCCCAAGGAAAAATTGTGAGCGGCTAGCGCGAAAAGCAGGCAAGGTACGCTGGGATCGTATGATAGTGGGTAGTGCATTAAAGCCGTCAGCACCAAGAAATGAGAGACTGTAGAGGCCTGGCCGGGACATGAATGGGGGGGGGGGAGGAGAGAAAGAGACTACTGAATGTTTGGCCTCTGGTTTGGAAGATAGTGTGGGAGCATCATTTCGGGTCGTGAAGATTTGGGAGATGAGGGGACTGCCAAGGGACCTGATGCACCGAAAAGTAAAAATGAATATCTTAAGAGTGAGGCGTAGGCTGAGTGGGTGGAGGTTGTGACAACGCAAAATGGGCTCAACGTCAGCACGGGGAGGGTAAGGAAATACAATACGAACGGCTCGGCGGCTCAGTCCTCGAAGCTTATCGTATTCTGCAGCATGTAATGAATGAACATATGGTGCGCTGGCGTACTCGAATTTGCTCTGTATAACTCCGAGATAGAAAGCTCGGCGAGCCTTACTGTCCAGGTTGTCTCTGCCTTGCCTAAAAGCACCTCGCTTCTTATTAATGTCATCACGGAGGTGGGAGATACGGGGTCGGAAGGTCACCAGAAGGCCACGACCATCAAAGTAGAGGGGGGGGGGCATCAGAGTAGGGGACGCCATCACAGTAGGGGGGGGGTCAGAGCAGGGGACGCCATCAGAGTAGGGGTGGGGGCATCAGAGTAGGGGGCATCAGAGTAGGGGGCATCAGAGTAGGGGGCATCAGAGTAGGATACACCATTAGAGAAAAGGGGGGGGGGGTCAGAGTAGGGGGCGCCATCAGAGTAAGAGGAGGGGGGGGGTCAGAGTAGGGGACGCCATCGGAGTAGGGGGGGGGGGCATCAGAGTAGGGGGCATCAGAGTAGGGGACACCATCAGAGTAGAGGGGGCATCAGAGAGTAGAGGGGGCATCAGAGTAGGGGGATCAGAGTAGGGGGGGGGGGGGCATCAGAGTAGGGGATGCCATCAGAGTAGCACCCTCCCTCCCCCCCCCCTTGGCTGAACCCTGCTTCCGACTTCTGTCAGACCATGTTATAGTGACAAAATTGGAGTGATTATTTTCATCTTCCTTTGTTCCACTGGAAGAAAGGAACCGAGCAAAATCCGATCTCAGTTTTCTTTTCTGCATCCATTTTTAAAGTAAGCTTTAATACATGAATGTATACATGCATGTGCACATACGTTTGTACTAACAGAGACACACAGTAGGGTTAATGACTTGAGTACAAACAGAGACACACAGTAGGGTTAATGACTTGAGTACAAACAGAGACACACAGTAGGGTTAATGACTTGAGTACAAACAGAGACACACAGTAGGGTTAATGACTTGAGTACTAACAGAGATACACAGTAGGGTTAATGACTTGAGAGTACTAACCTTTAGAGAAACTGAGTTCTTCGTCAGGATTGTTGGGTGAGTACTCGTGAGAATCGTAATCATATTTAGCTATGACCACAGTTAGCGGAACAGATGAGTCTTCATCTGCCTGTCCTGTGCCGGTTTGTTCCGTTGCTGTTGCTGGTGCTGGTGCTGCTTGTCCTTGCTCTGCCCACGCTTCCACTCTTTGATTTGAAGGTTGAGAAGTCGACAGAGGCTTACCGGCAGGCTCTGTGATAACAGTGTATGTAGACATACACATTGGGAACACATGTAGGAAATACAACAGAGCAAAAACGGTTCTTCTCTCACCCTGAATTTGGTGTTCAGAAAGACTTACCACACCTGAAGGCACATACATGTATATATGAGGACTCAGTAGAAGGTTTATGCACTATATGATGTCCAGCACCCTATATAGGATTCATAGGTCCAAGATCCCCTGCACGCAGTTCAGGAAGTCCATTGCTGTACTGTAGTTGAGCTGCATGTGCTGCGCCAGACAGACAGACAGACAGACAGACAGGCAGACAGACAGACAGACAGACAGAAACACGTGCATACACAGTACTGGCAATGCGGCACAGCACATCTTACCGGCAGTGCTATCTGTGACCAGACTAAGCTCCTCCAGTACTTGCTGGGCCGAAGTACGATGTGCAGATAGTGAGAGCTGCTGGAGCTCTTCTTGTTCATCATCCTCCTCATAGTCACTACCACTGTCACTAACGCTACTGCCGCTGCCGCTGCTGTCGACAACTGACACATTCTCACTACTCCGTCCACTTTCGTCATCATCGTCATCCAAACTCGTCTCATCATCCTCTGCACTGTCACCATCACTGGCATCACTTTCATTACCATACTCATCTTTCTCTCGCTCCTTGAAATCAGATCCAGTGTGACCCTCCACACTAGCAGATACAGGACGATCCCTCGCATCAACAGCAGCATCATCAGCATCATCAGGGCCGAAGTCAGCAGAACTGTTATCGGCTAGCTTATCTACATCCTCTGTGTGAATAGTGATCTGAGGTGTTTGCAAGACTGCTGCTGCTGCTGCTGCTGCATGGCTGGCCTGAGCAACAAAACGTGAGAAAGAAACACACAAACCGGGTATAGGTACAGGTGAGCCATTGTTCAGTTTTTTTTCCTGTACAGAAAAGAAATGCTAGAGACGTCTTGCTTCAATGAGCTCAACATAATTATGCTCATCTCCTCTCTGCATCGTCTTAGCTATTCACTGACATGCCGACAACGGTAAGCAACGAGCCACTCTCAGGTTCTGTCCCCCCGGTAACTGTTGACTAGAGATCATCAAAGCCAAAACATGTGCTTACCTCATTGCGTACAATTGCATCTGTATTTCCATGGCCTTGATCATCAACAGCACCAGCACTATGAACACTATCAATACTGCTCACATCAGCATTCTCTTCTTCCTCAGAACCCTTGACAGACCGTGGATGAACCCTACCGCTGTCACGATTGCCTTCACTGTCAGCGCTATCTTGCTTGGATTTCTGGGACGGTGTGCTACTTAAACCACGCACAACGTCACCAAACTCGCGCACAAAACCTTCATCATCACTGGAATCAGCCGAGTCGTCATCATCAGTATGTGTAGCTCCGCCCGCAGCAAAGACTTGCGACAGAGATATGTTATCACCGTCTTTGTCGCCAGCATCGCTAGCGTCACTGGCATCACTATCACCACTATCACTGCTACCATCGCTATCATAGGCACTCTTGTCACTGTCATTGTCACTAGTTATAGGTGACCGGCGGTGATCATCACTGCCATCATCACTATCACTAGCCTCACTAGCCTCACTGTCTTCCTGCATTGCAACGTCACTGGCTGTAGCAGTAGACACTGGCTCAGCTTCTTGTAGCTCCTCTTCCAATGTGAACTCTCGGCTAGTGTTATCCTCACTTGCATACGCACTTGGACCAGGCGACTGATCAACGTGAGCATGCAGGCCATGCGAACGTCCCTGCTGATCACGCTGTAAGCCTCCTGACACCAACGTGTCATGGAGACTTCCCGACCCTGGACGCTGATGCTGTGACTTTGTTGCTTTAGTGGCTGCTGCTCCTGTTGGTTTACTGTTGAGCTGCTTGTGTTGAACGACCGGTGATGGTGGGTTGCTGAGTTCCTCCGCTTGGTCCAGCTTGCTCTGAAAGTGACTTACAACAAGCTTCAGTTTGTCTACTTGCTCCATGAGAGCCATGCACTGAAGCTCTTTCTCAGCACACTCCTCTTGGAGACTAACAATCTTTGCCTGTACAGAAGAACATGGAAATACCATGTACACACGCCCATGCACGCACACACGCACGTACACATACATGTACATACTCGTGCCCACACGCGTGCATGCACACGCACATGCACGTCCACGCACGCACATGCACGTCCACGCACGCACATGCACGTCCACGCACGCACATGCACAACACAATCCAGACACAGCACAGTCACCATTGTATGCCGGGTTGCCGGGTTGCCGGGTTGCGGATTCCCCGCCAAGCACATAGAGAATAGTTTCTTCCTTTTCCGTTTCTTTTTCAAAGTCTTCAGTCGGCTGAACAAAACATCACTGCGCTGTTTGTTGCATGCCAACTTGGTCTTGAGGCTGAGGAAGCTAGGGAACGATCAATCATTCACACTTACTGGGCGTCTGTCAAGGAACACGCCGCTTACAGCTTTCTCCGGGGTGTTATCAGAAGCGCATAGCGTAACCCAGAGATACGAGACTAGATGTAGAGGTGCAATGCAGCAATGGATATTATAGTCCTAAAAGCTGGCTGACTGTACCTCACCAAACTACATGCTGAGCTGACAAGTCACTGAGCTGCTGTGCTGAAAGACAGCAGCCATGCGTGGCAGACATACGGCTAACCAACCTACCATGAGTTCTGCAGGTTCTTTGGAAGGTGAGAGCATGGAATTTCCTGATGTACTTCTCGCATCAAACGATGACGACTATACATCACAAGAACAACAGATGCAAACACAGGGATATGACCAACATAAGATACTAGCTGAGAACAAAGACAATACAAGAACATTGATAAGAATGTCAGTTATTCAGACAGTACTGGCAACAGAAAACAACATGTGTACAACAATATGAGCACGCAGTCACGATGGCGTTGCGTAATGGCCTAAACACTACACGCTCCCTATACAATTCATCAACCACAGAGTTTCACATCCCACGGCTTGCTTCAATTGGTTACAGTACTGCCAGGCGCCGAAGACCGGAGCGTCAAAGAACGACCAGCCTAGAAATTCACTAAGCACAGCATACCAATGCATGAACTGTAATTCAACTGTGCGTAGACTGTAATACATGTACATAAAACAAGAACGGTCTCGGCTAGGACCGGGCTGAGGCTGTACCATGGGAACGGTCTAGGCTAGGACCGGGCTGAGGCTGTACCATGGGAACGGTCTAGGCTAGGACCGGGCTGAGGCTGTACCATGGGAACGGTCTAGGCTAGGACCGGGCACTGGCTGTACCATGGGAACGGTCTAGGCTAGGACCGGGCTGAGGCTGTACCATGGGAACGGTCTAGGCTAGGACCGGGCACTGGCTGTACCATGGGAACGGTCTAGGCTAGGACCGGGCTGAGGCTGTACCATGGGAACGGTCTAGGCTAGGACCGGGCACTGGCTGTACCATGGGAACGGTCTAGGCTAGGAGGCTGAGGCTGTACCATGGGAACGGTTTAGGCTAGGAGGCTGAGGCTGTACCATGGGAACGGTCTAGGCTAGGAGGCTGAGGCTGTACCATGATATTCCTACTGTACATGTTGTGTTTTCAATAGCCCAGTACACAGTACAGCTGAAGACACTAGCATATCCTGTGTACTGTAAACCCTAGCTATCTAACCCTGCAGTATACCCTAGCTACCTAACCCTGCCTATGGAAGCTATCCGTATCACGATAGTAGCACTGCGTCAGCAAGCCTACAGTAGAGACTATCATGATACCTTTCATTACAGCATGATCCCGATACTCTATCTCACCACTTTGTCATGTCATTGCACAATCTCACCACGTCACATCATTGTACAATCTCACTTCGTCACACCAAAACCTCACCTTGCTGCATCATCTCATTGCATCACCCTAATGCCTCACTACATCATCTCACTGCATAATCACTGATCATATCACACAAAGCTATTACACTGCAGCAGTGCACAGTAAGGACATACGTACCATGTCAATACCAGTGCTACTTTCAACTTGCACAGCAGTACTGGGTTTGTTGGCAGCGGCCTGGGATTTCAAACTGCTGATCTCCATCTTGGTTGCAGCTAACTCACTGCGCAGTTTCGTGAACTCTTCGTCTCCAAGACCACCACTTTGATCCTATAGGATGAGCACCATAATTATAATAGTGAGGAACAAGAGAGACAAAGAGGCAGATATACCTAACATGTAGATCAACACAAACAGTGAGATATAGATGCATGCGACAACAGTAGGACTAGGAGATAAGGTGAAGGGAGGCATTGCAAAGCAGGGTGACAAGAGACATGGTGAAGAGAGGCAATGTGAAGGGAGACAGTATGTAGAGAGGCAGTATGTAGAGAGGCAGTGTGAAGGGAGCCAGTGTGAAGATGGACAGTGTGAAGATGGACAGTGTGAAGATGGACAGTGTGAAGATGGACAGTGTGAAGATGGACAGTGTGAAGATGGACAGTGTGAAGAAGGACAGTGTGAAGAGGGACAGTGTGAAGATGGACAGTGTGAAGATGGACAGTGTGAAGATGGACAGTGTGAAGAGGGACAGTGTGAAGATGGACAGTGTGAAGAGGGACAGTGTGAAGAGGGACAGTGTGAAGATGGACAGTGTGAAGATGGACAGTGTGAAGAGGGACAGTGTGAAGAGGGACAGTGTGAAGATGGACAGTGTGAAGATGGACAGTGTGAAGAAGGACAGTGTGAAGAGGGACAGTGTGAAGATGGACAGTGTGAAGATGGACAGTGTGAAGAGGGACAGTGTGAAGAGGGACAGTGTGAAGATGGACAGTGTGAAGATGGACAGTGTGAAGAAGGACAGTGTGAAGAGGGACAGTGTGAAGATGGACAGTGTGAAGATGGACAGTGTGAAGAGGGACAGTGTGAAGAGGGACAGTGTGAAGATGGACAGTGTGAAGATGGACAGTGTGAAGAAGGACAGTGTGAAGAGGGACAGTGTGAAGATGGACAGTGTGAAGATGGACAGTGTGAAGAAGGACAGTGTGAAGAGGGACAGTGTGAAGATGGACAGTGTGAAGATGGACAGTGTGAAGAGGGACAGTGTGAAGAGGGACAGTGTGAAGAGGGACAGTGTGAAGATGGACAGTGTGAAGATGGACAGTGTGAAGAAGGACAGTGTGAAGAGGGACAGTGTGAAGATGGACAGTGTGAAGATGGACAGTGTGAAGAGGGACAGTGTGAAGAGGGACAGTGTGAAGATGGACAGTGTGAAGATGGACAGTGTGAAGATGGACAGTGTGAAGAAGGACAGTGTGAAGAGGGACAGTGTGAAGATGGACAGTGTGAAGATGGACAGTGTGAAGAGGGACAGTGTGAAGAGGGACAGTGTGAAGAGGGACAGTGTGAAGAGGGACTGTGTGAAGAGGGACAGTGTGAAGAGGGACAGTGTGAACAAATGCAGTGTGACGAGGGATAATGTGAAGACAATAAGTTCACACATTTGAAGAACTAATAACCTGTGCCAGGCCACATACACTACTGTTTTCATCTTCGCAAAGACTACACGTACATGTACAAGTACTAGGGCTGAAAGTTGGCACTGAGATTCCGAGTTCGAGTACTCTGATTTTCTCCGATCGAATATTCGAGTATTCGAGTAATCTTCATCTCCTAAAAATTGCACACCAAGGGGCTTAAAATCACATGATGCAACCCTGATCGAACAGAGTAGTAGTCATTTTTCTCGGGTATATTGGTTGGTGGGTCATTTGGGCTCTCTCCACTCGTGAACAAATGTTCACCACACAGTCTGCTCATCAATATCTGCTGACTGCTGCTCTGAAACTGCAGATTTCTGTGGTAAATGCATGTACCAAGTATGAACGAGTACTCTGATTTCTTCCGAGTACGATTATTTTTGAAAAAAACGAGCGAGTACTCGAGTATTTGGTATAATTGTTTCAGCCCTAACAAGTACTGATTTGATAAATGGCACGTGTGTCAAAGACCAGCTCATCTGACTGTCTTAGCAGAGGTGGCATTCAAATTACATGTGACAGAGATGTGTGCATGGTAATCGACCTCCCCCAGCAATTCTCTTTCATCAGGAAAGGGCATGTTAACTGTGTTCCCGCACAGGAATAACGAAATGGTATTTATATGTGGAAGCCCCGTGTATATACTTGCGCACGTGCATCAGAAGTAAATGTTTGCACGCTTGCCTGCCCCCCCCCCCCCCAACTGAGACGGCAGTCTAATATTGGGCTAGTTTGTGCATGTGATATTATTATCTGACCTGCTGCTGCAGTAGTTGTTGAAGGGATGTAACCTGTCCCTTCAAAGCAGTGCATTCCACTGCCGTTCGGTCAGCTTCTTGCCGGGCACCTGACAGCTCATCTTGCAACTGATTATTGTCTGCACATAGCTGCAAGAACAATGATCCAAAGACAACATGTAAACAACACATTCATAAATTAATCCTTATCTCTACCCCATACATCAGCCCCATACCCTTACCCATCCCATACATGTCATCAGCCAGCACCCTACCCCTACTTCCCCCCCCCCCCCCCTCTATACATCAGCTCCTACCCCTACCCCTACCCCCCCCCCCCCATACATCAGCTCAGCCTGCCCCTACCCTTGCCCCTGCCCCTACCCCTATCCTATACATCAGCTCTGATCTCTACCCCTACCCCTCCTCCCCCCCCCCCACACCATCAGCTAAGTTTAGGCACATGTCGGCTGATTATCATCTAATTTTGGCCTAACCGTGGCCTGTAACAATATTGAGTTCTCACAGCGGATGCCCTCAGCGAGGGTCTATAGGCTACTAAGGGCCAGTACAAGCCTTTGTCCTAGCCAAACTGTGTAGTAACAACACGGGAAACACGGTTTGACAGGTCAATGAGAGATCAATACCAAACCACTCATTGTTATTTGTTCCACAACCTGCAAGCGCATAGGATGCCAAATTCGACAAAATTAAGGTCCCCGTTGGCGAGATTTTCCATCTTGCGCAGCATTATAACATTAGAGGAGGTTCACATAGTAACAGTTAAGTTGGTCTGACTGTATACTGCTTCAAAATTCTGAGGGACGCCTCACGCAGCTTCATTTTACATGATTCATTGATAGGCAACTTGCCTGGCTACACTCAAACAAGCACTGCAGTTCACACATCATCAAGTCAGTATTTCAAAGTTTTGGTGTACATGACTATCCTGACTGTACACAAGTTGCCTACGAAGGAATCATGAAGGCATACTGAGGTAGAGACAATACCAGAATGTTATTGTTCGTCTGGGCAGGGTGTGTGTATGTGTGTGTGCGTGTGGGGGGGGGGGGGGGTAAGACTACAGTATCTGCAACACAATAGTAGTGTAGATTACCTGATCATACTCCTCTAGCTTTGTGCTCATACTCTGCAGCTCCGACTTCAAGTCTTGCACTGCTGATTGTTCACATGCACGTAGTTCGGACTAGTTAACGTGAGAGGGCAGATGAAACGATGAAAGCATAAACACATGCACACACATACACATAATTATATTCAAACACATATATACACACACACATACATGCATGAGTGTGTGCGCCCACATACATGCACACGCACATACATACACACATGCAAGTACACACGCACATAAGTACACAGGTATGCACATGCACACACATGCACGTACATGCACACACATGCACACAGACATACATTATTGACTCCATTGAAATATGCACCCAAACTCATACAACTGCCCACTACAGTTACCGGCCAGCAAAAGATTATTTTTGCAAAGAACAGTTCAGAAGTCCCCTTCACCACCCCTCACCACCCTTCACCACCCTCACCACCCTTCACCACCCTACACCACCCTACACCACCCTTCACCACCCTTCACCACCCCTCACCACCCTTCACCACCCTTCACCACCCTTCACCACCCTACACCACCCTACACCACCCTTCACCACCCTTCACCACCCCTCACCACCCTTCACCACCCTCACCACCCTTCACCACCCTTCACCACCCCTCACCACCCTTCACCACCCTTCACCACCCTACACCACCCTACACCACCCTTCACCACCCTTCACCACCCCTCACCACCCCTCACCACCCTACACCACCCTTCACCACCCTCACCACCCTTCACCACCCTTCACCACCCTACACCACCCTTCACCACCCTTCACCACCCCTCACCACCCTACACCACCCTTCACCACCCTACACCACCCGTCACCACCCTTCACCACCCCTCACCACCCCTCACCACCCTTCACCACCCTACACCACCCTTCACCACCCCTCACCACCCTACACTACCCTTCACCACCCTTCACCACCCTTCACCACCCTTCACCACCCTTCACCACCCTTCACCACCATTCACCACCATTCACCACCTGAGTCACAAAGTACCGTATTTTCCAGAGTATAAGCCGCACTTTGAACACTCAAAATTCACCCCAAAAAGAGGGTGCGGCTTATACAGTCGTCCCTCTCTAATCCGGCACTTGTTTATCCGGAACCCTTGCCAACCGGCGCACTTTCTGACGAAACCGATTTTTTTCGTTCAATTCCTACATCTTAATCCGGCACTTGAATTCCGCCTCCGGCAGTGACTTTTTGAAACGAATCGCTCAAACTGCACGTAGTTTGATTTCATAATCCGGCAGTCGTAAATCGCGTACCGTACAGGTGCACTCCTTGCCAGGCCAGGCTAGACCAGTCTGGTCAATGTTGTCCAGGAGACAACGGCAGTCAACCATACTTTCTTATTTTAGCAAGGAGGTGTCCTGCCAATTTTCAGGTCACGGTGTGTGTGTGTGTTCGTGTGTGTGCAAGAGTACATGTGAACATGTTCTCTGTTTTACTTTATCACTTTATCACTGTGTATATTCCCGGAGAACAATTGAGAATATAAAGCCGTGCACCAAATACTTGGGTCGACACGGAAAAACCCTGCGTTTTGACTGACATGCATGCAATTGGGTAGGGCCGAGTAAGAGGGCAGGATTTCTTAATCCAGCACCCTCGTTAATCCAGCAGAAAACGCCGTAGCAAAAGGTGCCGGATTAGAGAGGGACGACTGTACTCCAATGATCAAATTAATAGTTAAAGGGGAAGTTACGGCAAAAATTAAAATTTCACCAGTTGTAGTCTTCGGGGTGCTGAGTCGAATGGTCGTGGTCCGAGGAAGCTGAGACGCTCCCTTCCTACTTGAATCCCAATCGAACTCGCGCACTTCCACCGAAACTGGGTGACTGCGCCCTACTAGATGGGGATTTGTATGCAAAATGTCACTAAAAGCGCCGTTTCGTTCTTATAAAAGCACGGATGACGCGATTGGCCCATATGTTGTAGTCTTTTGGACGCTGAGTCGACTGGTTTTGGTCCGAAAAGGCTGCGATGCAACGTACCTCCTTTATTCCCAATCGAACATGGTTGAACAAGTGGTCACGTGCTCCTGGGTGCCCAAATCACCTGGTCACCACGCCAGCAGGCGACAACTTTCACACCAAGGTTCAACTCGAGTTCAACTCAAGTGACAGGACTGCACCCAAAAAAGGTCAAACAGGCTAGTAAGTTGTACCCTGCAGGCACGGTGACCAGCTGACTGGTGTACGCAGGAGCACGTGACCGCTTGTTCAACCATGTTCGATTGGGAATAAAGGAGGTACGCTGCATCGCAGCCTTTTCGGACCAAAACCAGTCGACGCAGCGTCCAAAAGACTACAACATATGGGCCAATCGCGGTCATCCGTGCTTTTATAAGAACGAAACGGCGCTTTTAGTGACATTTTGCATACAAATCCCCATCTAGTAGGGCGCAGTCACCCAGTTTCGGTGGAAGTGCGCGAGTTCGATTGGGATTCAAGTAGGAAGGGAGCGTCTCAGCTTTCTCGGACCAAGACCATTCGACTCAGCACCCCGAAGACTACAACTGGTGAAATTTTAATTTTTGCCTTAACTTCCCCTTTAAAATAGGGTACTAGTAGATGTCTGTATTTCGTGGCAAAAAGGGGGGGGGGGTGCGGTTTATACTCCAGTGCGGCTTATACTCGGGAAAATACGGTAACCAGCTAGCTGACTAACCTGGTGTCTCTTCTCGTTTTCCAGCTCCTCAATGCACTGCACTAAGCTTTGTGAACGTGTCTTCACACTCTCAACTTCCAGCTCCTACAAAGTATTGGCATGAACAACAATGACAAAACACATGACACACATCATCAGGTCACCAACAGATGCGGGTCTGCACATAGGGTCAAGCAGGCTGAAGAGTGTATGCGCAGGGGCAGGGGAGGGGTATGGGTATGGGCAGGGGAGGAGTATGGCTGCGGGCTGGGGCAGTTAGGTGTATGGGCAGGGGCAGGATAGGGGCAGGACCTAGGTGGGTGCATGGGCAGAGGCAGTCGGGTAGATACATGTACATGTACATGGGCAGCTAATGGGTTGTACAGGGTCAAAGCACAGGTATGTAGAGGGGCAGGGAGGGGGGGGGGGGGTACACAAGGCAAGCATGCAGGTACATGTATGTAGATGGGCAAGGGGTGGATGGGGGTGGCGGTCGTAAACAGGGCAAGCATGCATAGCTAAGATAAGGTCCATACAAGCAGGCAGGTCTATTCGAGGGGATCCGCATTTCATTGGCCACCCACTATTTTAGGCAACATGAGATGGGGGGGGGGGGGGGGAGAGCGAGAAAAAAGGAGAAAGAAAGAAAGAAGAGAGAGAGAAAAAGAAGGAGAGAGAGGAGATGCTGTAACAACATACGCATATATGCCTTCTCAGTTCAGATTTAGATGCAAGTTCCCTGCATGTCTGTGTCCGACCAGGAGACAGATACAAGTTGTATGTATCACATGTACTATGTCTGCAGGGCTGCACACTGCATGGTGTACTCCCTTATACCAAGTGTCGGATTTTGCTTGCCACAACTGTACAATGTCATATAGCCGTATGATGTGGTGCGGGGGGGGGGGGGGGGGGGAGATACAGCTAACTGTCATGCTGCCTCCTTCACTGTAATATAATTACTTCACTGTAATCCTAGGTGCTAGCAGTCCTGACATTACCATAAGTGGCAATCTTTCCAACTGAGATTCCGCTTCCTCATTCTGGTGGCGTAAGGCTGCCAGCTTGCTCTCTAGATCCGTCACATGTTGCTGCAGCTTCACCATTTGACCCGAACTCCCCGATTCCTGGATAGTAATAGAAAGAATAGAACATCAAGAGCACATACTATATGGCGCCAAGAATAACTAGCAACTGTGCATATGGGGTGAGATGCGGTGCTGCCCACATTACCTACAGTCTGTTTCAAAAAGATTAGCAATCAAGTTTGGGTCTTAAAAAGTATGAAGATAAGGGAAATTTGGACAACAAAGTACATAAAACGGCTTGTTAGGGCACGGCAAATTGTTCTGTGAAGGTTTCGGAATAATTGGACCAACCGCTGAGGAGTTAGTATTTCGACCAGGTTTCCGGCCTTTTCCCATGGTTTATAATTTGCCCTGGAAGCCAGTATCGATTTGTTATCAAAACCCACGATTTACCCCTTCCTTTTTGGCCTTGTGGTTATGAATGTTGTCTACTGACCATGAAGTTGTGAGTTCAAATCCCAACAAATCTTCAAGTCAAACATTTTTTCTTCATTTTTTCATTGTTTTGGTCCTAGAGGGTGGTGGCGTTCCCACGACGGATGCGGAAAACTGGGCTTCCAGCCGAGTCTCACGTGAACCGTGAAATTTATTTTTTATTTGGTGATCACGCTGGTACAAGACAAAGAAGGTGGCTGCGCCAAACAACTTGTTGTTGGAGCTCGCGTTTCCTGCCGAACTGACAGACACTTGACTGGCTCACGCCATGTGAAGTTGTGAACACACACAACACTGAAACCGTGTGAGTGAACACGGAAGTCATTGCGCTGTAGCTACGTGTTGTTGAATACACCGGCACATCGATCGATCGATTTCTGTTTGAGAATTATTTTAGTATTTGAAGATCGCCAATTTATTTGAATTTTAGGAGTCAACGCCGTCTTCTATCAGCTTTCACAGGCGTCTGCTTTTCTCGAAATGTCGTCGAAGTCACACGGATAGCTTTGCCACTTCAAGGCCTTGGGAATGAGTCTGTGTTGATGCCGTTTTCGTCACATCGTGAGAGTAAATTGCATCCGCGGCAGCTCAAAGAATCTATTTGGTCACAAAACGGACGCATCCCGCTCGTCAAAATTTACCACACTTTCAACATGTCCTCTCTGACTCCATATCGATACGATCGAGGAAGAACTTGTTTGTTGTAAACCAGACGAACATGTTCGAGTACCGACGTCAGTGAGTTGTCACTTTTCATACTTTCGCGCGGAATATTTCTTCGAGTTCACAGTGAGTTTTTCCAGGCAGCGCTCGAGCGCTCATACGGTAAGACGGCAAACTCCCCGGGCGATCGCCAGGATTGCTAATCTTTTTGAAACTGACTATAGCCATCAGCTGGTGAATCAGCCGGGCCATTGCGCCACTATTGGTCTGCTATGGTTTCCTGTTTTCAAGTCTGCTTTTCTCGAACACTTGGGATGGTTTGTAGGTGATGAGTCACACACAGGGATTGCCTTTGAACTAAGTGTATTGCGCGTGAAATCATTGTGACTAAACCATAGGAAAACTCAGATCCAAGTACATGTAGCTTGATTGTTATTTGACTACAGTACCGTCGGTCGCCGAAGAACTGGGGGGGGGGGCTCCTAGCCTAGACCGTTGATATTTTCATGTGTTTTGGAAGCTTCCACTCAGTTGTAATGTGTGTGTGAGAGAAGTGCATGCAATCCACACAACTCGTCTCCGTAGTTGAGACAGGAGGTGATAGAATTGCGTTGGCATGCTGTCCACAACAATCTTTCCGAACACCGTCCGTCTCTAGTGTGTTAGTGTTGCATTGCTTGTACAATGCTTATGCATAGCCAGTAGCAAGACATCAAAACAATTGTCTCAGTTACTTGGTAGATATTGCAGAAAAACAATGAGCCACTACTAACCTTGAAGAATACATCCAGTCGTTTCTCAAGGGCGAGATTGCTTCTTGTCAAATGTACTATTTTCGACTTGGTCTCTGCGTCTAGATCTGATGATGGTGACAATGCCTGAACAATGTAAAGCAAAACATCACAAAAGTATAAGCATGAATACAGTACTGTCGGTCCCCGAAGAACTGGGCGGGGGGGGGGGGGGGGTGGGAGAACCGGGGGGGAGGAACTGGGGGGGGGGAGGAACTGGGGGGTGGGAGGGGGTCAGTCGCCTAGCCTAGACCGTTCTTATTTTTATGTATTACAGTCTATGCACAGTTGGATCACCGCGTATACATTGGCATGCTGTGCTTGGTGAGATTCTAGGCTGGCCGTTCTCCGGCACCCGATAGTATTGTAGGGCTGCATGCAAGCAACACATTGTCATTGTTTCGGTTCTAGCGAAAGGTCTAGTGGCTGAGTATGCATTCATGCCTCACACTCCATTGAACTGGCTCAGCTCCACCAGACCAGAGTGCAGCATACAATCAGAACAATGGCATGCCAGTTTCCACACAGACCACTGAGCCTTGGTGCTTTTAGACTACAGCAGATGACTGAAGCTATACTGATGTGGGGGGGGGGGGGTAGAATATTCAGCAGTGTGTGGGTTGGTGTGATGCTCTATTTCAGACTTGCTGGGTTGAAGGTGTGGGTTGAAGGAACCAACAACCTTCATTCAAGCGTTGCTTTAGTTTTCGCCACTATTCCCACGCCCTCGCTAGTCATCGATATAACCTCAAGAGAAAAAAACACTCGGATGGTAAATGTAAATGACAGCAGCTTGCCACACAGAAAATACTGTAACCAACTGACTTCAATGCTGGCTTAGAGTTGTGTGTGTGTGTGTGGGGGGGGGGGGGAAGGGGGGGGGGGGTAGGTGTTGGACCCGTCCGTTCAAAACTCCAAGCATGTTTTTCCTTTGGAGTATCAAATTGTGACTAGTCGAGTGGTGAACACAGGACTGCGCTCATCGACTATTTGTACCATTATGGAACTTGTGTAACAGGGATCAGAGGAGGGGGTGGAGGAGGGGGTGGGGGCATTATATTGACTGTAGCACCTACTTGGAGATCAACTTAGATCTCCGATAGACGCAGTCTAATCAGATACCGTGCCTGGACTACATACCAAGCCGTACACACATACCGTATTCAGTTCTCTGGTAAGAGCCCGGGGTTCTCCCGGGGTTCTTATTATTTCAGGGACAGCTCTACCTGCGCTATTATTAGAGACTGGGCTATTATTGGAGACTGTGCTTCTATTTTTTCAATGTTCCACTATCAAGCCAATTCCAGTGTATGTAGGCATAAACTGACCATAGCAAGACTGATTTGCCCAACCCTAAACTCAGGAATATTGTTAAAACTGATGTTTCACAATAACATGGGCGCCAGGAAGGAAGTAGTAGACCGCAAACCTCCTTACAATTATGTGCATGGCATGATGTACTGTTGTTTTACATGCAGTCAATACACTTGTTGTGTACTCCAATTGTGACCGTGCTACTATTAGAGACTGTGCTCTTATTATTTCAAAGTTTGAAACCATCCTCACCCCGGGTCATTATTGGAGACTGGGCTTTTATTGGAGAAAATATGGTACATGTACATGCATACAGTCACACCCACAAACACAAACCTGCCATATTTCCTGGGTCAGAGCCCCAGTTGTTTTACCGAGATATCCGGTCAACATCAACTCTGGAGGTTATAGCCCAGCATATTCACTTTCAGAAAAAACAAATAAACAATAATTTATTTTGCCTCCGAGAGGGGGGGGGGGGGGTAGGCATGGCTCATAGCCCAGTGTAACTCTCAACCTGGAACATACGGCAAGTGCACACACGCACGCACGCAAGCACGCACGAACACACACACAGATAGAATACCTGTTTTCCAGATTGCTTGGAAGGAGTGTTGTGTAGAAGTGAGTCTAGCTTGTCTTTCAACTTGGCAATCTCTTGATCTTTCACAATCAAGTGTTGCCGATGCTCTGCTTGATCCTTTGCACGCTGTCTTTGATACTGTTGGCTATGATGTTTGATCTCACTGCTTGATCCTTCCTTCACCGCCTGTGCACCAACACAGTCACAGCGGACAGCAGGAGAGGGAAGTGACAAGAAACTTGACTGAGTAAAGTAGGATGGGAAAGAGAGAATAAAGCAGAGAGAATGGCACAGGGATGGAGAACTCTGAAACTGGGAAAGACTGAGAGAATGGTACAGACATCGAGTCAGACCGGGCTATAGCTATAACCAAAACCGCTATGAGGCATGCCCGTGTAGTGCAAGTAGAGAATTTCTAAAGGCAGTGGGTACAACTCACTTTCAAAGCTGAGATCTCCGTTTGACTTGTTTTCACTTTGCTTTGAAGCTGACGTGCCAGAGTCGTTAACTCATTGTTACGAACGCGCAGCTTTTTCACCTTCTCCTCGGCAGCAGTTGAATCTGAAACACTTGCCTTGGCTTTCTCCAACTGTTGTTTCTGTGGCAAAATGAAGAATATACAGAAGTAGAATATGATCATATACATGATTGGCATCATTTCAGTGTCTTCCCATCATTTTCTGCCGGACCATCTAGGCAGTGATCATCATAGCTTAAACAAGATGTTCCATACTTCTGTCATCAAAATTAGTATGGATGTGAAAGAGTAGCTGAGGTCTGCGGCTGAGAGGCAGCCGAGAAGCAGCCAAAAGAGCATCCAAGAAGCAGGCAACAGAGCAGCCGGGATAAGGTAAAGAAGCAGCCAGGCCGAGGGTGCATGCAAAGGAGCAGCCAGGAATAAGCCAGGGAGCAGCCGGGGAGCAGCCAAGGAGCAGCCAGGGAGAAACTGGGTTCTGGTTTACTTTTCGTTTTTTTCTATTTCAGTCCGTTGCCTCAACAGTACAAAGTACAAATATCAAGAGGGACAAAGGAGAAGAGAAAGTAAAACAGAGCAGAAAGGAAGATGCAACTGGAAGGAAAGAAAAACGAAGAGGGAATGTGGGATGCAGCCGGGGTGCAGCCGAGATGCAGCCGGGGTGAAGTCGGGGTGCAGGCACGGAAGAAGCAGGCAAAGCCTGTCCAGACTAAACATCACATTACCTAGTTGCTGGTGACTAGTAACTAAGAAATACAACATGGATGATGACGACGGATTATGGTAAGCATTAAACAAGGCAGCCATCGCTGTCAGTACCGTATCATATATATACAGTGTACTCACCAACATGGCATACAGTGTACTCACCAACATGGCATACAGTGTACTCACCAACATGGCATACAGTGTACTCACCAACATGGCATACAGTGTACTCACCAACATGGCATACAGTGTACTCACCAACATGGCATTCAGTGTACTCACCAACATGGCATACAGTGTACTCACCAACATGGCATACAGTGTACTCACCAACATGGCATACTGTAAGACATGTATATATAACGAGGAAGCAAATCTAACGTTTTAACGGATGACATTTCTTCGTTATAATAAGATCCGTTGAGGCCGTACTGCTTCATATATGCTGTGTGTGGATATGGCAGAATACTGCAAGATCGTTAACATATCTTCTTGTTAACCTATGAATTTTGGACAATCGTTAAATTTGCGACTCGTTATAATAACATGTCTTACAGTACAGTGTACTCACCAACATGGCATACAGTGTACTCACCAACATGGCATACAGTGTACTCACCAACATGGCATACAGTGTACTCACCAACATGGCATACAGTGTACTCACCAACATGGCATACAGTGTACTCACCAACATGGCATACAGTGTACTCACCAACATGGCATACAGTGTACTCACCAACATGGCATACAGTGTACTCACCAACATGGCATACAGTGTACTCACCAACATGGCATTCAGTGTACTCACCAACATGGCATACAGTGTACTCACCAACATGGCATACAGTGTACTCACCAACATGGCATACAGTGTACTCACCAACATGGCATTCTCTGCTTTCATAGCCGAGAGGCGATCCTCGAAAGCAGCATTCCTGCGAACACTTGGTGACATACTACTGCGTGAAACTTTTGGCGAGGACTCCACAGATCTCTACACAATGGTCAAAGAACAAGATCAGAAGTGGAGGGTACACTTTTGGAAATACCACCAGCCATAGTGGTAAAAGAGCTACACTCCTCGCAGTGCCCTATTTCAAGCTTACAAGCAGCCTCGGGCACAACAAGCACAACAAACACGCATATACATACACACACACGCACGCACACGCACACACACACGCACACACACACATACACACGCGCATACACACACACATACACTTGTACTTGTTGCTCACTGCCATAACTGGCCACGCGGGTCTCCCGGGAGAGAGCGGAAAGACATTCAAAAGGAATCTCGGAAAGATGACTCAATTCGCCATCAAACAAGGAGCGGATCCGTGGGGGGGGGGGGGGAGTGCAATAGATGCTCGCGCACCCTTCAGATCCCCAAATGGCCAACACCCCTGAACCCCCCCCCCCCCCCCCAACTCTCGGTGGACTTGGACATGATCCCACTTATGGGCTCACCACACCTCAGTAAGTTGGTGTGGACAAGATGCAGAAACATACACATACACACGTACGCACCCCCGCACCCCCCCCCCCCCACACACACACACAAACACATGCATGGACTTACCCCCCCCCCCCCCCTGCGGCCACACACACACACACTGGACTTACTTGTGGTCTGCTAGGTGTGAGGGAAAGACTGAGGGCACTGTCATCCTCAATGGCCGCCGCCGCACCATGTGACAATGATGAAACCGATCGTTTACTCAACGAGTCACCTTGCTGGTAGCGACTAACAGCGTCTTGCAGGCGTTCCTTATCCGCCTCTAACTGAGTGCTGGTGTATGTCTGTCTAGCTAGTTCACTGTCCTTCTGCTGGACAATACGCTCAGCAAGACGCACACGTTGTGCATCCTTTTGACCTTCTTGTTTACTGCGACGGAGTAATTCAGACTTCTCATCAGCGTGATCCAGCTTCATTTTCTTGATCAACTGGGATTTCTCATGATCCGCTGTTTTCAGCGACTCCAGCACTTCTTCCATCTTCACTTTGTTTTCACGCAACGACCACATCTCTGCCAAGAGCTTGGATTTCTCGGAGCTCGCCTCTTCCTGGCACCGTGCCATTATTCGCCTTTCAGCGTCTTCGCGGACAAACTGAACTTGATCATCGCGTTCGCGTATCAGTTCAGCACGTGCAGCTTTCACTTCTTCCTCCCTGAACTTGATTTGCTGCCGCAGCTCGGCATCCTTCTTCTTTATCAATGACTCATAGTGCCCTCTCATTTCAGTCTCCTTCTCACTAGCTGCACGGCGCGTGGCAATTTCAGTCAAATGCTGTCTCTCCTTCTCCAGCGTTTCTCTAGCAGTTTTTGCAGCCTGATTTTTATCCCTTTGAGCTTCCCTGCTCTTCTGTTTCTCAGCATCGATCTTCAGCTTCAATTGTGAAATTTCTCTATTCTGGTCATCATGGGCACGTCTCAACTGGTCTATTTCTGCTTGGAACTGGGCACTTCTCCGGTCTACAGTCCGACGGCTCGCCGTACCACTGCCATGCTCAACTGGGCATGTACTGAAATCTAGCTGGCTGTTGTCACGTATTCCGCCATTCCTCATGTCAGGACTGCCAACACCGCCGCCATTCAGCACGCCGTAGCTGGCAGGACTCGATAAACTGGCACTGCTGGCGTTCGACCGTCTCATCGATTTTCGAGGAGATGGTGTTGACAAGGCAGTGCTGCTACTGCTGGTGTGTAGACCACGTTGTTTCATTGCTGCGCTATGCCGTTTGGTGCCCTGTTCCTGTCGCTACTATCGCCGTTGGTGTTGGTGTTAGGCAAGCTCGCCTGTACCAACACCAGTCCTAGTGAGTACTATTCGACCAAAGTTGGGTGGGAATGTTCGACACCAAGAACAGGACGTGCCAGGGATACTCTCCCGGTACAAGACAGGTGAGCTTCGCCCAGGAAAAGTTGCACTTGATATCGCGCCGATACCACGTACCAGTGTGCATTGAAGGCAGAGTACTACTCGGCTCCAGTGTGCATTGAAGGCAGAGTACTACTCGGCTTGCCGACAACCGGGTAGCCTACTCAGCACACAAGCATACTTGCATTGGGGTCATTGGAAGCGACGACAATCACCTTCCAGCATACTAGTACTGTCCAAGCCAGGCCGTCCCGCACCGATTACATGCCGACCATAAAGCGGGAGATTACACACAGGAGGAAGAGGAGGCCACAAGACTACAACGTTGTAGTATCGACATCAAACATTTTTCAAGCAAGTCAAGGAAACCCGCTATCATTACATTTTGTATTTGTAGAAGCCCAAGGCCCGCAAGAAACAGGTGCTCTAGATTTGCAGCGATTAGCAATAGCAGCTGCCTCTAGCTCTGCACAGTCTGGCTCCGCGCTCATCTGGGGCGCGCGTAGATTCTGGTGCATACTTCCCGCCGCCCCACCATCCCCCAGATCGATCCTCCTATCCACCAAACTCACGTGTACATGTACAGTCAGTATCGCCTATAGCGTTGGTGTTTGATTTTGAGCATTTTATCACTATAAGCGATATATTACTATGACCGATACTGCATGCAATATATGCGAGTGGGGTGTCAAACGACTCCGCGCACCGTGCACATACGCACTACATACATGTACAATGCCATGTAGCTGGCTGTAGCTCCTGACACACAAAATCAGGATTTCCTCATGAAGGAGGCATATTTTGGCAACTTGTACAAGCAAAACTCACCAAACAACACTCACTGGACAAGTTCTTCACGAAGAAGTAACACCCTGTTCTCCTCTGACATCGCTTGATTCTACATCAATCACTATAACCAATACAAAAATAGTGTAATGGAGGTCTTTTGAAATATGAATTTGATCACTATAGGCGATATAATTACTATAGACGATTATTACTATACGCGATAACTGTGTATACTTAGTTATGGCAAATGAAAATGAATTTGAGAAATTGATCACTATATCCGGTATATTACTATAGCCGCCAACCTTATAGGCGATACGGACTGTACGTGTGTGGTCTGACGCAGTGACAGACTGTCCTCAGTCTACAAAATAATTAATGATTATGTAGCACTACGTTGTAGCATGCTGCATAGCTCGCATATTCTTGCTTTGCTCTCCATTCTTCTCCTCGACCTCGCATTCACATAAATCATCATTGCTTTGCGCGTTCAATAAACAGATAAACACCTTTTTTGTTGTAGCATAGCGCTATATAGCTCGCAACGCTGCCGATTACCATGATCACAGACAGAGTGCAGTACAATCATGTAGAACCTCTACGGCCAGTGCCGTGGAGCTAGGTACTAGGTCACAGTCAGTAGGTGCGACTCTGTCACTACTTCACTACTTCAGTACTTGGACCCTACTACACTCAGTGCTGGCAACTGAAATCCGACCCCCTTGGCGGCGCGCCGCTCCGCCAAGGGGGTCGGATTTCAGTTGCCAGCACTGTAGTACAATGTCATGTACTTTTTCTTCACGACTACAGTCAAACCTGCCCTTGAGCCTTGCGGACACCTGAGAAAACGGACACCTGTAAAGTGAGGACAGCTTGTCTCAGTGCAGTGTTCAGACTTTTCACAGTGTACCACTACCAGGCGTACAATGTGTACATTTTAGTATGGGCGGACACTTGAAAAAGCGGTCACCTGTGAAATGCGAAACGCACACACACGCAGACGCGTGTACATAACACACAGACTCACATATACATGTACATACAATCAAGCACACGCATACATGTACCACACAGCAACGCACACACACACACCTCACACACGCACACACGCACCTCACACACACACCTTTGACCCTTTGACGCCCATCGCCGGAGGCGATGATAGCAATGCTACGGCAGAAGCCATAGCAACTTGTGCTGGGATTACACCATTCAACAGCTTGCAAGGCTGAAGAATTGACCGTCACTATTCAGCCTGGTCTACACCATACAGCTATTTGGAGTGACATTTTCTGGCCAGTGAATCCCTTTTTTGGTCTTTTTCATTTTTTTCTTTTTTTTTCTTTTTTTTCCCGCACACACATCACACCACATACTCCGGCATGCACTGGCTGTTGGTAACCACCCAGGAGAATGAAAGAAAAGTCAGGAAGAGTCTGAGAAAGAGAAGAAAGACGTGTGTGACCATAATCGTCGGGAATCGAACCCGCAATCTATCGATTGGAAATCGCTGCACATACCACTGCACCATATGGGACACACACACACACACACACACACACACACACACACACACACACACACACACACACACACACACACACACACTATGAATCAGCTACCGGTATACCCTGTGGGGTCACGCCGCCCGCCACTCAGAGAACTGAGCGCAAGGTGAGGGGCAGTGGCGCAAAACAAAACAGGAAGTACAGCAAAATGAATTGAAAAAAAGGAAATCAAAACAAGCTGCCATATTGATGGGAAAGGACTCACAAACAGAGGAAAGAAATATCACAAACCAGATGAACAGTCTGCTGTAGGTCCACTATAAACACACACGATTGGACCATTGGACGCCAATCGCCGGAGGCGATGATAGCGATGCTACAGCAGAAGCCATAGCACACACACACACACACACACACACACACACACACACACACACACACACACACACACACACACACACACACACACACACACACCTATCCCCCCCCCCCACACACACACATGTGACATATGTACGCACAGACACACGTATGCACGCACGCACACACAGATACAGTACTTCAAAGTCATAATTATCAGCTAGCAATAGTCGGGCAGTTAGACAGACTTTGGCAGCTAGCAATAGTCGGGCAGTTAGACAGGCTTTGGCAGCTTGCGAACTTGTGCACTTGCGCACTACCACAGTAACACACTACCACAGTACGTACATTTCAAATTCATAGAATGAAAGCAGTTTTAAATATAATAATAGCACTCACAAGAAATGTGCGGAAAACAAACGGAACTGCGTGCAGTGCAAAGGAAATTCTAGAACACGGAAAAAACCCAAATAATCTCTGCATGGATTTAGTTCAGACAAAGTTGGCGTTCGGATCAAACAGTCTTATATGGCGCAAGGCTGAAAACAAACGCACACAAAAATCTCACCTCTCCTGGTGTAACCAGAGGAGATACACCCAGTCTGTAGGAGATATACCCAGACCAGGGGAGATATACCCAGACCAGGGGAGATATACCCAGACTAGGGGAGATATACCCAGACCAGGGGAGATATATCCATTCTGCATGCTCTTTTTTTAAATTCCTGATATTTAAAAAACCTTCAAAACGGACAAGGTGTCCATTTAGGTATGCAAATAACACATGTGCAGTATGTAGTCTATGAGTGACACTGCCGGCACAAACGCACCTACAGGCATGCTGCAGCAATAATCTAATAATCACTCACAATCAATGAAAAGAATTCTCGACAGACGATATACACACACACACACACACACACACACACACACAAACACCCTAGAATCGAGAGTGGAAAACATCAAGCCGATAGTAATGACATCATACTATGGCAATGGCACAGTCAAGCCGATAGCAATGACATCTTGCTATGGCAATGGCAGAGTCAAGCCGATAGCCGCATCACACTTTCGGTAGGTACCTGTCCTCCGCTTCACGCAGCTCCTTGTCGTTTTGTAAGCGAAACAACTCATTTACAGGCGCTACCTAATAGCAGATCACAACGATAGAATACACATGTACAAAATACGCAGTTTGCAAAACAATGCATAACACGACAGTCATAGTTACCCGCCATCATCCTGCCCCTGTTTAGCAGCTACACCTTGCAAGATACTACAGTAAAACCTGTAATGGCTACCACTCGGATATGGTGACCACTTTTCCTTGTCACGGACGCATTCACATTCAAAACAGCTCGGATAAGGCGACCACTCACTCAACGTGATCAACGACCACCCACCCGCGACCACGTTGCATCCTGCTAGTAGTACATGTAAATGTATGCATTGCATGGTGCACCATGCATGGTAGATCTACACATCATGCATTGCATGGTGCACCATGCAATGCATACATTTCATTGCATGGTGCACCATGCATGGTAGATCTACACATCATGCATTGCATGGTGCACCATGCAATGCGTACATTTCATTGCATGGTGCACCATGCATGGTAGATCTACACATCATATCAGTGCAGGAAGTGTGTAGATGTACATGGTGCATGCACGGCACTTGACAGGTCAGAGGACACCAGGCACATGAATCGTGCTAGAGTAGCATAGGTGTGTGCAGTGTGATACACTGATCAACATGATAATATCACATGTATTATGAAGTCAGCTTGGTTCTCTTATGGGGGGGTGCTGAGGATATCGACAGGCGGATTTCGCTGGCATCCCAGGCATACGGTAGCATGTGCAGCCTCTGGCTGCAGCGCAAGCATGCGTCAGAAAGGTCCAGGCTCAAGCTGTACAGCTCGCTTGTGCTGCCTGTCCTCCTTTACAACTGTGAGACATGGGGAGTGCCCCAGGCAGTCTTTCAGCGACTGGATTGTTTTCACCGCCGACAGCTCAGAAACCTGATGGGAGTGCGATATCCAGACAGAATTACAAATTATGATCTGTATTCGAGATGTGGCTCGCAGCCACTGTCGGAGCTTTTTGCCAAGCGACGCCGCAGCCTCACTGGCCATGTGCTGAGGATGAGTGAGCAGTCACCCCCTTGCCTTGTGATGTCCTGTTATTTTCAAGCGGGGTCACGTCGACGAAGGGGCCGTCCCGCAGCTACTCTCCCTGCCACCATCATGAAGGACCTGGCAGGGCACGACATCCCTTTGAAGAATGCCAGCGACCTAGAAGGAGCACGAGCATTTGCTGCAGACAAGTCCAAATGGAGATCCGATATTGTTTATGGATGAGTTTTTGTTGACTGGAGACAGAAGCGGACTTGGCTTGATTTCAGTGCATTCTCCTACATTGTTCTTTGGCCTTTGTACGCGTGCTGTGGTATTATTATTAGGCCATCCAGAATTAATTCATTGTTTCGGGTCACCCGACCGACCGTCTTTTTTCACCCGACCGCAAAATGTTTTTTTTATAGTGCATGCAAATGTACAGACTAGACTATGTACACCCACGACCCTAATAATAGCAGTCCAGATATCGACCTCAGAAGCAGCCATGGCTAGCCAAATGACAGGATGCAGCGCTTGGTGACGACATTGTCTTCTATCTCCGATCCGCAAACGGTCCTGAAACAGCATCAGCTCCGCCACCTTGTCGCTATTTACAGAAGTTTTCAAGGTGAGAGCTGCTCGCCGGTCAGACTCGTTTGCCAGCGAGGCCAAGATCTGGTCCTGGATGGGACCTGGATTTGATGGGACAATGACTGCGCTGGATTGTCTACACTACAGTCAGATTTGATCGACTGGCTAGGTGGACAAAAGCTATTCGATGTACATGTATGCACATGGACGTAAACCAAAATAAAAAATTAAATTAAATAAAAAATAAACCCGACCGATCGACCCTGTTACGGATGAGTGAAGTGACCCGAAACAATGAATTAATTCTAGGTGGCCTTATTATTATCATTATTAGTAGCATATTATTATGCTACTTCGTTTATTATTATTATGAAGTGGATATGGTCACGTGACCCACGGAACCTGGATAAGAAGACCACCTGGCCAAGGCGACCACTTTTTCTCGTCCCTTCAGACAGTGGTCACTGTAGACTGTAGCTTGATCAAGGGATGGTGGTATCCATGGTAACAGTAAAAAGGATGGTGGTATCCATGGTAACAGTAATCAAGGGATGGTGGTATCCATGGTAGCAGTAAAAAGAAGCTAGCTCTTGACCTACACGGTACATGAACCTGGCATGCATACCTGGCATGCAGACCCAGTATGCACTGATGCAGATCCAGTATGAAGAAGGTCTGAGTGGTAAAGCAGGTCATGGCCAGATCAACCTTTCCACCGCCTACACAGTGACGTACATGCATGTGTTTCACTGCCAAATAGAACACTCGCATTTTCTCTCATCAAATATCTCGTAATCTGAAAACTGGCAAGTCCCCTGGTCAAGACGGAATTACCAACGAAGTTTGGAGAGCTCTTTGTCCGTCTGTTGCCTATCCTGTGTCAATTATCTTGAATATGTCATTTCGTGAAGGGAAATTCCCAGCCATGTGGAAAACTGCGGTAGTCGTGGCCACCTACAAAAATAGAGGACCACGCACCACCCCCAGCAACTATCGCCCTATCTCATTGCTCTCTACTTTATCAAAAGTGTGCGAACGTGTTGTATATGACATCATTTATGATCATGTTCGCATTTCACTTTCGCCAGCACAGTCGGGCTTTTGTCGGGGTGACTCCACCAGGTACCAGGTTACCCGCCTCGTGCAAGACATCCACACCGCCCGGAACGCCCATAACCATGTTGGTTTAGTTTTCTTCGATCTCGCAAAGGCCTTCGACACTGTTTGGCACAGGGGTCTCTTAGCTAAGCTGCGAACAGTATATCGCATTGATGGCAAGGCTATCGGCTGGCTCTCATCGTATCTCTCTAACCGACATCAGCTTGTACGCCTCTCAACTGTGTTATCGGAGCCTTTACCCGTTACTTCTGGAGTCCCCCAGGGTTCAATCCTTGGGCCACTGCTATTTCTCCTGTATATTAATGACCTCCCCGATACTGCCCCTGGTGTCAGCCTTTTCGCTGACGACACAGCTCTGCTTTGCTCCAATGCTTGCCCTATACGCCTGCACGAAGCCATGCAAGATAGCATTGGGAAAGTTATAACCTGGATGCATGATTGGAAGTTGCAGCCAAACGTTGATAAAACGGCAGCTATGTACATTTCCCCTTCTCCCCCTTCCCTGCCACTTTGTTTTCCTTCTTCAAGTGTTGCTATTCGCATTGTTGAAGAGCATAAGCATCTTGGCGTTATTATTGACTCTAAATTGTCGTGGTCACCCCATGTGCAGTATGTCTGCAAGCGCACAAGCTCCATCCTTGGGGCTCTTCAAGCCCACTGTAGACATCTTCCTCTTTCTTGCAAACGCTTGTTTTATCGTTGCTATATATTGCCCTTACTTGACTACTGTGATACTGCTTGGTGTGGCATAACTACTACTGTATTGAACAAGCTAGAAACCCATAACCGCATGCTCCTTAAAATCTTATTTAGCAAAGATCGTCGCTTTCCCTCCGCTAGTCTTTACGAAATTGCCAAGATCAGTCCCCTTTCCACTCGACATAAGTACCACCTCTGTGTTCTCATACATAAAATATTACTAAATAAAATACCCTTGCATATGCAGGCTTATAATTGGTTCTCCGAAACACGGAACACCCGGAACTCACTCAGTCTCCCACGCGCTGCCTCCACCCTATTCACTAGATCCCCGATCTTTGCTGGCTATGTGTTTTGGGCAACATTACCGACGCAGGCCAAGACCAGCACGTCGATGGATAATTTTGTTGCTAAAATCTCTGCTCAATTATAGGTTTCATGTATATCCTGCTGGTTTGTCTCCTCCTTTGCCTTCTTTGCCTCTTATTTGTATTCTTTTATCTGTTTTACTGCTGTGGTTGGCTTTCACCCTTGTCTCAGTTTTATTGGCCGTCATCATGATGTGCCATGAGATAATGATATAAATACAAAAAAAATATTTGAATATCCGCAACGGCCTCTAAGAACTGCATTTAAATACCTTGAAACTCACATCATGCATGTACATGGACAGGTTGTACAGATCATGTGACAGATCATGTGACAGATCATGTGTCCTATTCTGCAGTATACTCTATAACTACATGTACATGTATCTTGCTTGGTGGATCATCTAGGCAGTTTCTACAGCTGTACCATGCCACGTGCACCACTGGAGTCCAGATATCAACCTCGACTCATTGAACACTCAGAAACTGCCATCCTTTCTGCAGGAAATGCATGTGCGATGCTGCATGAACGTTTTAAAAGTGCAATTGATTAAACCCAGCGAGTACTGTAAATACATGAAACCCTCCTCCTCCATGCGCTCCATGCGCTCCATGCGCTCCATGCACATACTGTATAATCTGAAAAATTCGGTGGAGATTTATTTTCGGTAGCTTCCGTACCCATGAGAACGCGTTATGCAGCAACTATCCACGACTGTAACACGATGATAAACAGTCAGAAAGTGCGATAATAGGGCACAAAACTGACAGGCTACTGAGACATTTAGCGACCTGAGACCTAGCTCTCACACATCTCCAGTGTGCAAACCAATCAGCCTTCCAACTTGAAAGGTTCATGGTTACATAGGACCAAAGAATGCCCCCCCCCCCCCCCCTCATCTTCCCTTCTTTGGTCCTACGTAACCATGAACCTTCCAAGTTGGAAGGCTTTGCGCACAAGAGATGTGTTAGAGCTGGGTCTCAGGTCGCTAAATGTCTCAGTAGCCTGTCAGTTTCGTGCCCTATTATCGCACTTTCTGACTGTTTATCATCTTGTTACAGTCGTGGATAGTTGCTGCATAACTCGTTCTCATGTGTTTCTTCTCCTTTTTACATTTATTACTGGCTCGGTATCCGAGTTTAAATTTTGCACACCTTATGAGTCGTCACTAGCAATACGGCGGAACGTACGTCGTGTGAAACTACTTGTTAGTGTAGTCAACTCGTCCACAATACTGTCATGCATGAGGAGTACCGTTAGATATTGGCGTCCGGTTTGGTACACTTCGTTTTCACAACCCCCCCCCCCCCCCCTCCTTTCAATCTCTGATATTGCTGACCCACCCAAGTTGGGTGGTGTGTTGGGTGGTGTGTTGGGTGGTGTGTTGGTTGGTGTGTTGGGTGGTGTGTTGGGTGGTGTGTTGGGTGGTGTGTTGGTTGGTGTGTTGGGTGGTGTGTTGGGTGGTGTGTTGGGTGGTGTGTTGGGTGGTGTGTTGGGTGGTGTGTTGGGTGGTGTGTTGGGTGGTGTGTTGGTTGGTGTGTTGGGTGGTGTGTTGGGTGGTGTGTTGGTTGGTGTGTTGGTTGGTGCGTTGGGTGGTGTGTTGGGTGATGTGTTGGGTGGTGTGTTGGGTGGTGTGTTGGGTGGTGTGTTGGGTGGTGTGTTGGGTGGTGTGTTGGGTGGTGTGTTGGGTGGTGTGTTGGGTGGTGTGTTGGGTGGTGTGTTGGGTGGTGTTTTGCTTTGCTGTTTTGAATTGTACATGTAGTCAGACCGCATTGTCATGTTGTTAACTGGTCTCGTCATCGTCCTGTAACAGTCGGCATTCTTTGTTGCCGTGGGACTTAGCTTGCGCACATTTTCGCTGCGCTCACCTTCCCTTCTTCGGTCCTACGTAACCATGAACCTTCCAAGTTGGAAGGCTGTTGGTTTGCGCACTGGAGATGTGTTAGAGCTAGGTTTCGGGTCGCTAAATGTCTCAGTAGCCTGTCAGTTTTGTGCCCTATTATCGCACTTTCTGACTGTTTATCATCTTGTTACAGTCGTGGATAGTTGCTGTATAACTCGTTCTCATGAGTTTCTTCTCTTTTTTTTACATTAATCACTGGCTCAGTATCCGAGTTTAAACTTCGGTACCGGCAATTTTTACCTAAAATAAAACGCGACCTAAACTTCAACCAAGCCATGCCACACAGTGTGAAAAATGCACTTTTGGATCTGGAAAATTGGTTTACCGAAATTTCCGTGCTACCGAACCATTAATTTTTAGGAAATACCGAAAATATTACACCAACGAAATTTCCCGGTTTGACAATACTCGGATATTCGGTATAACTGTGCAACTCCCACTTTGCATTCCACTGGAAAATAGAACTATTACAAGTAGTACTTCACTTGTACAGACCGTAACATTCAAGCTGTTTGTATAAATAGTTGTACCTTTCCCTCCACGTCCATCAGTGTTTGCTGAGTGAAGATTGTCGATGTGACATCCTTCATAGCAGTGACGGCTGCACGGATATTGTGGTTGGCCCAGATCACCGTGGAACAATTCCAGTCACGGAATTGTTGTGTTGGAGTTTTGAAGTACTTGGTGGGTATGATAATAATAGGTGTCTACATGGCAAACAGAACACAAAATGCATGGCACACACATGGCATAGAGAGACATGGCACACACAAATGCATGGCACACACATGGCACAGACATGGCATAGAGAGACAAGGCACACACATGGCATGTACAGATACTCGATCCCCGGATAACTGGCTGTTTTGACCTTGTTAGGTCACTGGCTCAACCGATCACAATGAAGCCAAGTCAACAGCAAACCATTTTGTTTAACTGGCGCAAAGCTTCAAAGCCAGAGTGCTCTAACTGCGAGAAACGGCACAATAAGCTTTGCACAACGCGGGCACTGACTAACGTTGACGACGCTAACCAGAAAGAGAGCTCAACCAAGACGAGGTGTGTGTGTGTGGGGGGGGGGGGGGAGTGTAATACCCCCATGTACGTGTACAGCTATATGTACAAGAGTGGGGCATATCAGGTACAGGCAGACAGGCAGACAGGCAGACAGGCAGACAGGCAGACAGGCAGACAGACAGGCAGACAGGCAGACAGACAGGCAGCTACACACTACTTGTATCAAAATGGTAAATACTGAAAACCTGTGAAAAGATCCCCTGCACATTGCCATGTTCCTCGCGCTGTTGTTATTATGATCAGTAAGGAAGTGGCGGAAGAGTACAGCGCAACCATAACTTAGTTGACTGGCCCTGATCTATTGTGCATGTACCCATCACTGGCGTTGATCTATTGTGCATGTACCCATCACTGGCGTTGATCTATTGTGCATGTACCCATCACTGGCCCTGATCTATTGTGCATGTACCCATCACTGGCCCTGATCTATTGTGCATGTAACCATCACTGGCCCTGGTCTATTGTGCATGTAACCATCACTGGCCCTGGTCTATTGTGCATGTACCCATCACTGGCCCTGGTCTATTGCGCATGTACCCATCACTGGCCCTGATCTATTGCGCATGTGCAGGGGCGTACCCAGAGGGAGAGGGTTCGAGGGGTGCGGAAGACCCCCCAGCCCCCCCCCCCCCCAGCCCCTGATTCTCGTCTCGCACTGCACGTGCATACGCATAGAGTACCGATGTCGTGATCCATTATTGTGCATACATACTGATAGGCATGCGGGAATATTTAACCCCCCTCCCCCCCCCCCCCCTCTGAAGAGCCCTGCGTACGCCCCTGATGTACCCATCCCACATACGCATACACACTTCCTTCATGTACTCCTACGTACCCGGTTATCCCATGAGTTCATGAAAGCCTCAATGTCACTCGGATCAGACTTCTTGCTATGAATAACCAGTGCATCAGCTCCAGCCGCAGAGTAGGCGCTAGCACGTGCCAGTGCCTCCTCAAGACCCCACCCAGCGATGAACGCTTCTATACGTGCTACGATGCAGAAATCTGGGTCAGTCTGTGAGTCTTTGCAAGCCTTGATCTTCAGCGCAAACTCTTCCATGTCAGCAAGTGGTTGGGAGCGACCATCCAACAGCGAATTGGTCTGTAAAAAGTCAAACATATAAATTCAGGCATGCGCACAAATTTCATTAGCCAACTAAAGCTCAACTGATGAGGCGGGAATTCCCTGCAACACTGTGTGGATTGAGCAGAGGGTGGTGCTTTCCAGCAGGCTTGCCGAATGGAAGGTTCGATGGACTTCTCGTGTGCTCTGGATGGCAGTCAAGTGAGAATTCACATCGGCAGGAAAAGTGCGAGCTCCCTTGTAGGAAGAAACACACCATTCTTCAAGTATCACCAAAATCGCTACAACCTCTCCTTTGCACTGTCCATTTTCATTTCCTTCAAGTATTACTGGTGATGACAGTCAATTTATTTTCTTCAGACATTTCCCGTTTGCATCTTCCCCTCAAACCAATGAATATTACATCATTATTTTTCAACTGCTATGTGATGTTGGCAGGCATAGTGGGATGGTCTAAGATCATGATTGAGAAACAGAGGGTACCAGGTTCAAGTCCTGCTTGGAAGCAGAAGGATTTTTCCAGCCGTGTTAATTGGGAACTCGTGGCCTGGCACGAAGGAAACATGGATCCAGTGAATGAGATTCAGTGCGGTCTTTGACCACTTTACTGGTGGGCTGATCTACTCACCTCCCACCACTTTAGGAGCTGCATCTGCGCCTTAGAGATCTTTGCAGTGTGGTGGTGTTCCTACGCATGCTGAAAACTCAGTCAAAGGCTGTGTTTGGTTGGTAGGATCTAGAACAGGATCGAACAACTGGTGCACACGGAGCAGCCTCACGCCAACCAAACGGTACTCCAGAAACAGAGCACATTTACGTGAAAAATGTGCCAAACTTGGTTGCATTCTTCAAAATGTGTACGAGTCACCATGGTCACTTTGTACGGTACAACGAGTGCATGGCAAGTCCAACCCAAAAGCGTATGCACGTGATCATTTGGGAACAAAATCGATGTTCCCGCCAGGTTTCACTGTGAAAAAGTGAAATTGGTCCGTCTGTTCGGCCTCGAGGCCGGAGCAAACAGAACATGTTCTTGCCAACCCAGAACAGGTGCAGTCCCAACCAAACACGCTGTGCTGGTGAATCCTGTTCTAGGTTGTACCAACCAAACACACCCTAACTGAGGGCATGTTCGATTGGTAAGGATCGGGATCGGGATCCAGATCTCAGATCCCTCGGATCCTTCAGATTCAACTGAACACTTTATCTTGGACCTTGACTGTTGCCATGTTGAAAATGGCGCTCACAAGGCACCCAAAAGGGTGAACGTCGTACTCATCGCGTGCGTTGTACAAAAAGTCAACAAGCTCTATCTCCATCCACGTGTGCGTACCACAATGTGTACAAAAATGATTTTTACCCGCCATATACGCACAAAGGTCACATTTGGATCCGTTGGATCCGGTCAACCCTGCTCCCCGAGGTGGGTTGACCGAAGGATCCGGATCCGGATTCGACCAATCGAAAGGGTGCGAATCCAGTGGATCCGGTGGATCGGGATCCCGATCCTACCAATCGAACATGCCCTGAGTCTCCAGCGAACCGTGACATTTTTTTAATTGGCGGGCCAGGCTCAAGACTTGCAAGGTGTCTCTGTGCATCCTGAACATAATATCCCGACACATCGTTGCCTTAATTCACATACTAGTATGGTCTAATACCATGACTGGAAAACAACAACACACCAAACTGATAATGAGCAAACGCCAGACAAGAGGTGCAAAGGACAAACATAACCTACCATATGCCGCCAGCATATGCGCACGGAGACCATAACCATCACAGCAATGTATAAGGCTTGCCCTGTATGCCCAATCTGCCCTGTATGCCCAATCTGCCCTGTAAGTCCAATCTGCCCTGTATGCCCAATCTGCCCTGTATGCCCAATCTGTCCTGCATGCCCAATCTGCCCTGTATGCCCAATCTGCCCTGTATGCCCAATCTGCCCTGTATGCCCAATCTGCCCTGTATGCCCTGCATGCCCAATCTGCCCTGTATGCCCAATCTGCCCTGTATGCCCAATCTGCCCTGTATGCCCAATCTGCCCTGCATGCCCAATCTGCCCTGTATGCCCAATCTGCCCTGTGTGTCCAGTCTGCCATGTATGCCCAATCTGCCCTGTATGCCCAATCTGCCCTGTGTGTCCAATCTGCCCTGTATGCCCAATCTGCCCTGTATGCCCAATCTGCCCTGTATACCCAATCTGCCCTGTATGCCCAATCTGCCCTGTATGCTCAATCTGCCCTGTATGCCCAATCTGCCCTGTATGCCCAATCTGCCCTGTATGCCCAATCTGCCCTGTATGCCTGGCATGGCTGGTCATGCTAAATTGATAACATTGAGATTGATGTAGAGACACAAGCTGCAGCCTGGTGTGGGCCTACCCAACATGGCTAACAGCTAACATAAAAGACAGGACTATCATTTGCTCCTCTCTATGAAACATTAGAACTACACTCAGACCTCGCCTATCCAGGCGGTCCGGGACCGAGCACTGCCGCTAACTTTGAAATGTTCGAATCACATACATTTTGATGGGGAAAGGCCGTAGATATGGCATGTGACGTCACTACTAAGTATTCCCACAAAAAGTGACAAAAGAGTAAAAATATTTCCACTGAAACTTGTCCAAAGGGTGCCCGGCAGACCGAAGTGCCTCGTGTGACTTCGGGGTCCCGAAAACCAAGGGATGAGTGAACAAGCATTTGGCAGCGAGATTTTGCTTCATCATTGTGACTAAGCTGACTAAGCGGCTCACCTTAGGGAATAGCTTATCTTCAATGCAAGCACCAGCAACACCACGCTGCTCTAGTTTCTGCACAAGACGACGGGCGTTGTTAAAATTCCCATAGCCTGTGTCTGCATCCAGTAGTATTGGTATACTAGTGGCATCCGACATGAACTCTAGAACATCTACAACCTGTAGTCAACCAACATGAACACATATGCAAGCACACACACACACACACGCACATACACACACATACATACACACACACACACACACACACACACACACACACACACATGCACACACACGCACACACGCACAGACACACACACAAACACACACACACAAACACACACACACACATATACACTTGTAAGAGCTCCAAGAACATAATCGTCAAGGCGGACAAAACAAGGAACCTGTACGAAGTCACGTAAGAGCAGTATCACAAGCTGCTGCACGATAACGTCACCAGGACATACAAGACCGCACCAGATGGATTCTACGAAGAAATCAACAGTGAAGCCAAGCAACTAGCGTCTGCGCTGAAAATCAAAGACCGAATTGAGGTACTACACAAGGCGGATGCCTTCGTCCACAAAGACCGGTCCAAGAACAACCTCCCTTGCAGACTAACCAACCCTGCTAAATCTGAAATGGGAATTGTGAGTAAAAGAGCTCTGGACAAGATACTCCTGGCCATAAAACAAGCTACGAAAGTGAACTTATGGAAAAACACAGCGTCTGTAATTGACTGGAGGCATACCGTATTTTTCTCTAATAAGAGCCCGGGGTTCTTATTTTTAAGTGACAGCTCTCCCCGCACTACTATTAGAGACTGGGCTATTACTGGAGACTGGGCTCTTATTTGTTCAATTGTCACCTATCAAGCCAACTCCAGTCTATACAGGCATAAACTGACCATATCAAGACTGATTTGTCAACCCTAAACTCAGGAATATTGTCAAAACAGATGTTTCACAATAGCATTGGCGCCAGGAAGGAAGCAGTAGACCGAAAACCTCCTTACAAATAGTGGTGTGCACGGGTAGTCGGGTACCCGTGCTACCCGTGAGGACCTCGGGTAGACGGGTACCGAATCGTACCAGAAAACCCGAAGTTGCAGATGACATCATGTAGAAAGAGTAGAGAGAGAGGTCTACAGTGCACGTGTACAAATGATTCACGCATGTCTACCCAGTGTGTAAGGCCTAAGGGAAGGGGCCGGTGTGCATTGTGGTCTTACCGGTTACCATGGGAACATTACCCGATCGGATACCCGTGCTACCCGTGGAAAACTACCCGGACCCGATACCCGAAGAAAATGCTACCCGACTCAGCCCAACTTACAAATATGTTCTTGGCATGTTGTACTGCTGTTTTATATGCAGTCAATATACTTGTTGCCTACTCCAATTGTGACCCGCGCTACTATTAGAGACGGTGTTCTTATTATTTCAAAGTTTGAAACCACCCTCGCCCCGGGTCATTAGTGGAGACTGGGCTATTATTGGAGACCTGAGCTTTTATTAGAGAAAATACGGCATGCTCATATGTTTTGACGTAGTAGAATTCTACCCATCAATTACGGAAGATTTGCTGGAAAAGGCCCTATCATTCTCCACGCAGTTCTGCAGTGTACGCCCCAACAAAGAAGAAGCCATCAAACACTCAATGAAGTCGCTTCTGCTCCACAACCGCAAGCAGTAGGTGAAACGGAAGAAAGCAAACGGATTTGATGTTTCTATGGGCTCCTTTGACGAGGCTGAGGTTTGCGAGCTGGTGGGTGCATTCCTCCTGACAGAACTAGAGAAGCACATCAGCAGTGAGTCGATCGAACTGTACAGGGATGACGGCCTGGCTGTGCTGCGGAACACCTCGGGAAGTGATGCTGACAGACAGAAAAAGAGGATAACCCAAGAATTCCAGCACCATGATCTGAAGATCACAATCGACGTCAATCTGCAGGTGGTGAACTTCCTAGACATCACCATGAACCTACAGACTGGCCAGTACAAGCCATACAGGAAACACGGCAGTACATCTTTGTACCTCAATGCCCTGTCAAATAATCTACCAGTGATCATCCAGAACCTCCCCAAATCCATCGGAAGGAGGCTGTCCGACATATCGTCCAGCCATGATGTATTAAGGAGGCAGTAGCGGCATACAGGAGCGCTCTCAGACTCAGATTCAGACATGCCCATCGCGGAGGCGATGATAGCGAACAGCTATGTTAGACATAGCAACTTGTGCTGGGATTACACCATTCAACAGCTTGCAAGGCTGATGAATTGACCGCCACTATTGTTAGTCTGGTATCCCAGGAGAATGAAAGAAAAGTCAGGAAGAGTCCGAGAAAGAGAAGAAAGACGTGTGCGACCATACACACACACACACACACACACACTCTCATGCACCCACAGGTACACCCTCATTAATTCACACTCACACCAAACCATATACTGCGTCAATATCCACACTGGTATCTGCTATGTTACACCTAACCTTACTCCCCAACATTTCGGCTTGACACGATTTCCGCTGAAACTTACTTCCTGCGCCCGTTCTGCATGTATCTCCCATCTTGGTTACAGCAATGTACCTCGGCCATGACTACTACTACACACAGTATATCCCAGCGCTGGTGTTATCTCCTTTCGTGGTTGTAGCACTGTCTTAGCCTACATTACAAATACCCTACATAACCAGCCAATAGCAGCACATTATGTTTTATCGTCTGATGAGTGTTTTCAAACACGAAACTCGGAGTAACGAGAAAGATTTCGGTTTCTGTTGTTCTGCCTCGTGTAGATAGATAGATGGAGATAGATAGGTAGATAGATAGATAGATAGATAGATAGATAGAGGGAGAGAGAGAGACAGAGAGAGAGAGAGAGAGAGAGAGACAGACAGAGAGAGGGAGAGAGAGAGAGAGAGAGAGAGAGAGAGAGAGAGAAAGAGAGAGGGAGAGAGAGAATGGAGTCCTCAGAAAATGGCCTAAACGCCTGCTGAGTCTAATGTAAGCCATTCTCTCCATCCCCGGTTAAGAGTCTTGTCCCATCCCCGGTTAAGAGTCTTGTTTGTCCCATCTTGGATAGCATAGCAGTACCTGTGTCCATGATGCTTCATTGCTATCGCGCACACCAAGCTGAGCGGAGATGGACAGTCCACTACCCCATATACCTTTAAAACCTGCAACATAAATCCACAAACACATACACCACACACATACACCACACACACACACACACACACACACACACACACACACACACACACACACACACACACACACACACACACACACACACACACACACACACACACACACACACACACACACACACACACACACACACACACACACCACACACATACACCACACACACACACGCACACACACACACACACACACACACACACACACACACGCACACACACACACACACACACACACACACACACACACACCCTGCAAGTGAGTGGTAGTGAATTCGGTGGTAACAACAAAAAAAGCGGTTGCTTCGAACGCTGCAGCTCGTGCTTTCTTGTTGACTGACTTCACAGTGACTCATGATTGAGCATATGCCTAGATTCCCAAAAGACTGAGTATACGCCTAGATTCCCAAAGGACTGGGTATGAGCCCGGAGGAGTACATGAAGTTCTTTCTCGCAGACCAAATCCAAGGTTTCTTGGACTTTTTGAGTGCTCTGGGTGGCAGTTGTAAGTCAGTCAAGTGCGAATGAAGTCAACCAGCAGCCTGGTGCGAGCACCACCAACGCTGGGCGCAATCAACTTTCCTGGAAAAGCATCCAAAATTATAATATGGAATGTTGAAAAAGACCCAGGGTAGTACCGGCAGACATCTGCACAGCGCACCAGCCATCTGGGCAAATATCTACACAGTGTCACGAACATCAGTCGTGATCATTTATGTGCCCCCTTTTTTGGCACCAAGCGATTCCCTTTTGTATGCACCCAGCCATGTCTGGCTGTCCTGCAGCTAGCAGTGTGCTCTACTTGCTCTCTGTTGTATGCATGTACCCGTTTCTGGCTGCCGTGCATGTCGCGGTGTGCTCCCCTTTCTGCGCATGTATCCGTTTCTGGCTGCTACAGCTCGCGTTGCGCTTCCCTTGCTCTCCTATGTGTACACACGTCCATTTCTGGCTGTACACGCATGCCTATTTCTGCCTTCGCGCTGACCCCTGAGGAATCGCTTGAGCCTAGTATGGATCCAGTGATCCGAATGTAGCGCCGTTCTCAGCAAGAACTTGCCGACTTTATATTTTGTTGCTCTACAAGCAGCTTTTCGCTAGTCTTCTTCATGTCTCTTCTTAGAGTAGAGACCAGTTTTTTCCTGCTCTAATCAGTAGCTCAGAGCTACATCAATAGCAATAATAAAACCTTATAAAAGACAAAAAAACTCTTGTCGATGCGATGACAACGACGACATACTGGTGCCGAAACCCTACTAAGTAGATGCCAGCGAAGAAGGATAAGACGCCCGTCGGGACTTTGTTCCTCAGACGTAGGCAGGTGCATGTGCAGCAAGTGGCCATTCAGAGAGACATCAAGGAAGCCTCTGCCCTGCTCCAGACCATCGAACCTGCCTCTCCCGATCCGGACACCTTGCAAAAGCTAAGTTTCTTGTGCTGTGTTTTAGAATCTTCCTTATTAGCATATGACGATTTTTGTGGTAGTTTAGCTGAGATTTTGGTTCCTGAGAATCTGGGTATCTCTAAAGAAGATGTTGAAACTGAGTTAGAGGATTGTGTAAATTGCTCATCATCTGTACGCTCCACAATCACTGCCATCAAACGCACGTTACACACGTCATCGCCTAGCGCGATCGGAAACCCAGCTGGCGCTAGCGACCCAGACTCACATGATCAACATGTCTTAGCCTCAGCATCACTACACGCTACCGCAACAAAACTGCTATCTACCACACAACAACAACATAAATCCATGACTCAAACACAGTCACAGCTCCTACAACAACAGACCGCTCTCCTCAACACGCTACAATCTCAATCTCAGCCTTGTACTACTTCAACATCAACATCTGTCAAATTACCAAAATTTGAAATTTCCAAATTTTCTGGAGATTTTTTGAAATGGAGCGAATTCCATGACATGTTCATGTCCTCAATTGACAGTAACACGGGACTGTCAGAGATACAAAAACTCACCTACCTCAAGGACCACGTTACTGGGTTGGCCCATGACGCCATCTCCGGCCTCCCTTTGTCGAACGCAAACTACACCATTGCGTTGGATATCCTTCGTGCCCGATTCGGCACTAAACAAGTACTGGTGGATTCGCATTACACGTCAATGCTCGACTTACCTTCCGCGTCGAACACCACGACCTCGTTACGCAAGTTGTATGACCAGTTAGAAATTCACTTGCGTAGCCTTGATGCTCTCGGCGAGAAAACTGACTCAGGCGTAATTATCTCCATCATGACAAGCAAACTTCCACGTGCCACACTTGTAACCCTTGAGCTAAAAAAGGGCCCAACGCCGTGGACCTGCCAGGATTTAAGAGACGCTCTAGGAGTGTACATTGCGGCACACGAAGCGGCAGATCGCCTTTGCCCTGCAAAGAAGCCCAACGACACGAGCAGCTTCAAGGCCTCTCATGCCACATCCCCTTCCCCATCTCCATCTTCTGGGCATTCATTACCAGCACAAGCAATGTCTCGGCGAAAGCCTACTTGTGCATTTTGCAAGGCCGCACATTATACAGACGAATGCACCAAAGTTACCACGATCAATGACAGACAGAAGGCAGCTAAAGGTCGTTGCCTCAAATGTTTCAGTACACGGCACAGTACACGTGAATGCACTAGCACAATCACTTGCTATCATTGCAAAACGTCTGGCCATCACCGCAGTTTGTGCCCGACTAAATTCACAGCCTCATCCCAAACCAGCCTAAGCGCTCATGCGGAGGTTTTCACACCTCACGCCAACACACTTACAGCGAACGGTGGTAGCCATGTCGTAATGCAAACGGCCGTAGCATCATGCTCAACACACGATGGTGACATTGTCAATGCGAGAATCTTGTTCGACACTGGTGCAAATCGCACGTATGTCACTTCACACTTAGCAACACGTCTCAACCTGCCTACAGTCGGTAAGCAGTATATTTCTTTAGCAACCTTTGGCAATAGCAAGCGACGCACAACAGAATATGACCAGGTGGAAGTTAGGGTGCAGTGCAATGATGGCTCTATGCACCTCCTCAAAGCATGTGTGTTACCAGAAATCACTGCACCGATTCAGAGGGTAGAATTGGCAAAGCGGTATCCAGTCTTGGAATCCTTGCCCCTTGCCGAACCGCTAGCTTCTTCTTCAGGCTCATTGCCCATCGACATACTGGTGGGCCTCGATCACTACTACCATATTGTGGGTCCAGACCGATTGGAACTTCCAGGGGGACTTGTCCTCCTGCAGTCTTCCCTCGGCTTCATTTGTACAGGTACGGTACCTACACCGGCCACGTCGGAGGGTCAATCATGTCTTGCAGTCCACAGTCACAGCGATGGAGATCCCTCTATGGACTTGCAGCGGTTTTGGGCAGCGGAAGAGTTCCCTGTCCCAGACAACGCAGACCACGAAGACATCGTTCTTCAGCGATTCCTCCACACACTCTCTTTCGAAGACTCTCGCTATGTTGTCGAGTGGCCGTGGCGGGACCTGCACGACGAACTTCCATCCAACTACGGATTAGCACTGGGCCGACTGACTTCCCTTTTGAAACGTGTCACGTCAAAGCGTACTCTTCTTCAACAGTACAACAGTGTGTTGCAAGATCAGTTGACCAAAGGCATTATTGAGATAGTACCGCCTGGGCCCACTTCGAATTCTGTGCATTATCTTCCCCACCACTGCGTAGAGAAGCCTTCACACACGACTACAAAGCTCCGAATAGTCTACGATGCTTCCGCCAAGCTCTCACGCTCCCACCCCAGCCTGAACGACTGCCTAGCTGCTGGCCCGAACCTCGTCCCTGATCTTGCTGGAGTCCTTCTGCGTTTCCGGCTTTCGCCTATTGCCATTTCCAGAGACATAGAAAAAGCTTTCCTTCAACTCAGCCTATGCAAAGCGGACAGAGACGTCACTCGTTTTCTGTGGGTCAAGGACCTTGATCAACCACCCTCACCAGAGAATCTTGTAGTCTACCGCTTCTGTCGTGTGCCATTTGGGGTGATCAGTAGCCCCTTCCTTCTAGCAGCTACTGTTCGCCATCATCTCTCTATTGCCGACGTCCCAGACGCCCAAGAACTTCTTCGGAATATCTATGTAGACAACTTGTTTATCGGCGCAACCTCTCCTGATGAGGCCCTTCATAAGTACACTGCAACGAAGAAGTTATTCTCAGCCGCATCGATGAATGCCCGAGAATGGTCCAGCAACAGTCCAGAGTTCCTTCAACACGTTCCCGAACTCGATTGCGCTTCAACCGGTACACAAAAGTGCCTTGGTATGCTTTGGGATACCTGTCAAGATAGTCTCTACTGTACAAAGGTCGCTGCCACTCATGCCGTCATAGCAACCAAACGTCACCTACTGCAAACCGTGGCCAAGTTCTTCGATCCCCTTGGATTGCTTTCTCCTGTTCTGGTGCGCGCCAAGATACTTCTCCAGGACGTGTGGAAGTTAGATGTAGGCTGGGATGACCCTCTTCCACTTGAAATCTTGGATCGATGGCAGAGTATTGCGATTGATTTAGAAGATGCGCATACTGTAGCCTTCCCTCGGTACGTCGGCAACGCATCACCCAATGTCTCGCATGCGCTCCATGTCTTCTGCGATGCGTCTGAAGCAGCCTATGGCGTAGCTGCCTATCTTGTTACCGACAATGCCCACGAGCGGGCATCTCACCTCATCTACAGCAAGTCTCGTGTTGCGCCAGTAAAGCCGTGCTCCATCCCCCGCCTCGAGCTGATGGCAGCTCTACTTGGTGCCCGAGTCATCCTCTACTTACGCAAGGAGCTTCCTTTGGCCTTCTGCTCCACAGTGTTGTGGTCTGATTCGACCACCGTTCTCCACTGGCTACAATCAAATGACAAGTTGCCAGTCTTTGTCCTCAACCGTGTAACCGCAATACGAGCCGTCAACGATCTCCAGTGCCGTCATGTTCGCTCAGCTCACAACCCAGCGGATCTACCGTCACGAGGAGCATCAACCTCATTCCTACTGGACAACATCCTCTGGTGGCACGGACCGCCCCTCCTCACGCAGCCTCTAGCTGATCTACCATCAAATGGCCCAATCGTGCACGCCACCATCGCCCTTGGGGAGGGTCCTCCGGATTCAAAGGTGCCAGAGTCTCAGCAACCACACAATAAAAAACCCGATGCACATCACAAGCAAAAAAAAAGATGTGATGAAACACCCCCATTTGATATTGATGTAACACGGTTTAGTTCGTTCTACACCTTAGTACGTGTCTCTGGTTTGTGTGCCCGTTTTGTGTCCAGACTCAAGTCGAAGCTACCGGGAGGGGCCGCGACTGGGCCTCTCCCCCTCAGCAGCAGGGAAACGGAACAAGCACAACTGCTTTGGATACGCCATTGGCAGCAGCGACACTACCCAGACGTTGTCGACTGCTTGGCATCCAACAAGCCTCATCAGCTGATCGGCAAGCTAGGCCTATTCAGTGATGAAGACGGTATCATCCGGTGTCGTGGACGACTGGAGAATGCAGACCTGTGCAATGACGCCAAGTTCCCGATCCTACTACCCAGAGCTGTAGCCAGCCTCGTCATCACTGACTGCCACAAGAAAGTGTTTCACTTCGGTGTGAACCACACGCTCGCCAGCCTAAGACTGACGTACTGGGTACCGAAGGGACGAGCGGCAGTCAAATCCACTCTGCGACTTTGCCAGGTTTGCCGGCATCACAGTGGTCCCCCATTCGCCAAACCAGATATGGCCCCCTTGCCATCAAGGTGTGTGAAGTACATGTCAGTGCAGACAACAAGATCAGGTCGGCATCTGTCACCACTGCTGATCGCCGCACACTGAAGCGTCCACTCAGCTTACTCTATCCGCTGGAACTGAGCGTGACAGCGACACCACCAGCCTGTGTTACAGCAGATGTCGCCTCTGAACCTGATGCCGTCACAGACTCTACTACATCTCGTCCACAGCGCGCTGCCGCAGCCAAGCAGAGAATTGCGCTGAAGAGTCTCATTGAAGATGATGCCGTCTAGCGCTACCAGTAAGCATATTTCTCCTTTCCTCTTTCCTGTACTGATTTTTCTCAAATTATTCTTTCGCTCATTTTCTCTCCTTTCTTCTTGGTGGGGAGTGTCACGAACATCAGTCGTGATCATTTATGTGCCCCCTTTTTTGGCACCAAGCGATTCCCTTTTGTATGCACCCAGCCATGTCTGGCTGTCCTGCAGCTAGCAGTGTGCTCTACTTGCTCTCTGTTGTATGCATGTACCCGTTTCTGGCTGCCGTGCATGTCGCGGTGTGCTCCCCTTTCTGCGCATGTATCCGTTTCTGGCTGCTACAGCTCGCGTTGCGCTTCCCTTGCTCTCCTATGTGTACACACGTCCATTTCTGGCTGTACACGCATGCCTATTTCTGCCTTCGCGCTGACCCCTGAGGAATCGCTTGAGCCTAGTATGGATCCAGTGATCCGAATGTAGCGCCGTTCTCAGCAAGAACTTGCCGACTTTATATTTTGTTGCTCTACAAGCAGCTTTTCGCTAGTCTTCTTCATGTCTCTTCTTAGAGTAGAGACCAGTTTTTTCCTGCTCTAATCAGTAGCTCAGAGCTACATCAATAGCAATAATAAAACCTTATAAAAGACAAAAAAACTCTTGTCGATGCGATGACAACGACGACACACAGGGCACCAGCCATTTGGGCAAATATCAAGTACCAGCCATATGCGAGCCAAATATTCCATTTACTACATACGGACCACTGACCTCAGAGTCCTTGTTTGTTGAGTTATTGCCTTTTAGAACTTTTTTCGACCTTTGGCCTTATTGTTGTTAGGTGTGCAGATATCCAATAAAAGTACGCTCATTTGTGCTGAGCATGCAACATCAAGAAATACTGAATACTCGGTAATACTGTAAGCTTGGTGATATTGCATGCTGGCTAGTACTGCATGCTGGCTAGTACTGCATACTGGCTAATACTGCATGCTCATTGATACTGAATGACGGCTAGTGCTGCATGCTCGTTGATACTGAATAACGGCTAGTACTGAATGACGGCCGCAGGCTAGTGCTGCATGCTCGTTGATACTGAATGACGGCTAGTGCTGCATGCTCGTTGATACTGAATGACGGCTAGTGCTGCATGCTCGTTGATACTGAATGACGGCTAGTGCTGCATGCTCGTTGATACTGAATGACGGCTAGTGCTGCATGCTCGTTGAAACTGAATGACGGCTAGTGCTGCATGCTCGTTGATACTGAATGACGGCTAGTGCTGCATGCTCGTTGATACTGAATGACAGCCAGTACCGTATACTGGCTTACTAGTATACTGCATGCCCGCAAAGGCCGTTGAGTGACTGTCTACATGGTCGGCTTGGAGAAAGACTTAGTGCTGCCTTCTTAACATAGTGTGAGGCGTTGCATTACCGGTGGAATCGGACACAAGTCGATTACTTGCTTGCCCTTTCACCTTTTCCACCAGTCCGGGTCAGCACTGTAGCTGGAACCCAATTCAGGGAGCAGCCGTGACATACTGCCACATAGTCAATCAATTCATCTATTGCCTGTTCTACTCGCTATATTCATCTATTGCCTGTTCTACTCGCTATATTCATCTATTGCCTGTTCTACTCGCTATATTCATCTATTGCCTGTTCTACTCGCTATATTCATCTATTGCCTGTTCTACTCGCTATATTGATCTATTGCCTGTTCTACTCGCTATATTCATCTATTGCCTGTTCTACTCGCAGCCTCCTCATTCAGCAACACAAGCTGGTCAAGAGTGTGCAATATGCATTCGCTGCAGCACATGCCAGAACAGACTAGCATGTGCAGAACAGACTAGCATGTGCAGAAAGAATACGTCATGTTGATTATATCCTTCACAGATCAGGCACATGCACACATGCGCACGCACGCACACACACACACACACACACACACACACACACACACACACACACACACACACACACACACAAACACACACACACTAACCAGCTTCTTCAACAATCTTTGCACTCAATCCATCATGTGCCTCCATAAGAAACTCCAGCTCCGATGAATTCAGCATATTTTTCAACTGGGTAGTTTTCTGGGAATAGAACAGGCAATAGGTACAACACCCACAGTTACAGCAATGGGCAATGAAATACAGAATTACGACTCGTATGTATAACCATACCTGGTGATCATGCATGCAGCTATGGCACCAGTATACTGTGGCACATTTCAAAAACATAGACATGAAAACCTGCAGGAGCGTTACGGATGGACTTCTGGCGTCTGCTTGCGACTAGATGGTTGGAGGCAACACTGTTGCGAATGGTCAGTGGTCCTCAGGGTTTGTTCCGCAGCTGAAAGAGAGACACCTCCTCACGATGCTGTCTGGAGTTAGCAAGGTGTTTGTCTCGCTGGGAATGGAGCGTCACTGGAAGTTGATATACGGAGTGATGTTTTCGCTCGGAGAGCACTATATAATGCAGTGCTCTCTGAGCACACCCTGGATTTCATTAGCCTATTCAAGCACCACTAATAAGGAATGAATTCCACGGAACCCTGCGTATTGAGCAGGGAGTGGTTTTTTCTTGCAGGTTTGCTGAGTGGATGGATCGATGGACTTCTTGTGTGCTCTTGACGGCAGCCATGAGTCAGTCAAGTGTCAACTCAAGTCGCAGGAATAGCGCGAGCTCCCGCATAGGGATTAGGGAGCAACACAGAATCCTAAATTGTGACCTTTTAATGAAATCAAGACTCTGCTTCCAGCAAATAGACAGCCTGACTATACAATGCCTAGACTGAATCTGATTGTGTAGAGAAATTTCCCACAGCTCAAAGAGCACTCTTAATACCTGGAGAAAGTTTCTTTTTCAGCACATGAGTCAGTGAAGTTGAGGCATGACTAATGCATACCAACATGCTGCATTACGCCATGCAATGCCACACATTTCATAGTAGTGAATGCTAAGCTTATTATCTGCCCAAACCCACGCCGTGAATAGATGATGTACGGAACATCCAGTTATACATAGTAAAGGACATTGAGGATGGCATTGATAATAATGATGTTCACTGCAGAGCTGCCAACCAACTGAGTTTGTTTTCCATACTGCGTATTCGGAATTTCCGTATTTTGCAGTGTTTTTGCGTACTGCCAGTGTACTGCCGTGCTTGTATTGTGTGTGTGTATTGTGTGTGTGTATTGTGTGTGTGTATTGTGTGTGTGTGTGTGTGTATTGTGTGTGTGTGTATTGTGTGTGTGTGTGTGTTTTTTACACTCACACACGTGTTGGTGGTTGGATTTGCTAGTGCAAAACATGTGTGACTTGTACCCGCACAACATGATTTCTTGTGTGACTACTTTGAAGTACAAGTAGTTGAAGCACGACATGCACTCGCTTTGGCACAGGGATATTCACGACATGCACTCGCTTTGGCACAGGGATATTCATCGCTCAGCTTGCGCTTGCCATGCTTCTGCATGCATTGCTGGAGCTGATCGATCTCCTCAATTTTCCGTACCAATTTGCTCAAATTCCGTAGAGCGGACGAATGAGTGATTTTCCGCACATATCATCGTGACGGAAAATACAGAAGGTTGGTAGCACTGTCACGGTCACTGACACACATGTACATACAGTCAGTGCACAGCTGCCTATGCAGTATACCAGTGATATACAGTCAGTGCACAGCTGCCTATGCAGTATCATGTGACCAGTGATATACAGTCAGTGCACAGCTGCCTATGCAGTATACCAGTGATATACAGTCAGTGCACAGCTGCCTATGCAGTATACCAGTGATATACAGTCAGTGCACAGCTGCCTATGCAGTATACCAGTGATATACAGTCAGTGCACAGCTGCCTATGCAGTATACCAGTGATATACAGTCAGTGCACAGCTGCCTATGCAGTATACCAGTGATATAATATGTACAGCTATGCTGTGTACTGTACTAGGCTGGAGGCGGTGGGAAAGAGCTTACCAGTCCTAGGCATCATGCCGGCATATCAGATCAGATTTCAACCCACCTTTTGCTGACTGCAAAGCGACGATGTTGAGATAGTTCTCACCGCGGCAGCAGAACCTGGACAAAGCAGAAACGGTTAGTCAGCAGATTGTCAAACTGACTGTAGTTGGCACTGTACAGTATCCGGCAAGCAAACCAGTATGGAAAACGTGTATACAGTGGACCTGGTGATATGTGAACACTTGTGATCAGTGACGGTACATGTACATAATTATGAACACTATGAACACAACAGGCCGGCGACTGACCGGCGGCCCTGGGACCATGTTCAGCATTCATGCCCGGCACTTCCGGCGCACATCACCGGCTTGTACAGTGAGCGTGGCAGTCTGTCATATTTATACGGTCAGATTCCAAGTGGCAGCACTGACGTACCTGTTATCCTGATAATTCAAATAATACACTACACCTGGTCAGGTGACAGTCAATTTTTCTTCTTCTGATTTTGTCCCTTTGGAACCCCTCAACTGATGACTACACCTAACAAGAAAGCCCTCACGAAATCTGCCATTTACATGATGAATTCAGGAAAGAACTGATTGTGAGTAGGGAGAACAGCAGTTTCTTGCAGGTTTGCTGAGTAGAAGGTTTGACATGCTTGCCGTGCCGGCTCGATCCAGACAGTTGCAGTCGTGAGTCCGAGGCTGGCAAGTGTCAATCACTCAGTCAGTCAGCAGAAAGTGTGAGCTCCAATGTCGGGAGTGACCACCACCTTCTTCTAGTGAAGTTTCTTTGTTAAAATGTTGCCGCTGAATTGAGATCACACCCTTAGGAATGAATTGAGATCATGAGTTGTAGTCTTTGGGGTGCTGAGTCGAATGGTCTTGGTCCGAGGAAGCTGAGACGCTCCCTTCCTCCTTTTTCCCAATCGAACTCGTGCACTTCCACCGAAACTGGGTGACTGCGCCCTACTAGATGGGGATTTGTATGCAAAATGTCACTAAAAGCACCATTTCGTTCTTATAAAAGCACGGATGACCGCGATTGGCCCATATGTTTTAGTCTTTTGGACACTGAGTCGACTGGTTTTGGTACAAAAAAGCTGTGATGCAGCGTTCTGCCCTTATTCCCAATCGAACATGGTTGAACAAGCGGTCACATGCTCCTGCATACACCAGTCACCTGGCCACCGCGCCAGCAGGCGACAACTTTTACACCAAGGTTAAACTCAAAGGATCAAAGGTTCAACTCGAGTGACAGAAACTCGCCCAAACTGCATGCTGTAAGTTGTAGCCTGCAGGCGCGGTGACCAGATGACTGGTGTACGCAGGAGCATGTGACCGCTTGTTCAGCCATGTTCGATTGGGAATAAGGGCCGAACGTTACATCGCAGCCTTTTCGGACCAAAACCAGTCGACTCTGCGTCCAAAAGACTACAACATATGGGCCAATCGCGGTCATCAGTGCTTTTAAAAGAACGACATGGTGCTTTTAGTGACATTTTGCATACAAATCCCCATCTAGTAGGGCGCAGTCACCCAGTTTCGGTGGAAGTGCACGAGAGTTCGATTGGGAATAAAGAAGGAAGGGAGTGTCTCAGCTTCCTCGGACCAAGACCATTCAACTCAGCACCCCGAAGACTACAACTGGTGAACTTTTGATTTTAGGCTTAACTTCCCCTTTAAGTTTCTTTGTTAAAATGTTGCCACTGAATTGAGATCACACCCTTAGGAATGAATTGAGATCATGCTGGAGTAATTAATCTCACCTTGGGTGATACTGTAAGACTATTTTTATTAAAATGAAAGGAACAAAATGTTACATGTTTTCCGTTGTTTGTTCAACACTGACAATTACCATGTTGTCCGGGGTGTTAGCCGCACCCGGGCCTTCAACTTGTTTGGCCCATCGCGCAGCGGTCGCGCGATGGTTTTCCCGTACACCAAACGAAGTATGAATCAGCCTTTAGCTGCACCCAAGGACCGCGCGCTGCGGACAGTACCAACAGGAGGAGGGTCGAACAGTATCATGTGTCAGTGAGTGAAACGGATCTGGAGGAGCAATGCCAGGTACGGGACGAGCATCGGGATCGGATGGGGAAGAGCGAAACGAGGCGGATGAATGTATTGTTCGCAAGAAGCCGGCTGTGTATCTACACTTGTTATCTCGTCCTGACTATCTCAGTGTGTATGAGGACTCTCATTTTTCTGTACTGTGCCGTGCGCGTTATGTCCAGCAGTTGAAAGCTCTTGAGGCAGTTTGTATACATATTCACAAGCCTGCTTTGTGTGAGCAGAAAGAGCACGTTGCTTTGTGTGAGCAGAAAGAGCATGTTGTTTGTGTGAGCAGGAAGAGCATGTTGTTTGTGTGAGCAGAAAGCCTGTTGCTTTGTGTGAGCAGAAAGAGCATGTTGCTTTGTGTGAGCAGAAAGAGCATGTTGTTGCACTTAGGGTGTATTCGTAGGTTGGCACCTCGTTCAGTGCCTTCTCACCTTTGCTTATGTAATCCTGTTACCTTCTGCGTTTCCTCTAGTGGTTTTATTGCACTTGTATCATGATTTTATGCGGCATTCTAACACCTTTCTATTACTTAACTTCGGTTTCATTCAAAAAGAGGACCAAAAGTTTACAAGTTATCCGTTTTGTCCAACACTAACAGTTATAAGCAGAATACTGTTGAGTCAAAAATGTGCAACAATTAGCACAAAATTCTTTTTGAATTTTAATCCTTGGCTCTCCATCCGAGTTCAGTCTCATTGGTTGGCTTTAGTTCCGTATTTTCCCCACTGATGATGGGAACGAGAAATTCGATTCTGGATTATAATAATTTTGTTATAAAATACAGATACTGTAAAAGCAGAAACTTTCGGCGGTGTTTTATTTTCGGTAACTTCGGTGCCGACAATTTCTACCGAAAATAAAACGCACCAAAATTTTCGGTACAACCGATACTGTATACAATCATGTAGTACTACATGTACCTGGCCTGGAAACGGGTTTTACCGAAAATTTCCCTCCACCGAACCGCCGATTTTGGAGAATACCGAAAATATTACACCACCGACAAACTCTGCTTTTACAGTACATGTCGAACAAGTAACTTAGTTGCGTAGTCACTAAGTGTCTGCGGCCTTCATTTTATTGAAATTTCTTCATAGCTCTACTTGTTAATGCTGTTTGTTAGTCCACCACAACTGCACAAGTTCCATACTACATGTAGTATATCATGACTAGATAGTGCCGTCCGGTCTGTCTCAATGTGCCACTGGCTTTCTGATCGCCGGAAAGGGCGCCAGAGGCAAAACGCATTGCACAGAATCGAGAGGAGGTGGGTGCATGCCAATGCAGGGTGCACCGTAGGTACGGTAAAAGTGAACCCAGTTGATAATTTGAACTGGGATGTTGAGCCAAAGAAATCATGGATAAAAGGAAGAACTTCCCCTCTTCAAGTGGATCTTTCCTAACCTGGGCCTTCCAAGTTGGACGGTTGTTGGTTTGCGCCTCCTAGAAGTGTTGGAGCTAGGCGTCAGGTCGTCAAATGTCTCAGTACTCCTTGTCAGTTTTGTGCCTTTTGTCGCACTCACCGACTGCTTTTTGATACGTTGGTGGAGAGTTAGTCATAACTCGTAACATTTTGTCCTTTCTTTAATCCATTTAATAATGAATATCAATCTCGGGCAGAACTACTAGTATGTTAGAGGTTGAGTTACACGTGCGTCGTGTTTCAAGTTTCCAACACTCGTTGAAAATCTGACGTTACGTGGAAATTTTAGAGGTTAACCATTTACTGACGGCCCATACATTTATCGATCATGGATGATCGGATGATCGATAAGTTCAACCATTTCAGGGGATAGAAAAATGCTTGATCTTTTTTCAGTCTGGACTCGACTGGAAACTAGACTTTGCTCAGCAAGGCTGCTGATTGCCAGTGATTGGCTGAAACAATGATTTCGTACCGTACCATGGGGTAAACGTATTTATGGAAAGCAGCAACGTGCAACGACCACTGAATCACTGATCAGTGATGAATCATGACAAGAGTACATAACCCCTGGGGTTGTGTACTCTTGATCATGAAGCACATGAATCATGATTGTGCTGGTACATGTATCATGTATCATGTGTAATTTTCGCTAAAAAATCATCAATATTGTAGTAGGTCACGCGCAGCGGTAACAGCTTACCTGAGCCAAGGACATGGCCAACACAGCGACGAAGAGAGACCTGCATTGTGCGCAACTATTCTCGCAGCGAACACACAGCAAACACAGGCACCAGCCACTGCACCAAACACCTCCACTACGAACACACGTGGTACTTGGAACAGTTACAACTACTACTCAAATAACACGTAACGTCGTTACTGTCGACGTTAGTTACTCGGAATACCATGCCATTGGGCGCCCCGCGCATGGTGTACAATCTGTGCTTGGCTTGCAACCAAAAGTGATTTTTTTGCAATCAAGGACAGGTACATTGTTCTAGGACTAGGTATCGGTATTTTACTACTCCCGCGACTGCAGGCTAGGCTGTGTTTGGCCTGGCGTTGGGCAACACGACAGCTGAACGCAGCCGTCTTGAGACCTGAGTCGACTTGAGTCGACTTGACTCCATCTCCGATGGCGTGATCTGACACCTGCCAAACAACACTAGCAGTGCCAGTACTGCAGTAGGTCAACAAACCGAGGTAGATCTGGTCCAGGGAGCTCCGGAGTTGACCCCGGCCCGGCGCCCCTGCCCTGGTCTACAGTAGATCTACACACGTGTAGTAGTACTACGGTGTAAGCAGGGAGTCGTAAAATACGGTATTTTACGACTCCCTGGGTACATGGGTACCGGGTGTAAGTAAACGACGTTACGTAGATCTACCGCGGTATCGGTGACAAACGAAAACGCTGTCGCATGCACGCATCATGTTGCCATAGATAGAACTCACCTAAGTCCTTTCAACCAATCATCGCCAGTCACGCAAAATAGAACGAAGAGCAGCATGACTTTGTGTCTTTCAGTCAGACTTCATCAGAGTCATCTTGCATCTCAGCTAGCACTCACTCAGCAAAGCCGTAGCATCCATATGTGCAACGGTCGATCGATGTGACGCGGGTTCGAGAGCATGTGTTTTTTTTCTGTGTGTCGGTGAGGAAGAAAGTTTCTGCAGGAATTTCTTTTTTTACTTATCGAGCTAAGTTCTCAAAGCTCTCCATCCTCTTTTCATCATGGAGGATTCTTATAGGAGAGAGACAAGTGATGTTTTAAAGCATTTCGACGTAGATCCTGAGAGAGGCCTTGACTCGCCACGCGTCAAACAACTTCTCGAGCGTTATGGGCCGAATGGTTAGTAGAAATTGTTTTTGCTGATTTGTCAGATTACTTCGTCGTCTGATGTTGATTTGTGCTCTGCCATGCCACACAGCTTACTTGCTTCATCTGTGTTGTGTAGGGTTTATGTTGTTATTCAGCTCCTCTCTTCATTTAGATTACTGATTGTACCTTGTTTGTTTTGTCTATTTTTTTCTTGTTTGATGCAGAATTGCCGGCTGAGGAAGGTTTGTGATTGGTGGAGTTCACTTGTCCGATTTGAACTTTGTTTTGTATTCCGGATAATTGATGCTAACTTACTGGTTTCCTTCTTGCAGGGAAATCCTTATGGAGACTTGTCCTGGACCAATTTGACGATTTGTTGGTGAAAATTCTTCTTCTAGCCGCCGTCATATCCTTCGTAAGTCAGGAAATATTCTTGGATTAGTGTCAGATTGGAATGTGGAAAATTGGAAATGGATCGCCGGTTACTCGTAGTCAATCATTCCATGTTCTGATTTCTGTTTCTGCATTTCCCTGGAATTCTTTCTAGATATTAGCATGGTTCGAGGAAGGTGATGAGCAGACTACTGCCTTTGTTGAACCCTTCGTCATTTTGCTGATTCTCATCGCAAATGCCATTGTAGGCGTGTGGCAGGTAATTCATTATGTGTATATCACCTGCGCGTTGTATTCATGATGTAGTACATGTAACGATATTGATGAAAATTAATACATCATTCTGTGTGAACTCGGATGTTGAGCCAATAATTTTACATCATCCGTGTTCGTTTATTGTTTCAGTGTTTGTTGATAGCTAGGACAATGTTGTGTTGCCGATGCTGGCCTTGCAAAGCACTCTCTTGACTTGTTCGTTGTAGGAAGTCGGTAGCATAGCTCACTTGTTGGTCTGGCTTTGAAAGTTTCCATAAACCGATCCTAACTTGAGTACATGCACTTACTCGATTGTTCAGACGCTTGTGACGTAGATAGACCCTGGGTTGCAAGCATGTAACTGCTTGTGATGTATTCGCCTTACCTTCGCCAGTAGCAGTATCAGCTGTCGAAAAATCAAGCCTGCTCTTAGATGAGGTCAGCAGGAACCCATGGGAATGATTTATTGATGGAATCTATGAAGTATCCACTTGACAAATATCTCTTCCATTCAAGTACTATTTGGTTGATGTACATATGAAAGTTGTTGGTGGGTCCTGTTTGTGGGCTATAAGAAGTGAGTTAGGTTGGATTGTGTTGTTCCTTTCCCCTCAATCTAGACCAATAAAAGGCACATGCAATTCTACAATTATAGTATAATAAGATAGATATGTACCAAGGTCTTTTACGAGGTCTATATTCCCCATATTGACCTCTTTCTCAGTCAATAATAGATTTATCACGACTTCTTTCCTATAACCCCAAAATCTGATCCTTTAGGGGAAGTACCTTGACTAAGCTGTCCGGTATTATATTATGGTATCGTGTATTCTCACATTCCGCAGCTGTATTGTAACTAGCGTGTTGTAAATCAGGCAATGATAGGTGCTGGCTGTGCCCCCACCCCTAGCATCATCTCCCTGGAGTCTGCCTTTTGTTCCAAAATTCTCCACAATGGATTGTTGGTTGGCGATATTCTTGTAAATGTAGCACAGAGGTCGTTGAGTGCTAGTCTCATACAATGACACTTGCTTCTTCACAACATATGGCAATTATTGATCTCTAGTTAAGCTTGCAGTAGACCACTTACAGCTACATTGTCCATAATGTACAAGTGTACATTGCACATGCATGGGCGATGGATAAACAATCACACACACGCACGCACGCACACAAATACAAAAACATACGCAATCACATTTTGACCATTTGTTTGAAACGACCTGCTGGAAACTGACTGTGCGTGTTACATTGACATTGAAAAGTATTGGTACCTATCCCCTTCCCGAGAGATTTTCTCTGAAATCGAGGTCGTCGAGGTCTGGCTGCAATAATGTATTTGTCCATAACTGGTACGGTGTATTCGTACTATGGGATAGCGGGAACGTTTAGCTGGCTGTTTCAGCTTGACAAATCCAGTGTTCCATTGACATTCACATGCTCCAGTAGAACGATCCTGGGTAATTCGTACTGGATGGCTGCAGTCTGTAGTTTGCCGAGAAACGAACATGGTCCTGCTTCCGCTCTCTTGGAGTCTGGTCATTCTAGAAGCTTGTTGACTGTTCTTGATAGTGAATATTTTGAGAGGACAGGATACTGAAGCTTCCCTGCAGATGCGGAAAGTGTTATCAGGGTTTCGCGAAGGCAGCTTTCTTCTAAATTGCTTCCAGAGTGGATTCACTTGAGCGGACCCACACCAGTCTGCTTGTAACTTCTCATGAGATGATTCTTCATGTTCGAGGTGAACAGGACATCTACGTGCCTGAATAATGAAGGCTGTAGTGTTCGACAGAGGCCTACAAGTACAAGCCGAAGGCGAACATACAACTTCACAAGTGCAGTGGTCTCTACCCGTGATTTATGTTGTGTAGCGTCATGATTTTTCTGGTGCTTTCCCAGCAATAAAGGTTTCCGAGCTCCTCAGAATAGATCGGGGAAATTTTAGCTGCTTTTACTCACGGGAACGTCACGTGAATGCGAATTTCAAAAAAATGTCATGACGACTTTCCCTTTACTGTCGCTCTATCGTGTAGTATGAATGCACCCTTAGCTTTATAATCTTTACTGGTATACCGTAAGCGACATATGATTGGAACACGGCACATGTGTACGGTACCGCGTTTGCGAGTACAGTCAACTTTGCTAGTAACGACTGCGGATGTAACGACAATTCGCGAATAACGACAGAATTCCCATGCCCGGAGCAAAGTCCCATCCCACTGTAATACATATAATGAGACTTCGGGTATAACGACACTTCGCGAATAAGGACACCTTTTTGATGCCTCGCCGAGTGTCGTTATAAGTGAAGTTGACTGTAGTTTCTTGATTTCTGTTGCAGGAGAGGAATGCCGAGAATGCTATTGAAGCACTCAAGGAGTATGAGCCTGAAATCGCAAAGGTCCTGCGTCAGGACAAGAACACCCTTCAGCAGATCAAGGCTAAGTTCCTTGTTCCAGGTGACATCTGTGAAGTGGCAGGTAAATACATTGTCCTATTGCGCTGCTCTCTCTCTCTCTCTCTCTCTCTCTCTCTCTCTCTCTCTCTCTCTCTCTCTCTCTCTCTCTCTCTCTCTCTCTCTCTCTCTCTCTCTCTCTCTCTCGTGTAATGATGTATACTAATGATATAATTATATGATCGAACCACCTAGCTGTCCGGAGATTGTGTATAATACATGCACACACTTGTGCACGCGTGTACAAACATGTGCATGAACACATGTATGCACACGCATACACACACAGACACTCACACACACAGACACACACACAGACACACACACACACACACACACCACACACACACCACACACACACACCTTGAACCTTGAACCTTGAACGCCCATTGCCGTAGCAATGATAGCGATGGCTTCCTCACGCCATACGGGTATCAAAACGTTCATGGTTTTCTAACTTTTCACTTTTCTTGTTTTTGAAGTTGAATTACTTTTTATTTCTGTGTTTGTGCTTGTTTAGTTGGTGATCGTGTTCCCGCAGACATGCGGGTTATCAAGGTTCGCTCCACCGTACTGCGTGTTGATCAAGCCATCTTGACTGGTGAAAGTGTTAGCGTGATCAAACATTCTGATGTGGTGGATATTCCTGACGCTGTCAATCAGGACAAGACCAACATTCTCTTCTCTGGTACAAATATAGCTGCAGGGCGTGCTCTGGCTGTCGTTGTGGGCACTGGCCAGCAAACTGCTATTGGTAAGCCATCTACTTCAATACAACATGTCTTTCTATGAAGCAGTTACCCAGTGAAACCTGATTCCACCTTATATATCCCTTGTGTCTCTTCTCTATGGGCGCTGCCGCTTTGGGAGTCTTGCGTGCTTGCATGAGATGTACATGTACATTGTTGTTCGTAAATTCGGTGCGATACTGTTGTTTCCTGTTGTTGCTGCTGTTATTGTATGTCAGGTCGCATTCGTGATGATATGGCTGCCACAGAGAACGAGAAGACTCCTCTACAACAGAAACTTGACCAATTTGGTCAACAGTTGTCTAAGGTATGACCAATAGAACATACAGTAAACCCGAAATCGTTTGCACCCATTTTAGTTCGCAGATTGCGATGACAGACCATTTTGTGCCTGCAACCGTTTACGATTGGAGTCCATTTGATGCTTACTTTTCACGATTTCACACCCATCGCGAAAATCTTGAACGTTTCAGGATCGCAAAGGTTTCTGGGTTTACAGTAAGCTCCCAATACAAGGGTGTGCATCTCTGGATAACCTTTCTATGGGGCCCGCCAGCACCGAAATCTCACATTGAAAACATTGGATGAGTGGACCCTGCCCGGGATAATGGAGCACTAACTGTTGTGCCAAGAGTATATAACCTCCCAAGAGTGTGCAACTCTGCATATGGGGTCTCCGACGGCGAAAACTCACATCGCGCGCCCCAGGTACGTTTGGTACTACGTACAACTAAGGATAGCGTGCACGCAATCCGGATATCTGCCATGATTATGCTGGCGAGTTGCATACACGCGGTGAATTTATGTTAGGGAGTGCTCTCTTTTTTTTTTTACTCCGCTGCTCGCAAAAAAACAGGCCGGAAATGTACAAATGGGACACGACACCACGTGATGCGAACCCCCAAGAGTGTGCAACTCCTGATACCCTTTCTATGGGGTTCGCCATCGGTGAACCCCATAGGGCCATAGAAAGGGTATCAGGAGTTGCACACTCTTGGGGGCTTATATCCTCTTGGTTATACCTGTAGTTCTGTGGATAAGCTTTGAATTGCTGTGTATTCAACTTCTGTAATGACGTCAAGTCGTCTTATGAGCTTTAGCAATGAGGCGGCCCTGTATCACCATGTACATGTATTCTCTTATTTCAGCACCTTCATGAAATTATTATGGTGTGGGGGGGGGGGGGGGTCATGTGTCTGCATGTGTTCGCATGTGTTCGCCCATACTCGTGCTTCATTTGTGTGTGTGTGTGGGTGTGTGTACCCGTATTTGCTGATTAGGTGATCACCATCATCTGCATTCTTGTTTGGCTCATCAATATCAATCATTTCTCAGATCCCAGTCATGGATCTTGGCTTCGTGTAAGTATTACAAGATATAGATTGCTTTTCTCTGTCTTGACGACATTGGTTATACTACCATGCTGTAGATGTTGCTGTAGGTGTTCGTGACAGTGGTCATGCTACTATGCTGTGGGTATTTGCAAGAGTACATTAGTGTGCTGTCTCTCGCCTTACTTTAGAACGGCTAATTTTAGCGTTTTCTGAATCGGGACTGATTCGCGATGTAATATTTTAGCGATCCGATTTCCAGAGTAAAAACAAAATATTACGGAAATGTAATACCTACATGTGAGCCAGGGACTACAGAAACCACCCTATGGCACTTTTTGGCGAACAAATTTTTTTCCTCAACATGTTGGTATGGTAATGTGCTCAAACAAAATTTCAAGTTGATCTACGATGGTAAAATGAGCCAGCGCAAGCGAAAAAACCGGATAACGGAGCTACGTCATGAACTGAGAAAACGGCTTGAGAAGTTTGAATACGGGAAATCCCCATTCAGGGAAGCGTGTCGCGTGTTCAATGCTTTGCTACGTCACAAGTATACGTCACAAGTATGTGACGTAGTGTTCTATGGCGCGGACCATCGCGCAGCTGAGTTCCTCAGCTTTCTTGTGCTTTTTATTTGAAGGAAATCCGTCAAGGGACGGCTGAGTTTCGGTCGCTTGACTGAAGTCGATTTTACTCTGGAGGATCGTGCTTGCACTCTTCGCTCTGAAATTTGAAAATAGTTTGGACTTTGAAGTTATTCACTAGCTTGAGGGAAAGAGACAAACGGGAAGTTTGAAGTTAGTCGATGATTCTTTAACAGCATGAGCAGACGAGCTACGTTCACCGTGGACGATGCCCTCGCTGCTCTGCGCCTTGAAGACGAGGAGAATTTGTACGCTCAGTTGCTCTTGACGGGCCATCTGTCCAAAATGTTTTGGAGGAATCTGACGACGATGATGACAGTAGTGGCAGCCATTTCCTCGACAAGGAGCTCGACATCGATATTGCTGCCCATCGGTATGATGAACTGAGCAGCACCGACGACGGTGATGGAGAAGAAGAGACAAGCGATACTGACGATGTATTTGAGGACCTAGATGCTGGTATGGACGTTCCCCAACATGCTGCAACTGCAGCCACAGTTTTGCCAAGATGTGGATGTTCAACAAATTGTTTGCCACTATTTTCTATTGAAGATGTTGATTAGAATCGGCTGAACATGGCAGAGCTGGAGCGACGTGATTTTGATTTACTGCTGAGTGGTGTGCTGGAGGCTATGCATTGTGGAGACAAGCTCACTGTCCACCAGAAAAAGCGTAAACGCTCAGCTTTCAAGTACGCTTTCCAGAGCAAGCGAGTGTGTGCCGGTGCATTCCGCTACATCTTTAACATCAAGAAAGATAAACTGTGGAGTTTGTGTAAGCACGTGGAAAGCAACGGTGCAACGGCGCGGCGACACGGCAATGCTGGTCGACGACCATCAAACGCTTTCACGTTTGAGGAAGTCAAATACGCGGTTACTTTCATAAAATCTCACGGCGAACACTATGGCATCCCACACCCTGCACCGCTACATGGTCGAGATGGTGTTCCTCCCGTGTTTTTGCCTGCAAGCCAAACTGTATGTTACTGCAGGGAACTCGGCTGGCATGTCATGGGAGAATCTTCCTTCCGCAGCATCTGGCACCAATGCACGGCGCATTTGAAATTTATGTCTCCACGGACTGACGTGTGTGATCTGTGCGAGAAACTACGCCGTCGGGTCATGTCAGCTTTGACTGAGCAGGATAAGGTGGCCGCCTATTCAGCACTGCAAGACCAAATTGCAGCAGCACAACATGAGAGAGACTACTATCGTGGAGCTACTATCGTGGAGCTACTATCTCTGCTGCCGAACAACTACAAGCCAGTGCCCAGTGTGCGCCACCATGTGCTCCATGCTCGCAAACCACGTTCAAAACGCATTATACATTCGATTTTGCGCAAAACATCAGCATACCTCAGGAGTGGCGACAAGTAGGTCCTCTCTACTTTAAAGTTCCAAGGAAAGTGCAGGTGTTTGGGGTGAACAACGAAGCTGTTCCGCACCAAGTGAACTACTTGATTGACGAGACGGACACCATCGGCACAAATGGCTCCAAGAGCCATGGCCCCAACAGTGTTGTAAGTCTCCTCCACCATTTCTTCGCACACCACGGTTATGGCGAAGAACAGTGTATCCTCTCTGCAGATAATTGCTGTGGCCAGAACAAGAATAAAACTGTTGTTTCCTACCTTGCATGGCGCTGTATGTCTGGCTTGCATAAGTGTATTGAGCTGCATTTCATGATCACAGGCCACACCAGATGTTTGGTCGATGGCTGCTTTGGTTTGCTGAAACGCAGCTATAGGCGCAATAATACCTATAGCATGGCCCAGTTAGCTGATGTAGTGAATGGTAGTGCTGCATGCAATCAGGCGCAGCTTATTTCTGGCTCCAATCTGGAGTGGCGTTAGTGGGATAAGTTCTTTATGCAGTTCTTTAAGCCCTTGGTCGGCATTTCCAAGCTTCACTACATGCGCTTTTCCAGTGCTGAGCCTGGTGTAGTGTATTGCAAAGAGAATGTTCATGCTGCTGAGCAGAGGCTTGCCTTGCTGAAAGTGCCTGCAGAAGATTTGCTTCGTGCTGGTCTGCCGAAAGTCCTCAGTCCTGCAGGACTGACTGCAGAGAGGCAGCAGTACCTTTTTTCTCACATTCGCGAGCATGTTCCATCAGAGTTTCAAGATCAAGTTTGCCCGCCACCTACTGCATCTGCAGAGTGAGACAACATCCTCGCCGACCAGCCTGACATGGCACTTTGATCATTTCACATTCGTTTCTATTTTCGTGTACATACTTGTGCCATTGCTCAGTTACACACTTGCGCAACATTGCGCTTGATTACGCCTATTTGCGTAGATGCTCTCATGTACTCTAAAGAGTCTCTTGATGCTATGATGTATAGAAGACTCAATATCATGTTACCTATATGTACAGTATTATTCACTTGATTTGATAATACTCTCCATCTGCTTCATTGGGACAGCATTGTTTGGGCCATCAATTATTCGTTCAACACCACTTTATTGTTTGCGCTTGAACATCATTTTCCGTATGTTTGGCAAGGACATAGGTGCAGACAAATGACTGTATCTATGGTGTTTCTTGAGATTTTTGAGTCTGGTTTTTTTATTGGTTTCTGCATGAAATTCTGAAAGCTTGAAGTCTCAAAACCGCCCTCCAAGTCCATTACCGTATCATCTCTAATATAAGCACAGTCTCCAATAATAGCACGTCTCCAATAATAGCACGTCTCCAATAATAGAACACCTTGGGGCGGCATTCAAAAAATAAAGTGCTCAGTCTCCATTATAAGCACACTGTAAATTCATTATCTGTACCGGCGAAAAAAAACCCTGAAATGTGTGTGTCTGACATATAAATTTGGCATGGCCAATGCTGGATTGCTCAATAGTAGACCATGGTAGACGCTCTGCAGAGCCTGCGAACCATTGCCCATGACAGACTAGCATGTTGAGATCTATGCATGAGGGTCTGTGCATTGTGATATTCCAACAGATCCTGAAACAGTCAAGCTCAGGAAATAGCACTATCATTATCACTCAGGCTGCAATATTCATAAATAGACATATTCATAAATGACATATCTTCAATACCAATGAGCTACATTGTATAGTTATCATAATTATTATTATCATCGTTCTAGCTCAATTTTTCCCCTGTCATAGTCCTGTTTATCATGTTCAGCATAAGCGAAGTTGTGGATCATGCTTGCATGGTTGACTCCAACGCGTACATGCAAGTAATAATAATAATAATGATTATTAGAGAGGTTCTGCTACACGGAACTACGTACCAAATTCCGTGTCAACTGCAGTGCAGTTTGACACGGATTTTTCCTACGTTGCACCGGTTCTGCTGTACGTAGCATGCACGAAGCATGCACGAACACCCCGCCACATGTACTCTGTACGCTCACTTTTCACACGGAGTCCAGTCCGTGTGAAGCGAGCTTCACACGGAAAACGGTATGAAAAAATCCGTATCAAACTAAATCCCGTACCGCGGCGAAGTTTCCATACGTACTTTGGCACGTTATACCGTGTGGCAGAACCTCACTAATAATGGCAACATGCCTCTGAAATGAGGTTGAAATAATAATGGAACAGTCTCCAATAAAGGAACGTCTCCATTAACCCTTTGCGTGCAGATGACGTGTATACACACGCCTGAACCCCATGCCGGTTCTCTGAGGACGTGTATACACGCGCTTCGGTTTGCGTCGTGTACGTGGTGAATAGACCAGTGTACAAAGTTTCGTTACTCTGTGAAAGAGTATCCGATCTCCACATACGATACACCGTTGGAAAGGTATTGAGCTCAGCTTTCCAGAGATATAAAGTTCTTCGCGATAGGATAAAGATTCACTGAGCGGCGACAAAATGAACACGGAAATCACGGGCTGGAGTGATCGCGAATTTTTTTGATCGTGACTTCGCAGTTTTTTGGAGCGTGCCAGGGGATTTCCCTTTTGCCCTGCGCATGCGTTATGGACATCAAATGAAGCGCGTGGATCTCAGCTTTGCAGAGCAGTTTGAATCGTGAAAATCGGTTGAATTTGAGCAAGGAGCCGAAAAAGAATTTGTGACTGAGTTGTTGTTTCGTTCCGAGGCATGGTGGGCCAGTTTGGAGAGGTCATGGAAGTGGCCCTGGTGGAGCTGTGGACCTGAGAGCTTCCAGGATGGATTCGCCTGGTCCTGATCTTTCCAACAAGCCCAGGATGAGGAAATTCCATCCAGGTGAACTGAAATGAGAATAAATTTGGTTCCGAGCAGTGCACCCAAACTCCACCAGGAGAGTCCGTACTCTGGAGTGCCAGATTACTGTGGAAAACAGGCCAGCATGCAAAGGGTTAATAGCACGGGGCGGAGGTACATTGAAAAAATAAAGGACCGTGCTTATATTAGAGATAATACGGTATCTGGGTTTTCGCTTGTGCTGGCTCAAATGTGCCTAACCACCTATTTAATAATGGCATGTCAATTGAGCGATATAGAGCAAATTTATGTACACTGTATTGTAATGTTCTTTGTATATCTTCATTCTTGCTAGTTAGGCAGTTCAAATGTATAGTGAACTATGCCCTCAGCTTCATCCAGTGACGCCTGCGCCGTTCACTAAATCTCGGTAGTACTGCCGCTCCTCTTGTGCTAGTGATATGTGCGGAAGCAGGGCCTAGACACTGCATTCCGTCTCTTCCTCTGTACGGCTGACACGAATTTTGCCCCGCAGCTTGTCACACAGTGTGTATACGTCTGTCCTTGGCTTCATCACTTTGATGTGTGCTACCTGTCTCCTCCAAATGTGGCAAAATGACCTGTAATGAACAGGCGAATACTGTGTGACGGTCTTGGTATAGATGTTGTATGCAGACTTCTTGTTCTTGGATGCTGGTAAGTATACTGGAGGGTCCTCAGCACAACCTCGCTCCGCTGCAGGTTGAGGTAGACCGTACATATTAGCATATGAATAAATAAACTGCACTACATCCTGCTCTATGTCTGCTGAAATGGCTAAGTGCTCTGGTGTTCTCCCAGTCAAGCCATGGTGTGCCAGTTGAACGACTCCTTTGTTTGCCTTTTTTTGAAGGCGCTTCATTACATGACTTCCAACAGCATGAACTGCCATGAACACGTCTTTGCACAACTCGTAACCACGTACATGATAGCGGAAATAGAAAGGTTGATCACCACCACCAGTCATCGACTTTCGCATGCTTCCAGTCAGTGCGCCCAGAAAAAACTGTTTGAAGCGCTTTTTCGATTCTCGCAGTTTAGAGACTTCGAACATGTAGGCCTCGAGCTGCTGCTCTGGGATGACTTTCCAATGATTCTTCGACTTGCATCCACAGCCTCTCTCAATCCCATCGCGTATGTCTCAAGACAGGAGACCACGCTTCACCTGCTCCGTCGTCGGTGGCTCAGGTGCGGGGGCATCTGGCTCGCCATCCTGATTCCGAGTAGTCGGTGTCACTCTCCGCGTTTGAAATTTCCGAGCTGTCGGGGCTTGGCGTTTTCGACACAACACTAGCAGCACTCGAGCTTGCTGTGACTCCATACGTCTTCTTCTTAGGTGGCATATCATCGCCGTCGCTGTCAGCATCGGTGTCGGAATCGCTCGCGGACGACTCGCGGGTGCCAGCGCTGAATCCGTAAAAATTCTCGTCGTCCAATTCAAGCGCCTTCGCATCAGGGACTAGTCGACTCCACACAGAATTGAGCTGCGTCGTCTACTAGATGTTGTAGCCATAATCACAGTAAGTGGAGCCTCTTGAGTTACTCGACAATCACTCAGAATCCTTCACCGAACACCTAACAAGAGGACAGCTCTTGAATCTTGTCAAAACAAAAGTGACGAGTTCTGCGCTTCGCGTAACTTTGAGTCACGTGACTTTGAAACGTCATAACTTGATTTTGATATCAAGCATCGTAGGGCGGTTTCTATAGTCCCTGGCTCATGTATCTCCCCAGGCCTATTCCTCTGTACCAACTGTAGTAATTAGAGACAGAGCTTGGCTATAGCTTTGAAAGAATGGGAAGGCACCCGATGGTTCAACCTTCAATTTCTAAAGTTCGACGTTGCTCTGAGTTTTGCTGCTGCTATATGTGTTGTTGCTGTGTGTGTGTGTGTGTGTGTGTGTGTGTGTGTGTGTGTGTGTGTGTGTGTGTGTGTGTTTCTGTATCTTTGTCTGTTTAGGGTGCTGTATACTACTTCAAGATTGCCGTTGCACTTGCTGTTGCAGCGATCCCAGAAGGCCTTCCAGTCGTCGTCACGACATGCTTGGCGCTTGGTATGATCATACTGCTTTGCCTTTATTGGACATTGTAGACCTGTAGTCATAACTTACCAGTGCCATCAGGTATTGATTTTTCGTTTGTGTTGACTGCAGTAAAACTGTTTTGCTGTTGGTCCCAGCCTTGCCTCTTGTAAGGGTGCATTCATGCCGCGGGATAGCGGGAAAGGTTAACTTTGGGGTTTTAACCCTTTATGTACTGATTTCCAGCACAGAATGAAGCAGAATTTGAATTTTCAGCACAATTTTCACCTTCAAGAGGCTATGACTTTGGCCTCCTTCGCTCCATTTCCACAATCTTGGGCTCTTTGGAAAGCTCCTGGCGAGAGCAACGCCAGGATACCAGGGTCCATCAACTAGCTGCCACAAATCAGGCGCAGGAACACATCAAAGTCGTCTCCAAGCCCAATATGCGAGCAAATTTCCTCATCAACGCCATTCCACTCTCCTCTATCGCAGAACGCTCAAATCTTTTCGAGGCGATTCAAACTTCAGCCAACTACGTCATTAGGGAGGTTCCGGAGTACGATTTTCGTGCCAAAATCCGTAGAGGTGCTACGGATTTTTTATACGTCGTTTTCGAGCAGTGAAATGTTCCGGAGTACGAACCTTACGTGTTTGCCGTCATTGCCTAGGTTACGATCGCAAACACGTCACATTCCCGCGCCATGCCTTTTTATTTTGAAAATTTGTACCGAAATCAAAACTTCCCGCGGAAAATCTATGTTTCTCGTACCAAATTTGTACGCGAAAAATCTTTCTGCACCCGATGACGCAAAATCTCCATACGAAACAGGGTTCGTATGAAAGCCAGTCCACACGGATTCTCCGTGCCGAAAAATCGTATGGAGCACGCCTGGAAAAAATCCGTAGCGCCCATACGGATTTTGGCACGGAAAATCGTACCCCGGAACCTCTCTATTATCATGTGCTGAGTTGGTCAAAGAGCACACGAAAAGGGATTTCCCCCTAAAATGGCGAAGAGATCGATAAAAATTTGAATTTGCCGATACAAGAATACGGCGTGCGATATCTCTGGATTTGTACATCGTAGCTCTTCGGCGATTGTTGCATTGGAAAGAGTTTCCGCTACTGAATAGACCCTTCGATTGTTGAATTCGGACAAGACATGATGGAGTTACGAAGGTTTTACGGATCGATCATGAATTGATCATATGTGATCGATTCGCGTACACACCGTACATAAAGGGATAACTTGACAAGTCCAGTGTTGCATTCACATGTTCCAGTAGAACGATCCCGGGAAACTCAAACTCCATGGCTGGCTTTTTACTAGTTTGCAGAAAAATGTACTCAATGTATTCGGAGAATTGCACCCCCGGTTTTTTACCTTGAATTGGACGTAACTTTGGTTTCCCTTGGACAATAGTCATCATCTGGGGGGAGTGTGCTCGACAAACGCCTACTAGCCGAAGCCAAGCCGAACGTACATATGTGCAGTGGTCTGTATCAATGAATCATGTTATGCAGCAGTGCTGATGATTTTACTGGTGTGTTCCCGGTGGCGTGTTCCCGGCAGTAAGGTTCCAAGCTCCTCAGAAGGGCCCAGGGCGCAACATCACGTGAGAGCGAATTTCGAAAAATGCCATGTCTGCTTCCCATTATTACTGCCGCTCTATCCTGTAGTATGAATGCACCTCAATTATTGATTGGTCTCTTTCTTCTCATGCAGGCACCAACCGTATGGCAAAGAAGAATGCTATTGTGCGTAGCCTGCCATCAGTGGAGACTCTTGGTTGTACTACTGTGATTTGCTCTGACAAGACTGGAACACTGACAACCAATCAAATGTCCGTCAGCCGTGTAAGTTCAGCCTGTTTCTTGCTCAGACGTTTCAGGGCAGTGCTGCCAATGCGTCCAGCCATGCAGCACCCAACAATATGCAATATGCTTGCAGTCATGTTCAATTCTGTTTTAATGGAACTGTTCAGTCTTGTTTCAAGTACTTAGCTGCTGTGCTTATTATATCTCTGCCCATGTCTATGTTTTGCTTGTATTTTTCTCTAATTTAGTTCTTTGTTGTTGAGGACGTTACCGATTCTGGTGCAAATTTGATGGAGTTCTCAGCTTCTGGTTCAACCTACGAGCCAGTTGGTGATATGTAAGTTCTGAGTTGTTGGTGAAGTAGTTGTGAGTCCTCTGTTTCCAGAAATTGTTTCCTGATGACGTAAGAGTTTGTTGTAGCCGACTGAAAGTCCAACTCTGCTGAACGGCCAGCGATTGTGACAGTGTTTAGTGCCGCTTTTGTTGTGATAACGGAACGCCCGTCAACGAGATATGCTGATGATCAGCACACTATGTACAGAGAATGTTTGCAGCCCAAACATGTACAAGTGTCACCTGTATTTGACATCAGAAATCCACGGTCATGTGTGTCCCTTGCAACTCCAAGCTTCTATGCTATGTCAGGCTATCCATATGGCAAGGAAACAGATGGGTTATGGACGCATGGAATGTGGTGGGGATGCCCTTGCTGGGTTTAGGGGAATATGGGCTTGCATGCTGGGAAAGGGATGCGCACGGTGAGCAATGCGTGCATGCAGGATGATGGTGAAGTGGGAACCTAGCACACTGCGCCATGGCTAATTGTGCACTGTGTGTGTGTGTTTGTGTTGTGTTGTCACCTACCTACTCAGTTCATACAACGGCAAGGTGGTAACCGGCTTCGAATATCAGGATCATCTTCAAGAACTTGCACAGATTTGCTGCTTGTGTAATGATTCATCAGTGGACTACAATGAAAGCAAGCATGTCTATGAGAAAGTTGGGGAGGCTACAGAGACAGCATTGACTGTGCTTGTTGAAAAGCTCAATGTTACCGGTGTCGAAAAGCAAGGCCTTTCCAAGTCCACCCTATCCAGTGTTTGTAACCTGGAAGTATCCAAGTGTCTCAGAAAGGTAAACTTGTGCTGCCTGGGTACTGCGTCATGCAGGACCTCCCTGCCTGTACTGCTGCTGGTGGTGGTGTCGGCTTGTTGCGCTATGCTTGTCTTGTTATTCTTATTATCAGCCTTTTCGCGTTGAAATCACCAAACAAGTCTTTAGACAAACAATATTCTGTGTTTTAGCTCTCACTTTCACTGTAATAGTGTAGTCTTCCGTTGCTTGTGTCACGTTGCTACAAATGTTCCCTGATCTTCTTTTCACTGTGTTCCTTGTATAGTCATTTACTCTGGAGTTCTCACGAGACCGCAAGTCTATGAGTGTGTACGTTGAATCCCCGGAGGCCAGCGCTGGTATTCAGACACGATCCCGCCGTTCCAGTCCAACTGCTGGACCAAAGATATTTTGCAAGGTATGGACATTGTTCCTTTTTTATTTGTTCACTTTGATAGTTTTAGAGGGAAATGTCAATTGATATGGGGTGACTGTCCTTCTCTGCCTTGTGTGCATTTACTGAGTGCAGAACACACAGGTACCCTCCAATCAATGTGGTGTGTGTTTCCTGATCATCTCTGTATTCTGGGTATATGTCTGTGTCTATGTGTTTATGCATGTGCCTGTCTTTATGTGTTTGTGCCTGACGTTTAGGGTGCTCCTGAGAGTGTTCTAGATCGTTGCACACATGCCCGTGTCAATGGACGACGAGTTGCCCTGAATGATGCAGTGCGCCAGGATATTCTTGAGAGAGTCGCAGCCTATGGCACTGGTAAGCAGATTTTCACTTGGTCTTGGAAAGGGATTTTGGATGTCTTCCTTGCTGTTAGCCGGACTTGCTGTTAGCCGGAGTGCCATGTTTTGCCATCTTGAGCATCAAGAAGATCGCCTTTTACTTGGTCCGCCAAGTTAAAATTGGCGCTTATCTTCTCATTTGGTTTTTCGGTGTTCTGCCTGTGTCACACGGCTTGGAGCCACCGATTCAGCATCCGAACATAACCATTGACCATTGCATCCGACGACATGTCAGCACAAACCATCACAGAAGTAGCGATCGGTTCGTTTGAGTCTTTTTGACGGAGCTGCCGCCGACGAACACTTCCGTCAGGGCAAGAAAACACTGCAACCTCCGCTCAAGTCCGTAAAATAGGTCAGGATGTTCGCATTTCAGAGCGATGGAGAATACAGCTTCTATCTACTTCCAGCTGCCTGATGGCAAGGATGGTTTACCCCGGGGAGGTATAGAAAAGCTGAAAAAGCGCTTCGCGAGCTTGAATTTCAGTGCTTGCACAGTAAAGCGCCTAGTGAAGGGCTATCACCAGCAAATCGCTGACGAAGAAACTGCAGCTCATGTCGAAATCTCCAGAAAGTGAGACCAATCCGGCGGACTCACTTCGAAGCTCACGGAGGACAGGGCAATGGAGCTAATCAAAACAAACACCAAGTCCTGAGGGAAACACTCGTGCAAAGGAATTTCAGGAAACTAGCTGAAAAGCCTGGTGCACGGCGTTAGGACTTAGG